CTCTCCCGCAGGCCGATCGACAGCGCTAGCCGAGTCGCCTTCCGTCCCCTCGGGGACCGAAGCCGACCGTACTAGCTACTGGCTCAAGGTAGGCTTGCACACCGTGTAGTAATACAAGCTCCTCACCAGCAGCTGCAACCGCCGCCAAAGCAGCAGTGCAGCCCTTTCGTTGAGACGACCGTGGGTGCCGAAGCTGTCCGGGTGCTCCCGTACCAGCCCTCGGCAGACCACGCCCGACTACCACTCACCGGTGTGTCTGGCCGCAGCCGGTCCACCGTGACTAGAGGCCGTCCGCAGACTCTCCTCTTACATACGGCGCGGGGCGAGCTCCCATGTGCAGGGCCCACTGGTCAGTCTGGAATAACCCCACAAAGTGGGGGGCTCTGCACGCGGGCGGCCGAAAACGCACAAGGCCGGCCGACTCACCCAGTCGAGGACGCGCACGTTTAGATATTGATCCTCGACTGCGGGCCCCGGGGAGCCCCGCCGGCAGCCCCCCTAGTTGAGAGATAGTCGGTTTCTGATATACGTGTTCTGCACATTTATATGTAAATCTGCCGCACCCGCCGTGCAGCCCCCCTAGCTGGAGCGCGTGCGGCGAGCGCGTGCAGTGCAGCCCCCCTAGTTGAAGGGAAGCAGACTGTTCGGAATGACCGTACGTCACTCGAGATTCCCAGGTTGTCCCCAACCCCAGTACTAATCGAGCCCAACGGCGCTTGACTTCCGAGTTCTGATGGGATCGGGTATATTCGCCGTGGTATGAACGTACGATGAGCGAGAGCCGAGCCGCCGTGGCGACCCGCCTTTCTTACAAATGGCGCGGGGCGAGCTCCCATGTGCACGGCCCACTGGTCAGTCTCAAATCGCCCCACTGGTCTCGATCGAGCCCGCCCGGCCGACGCACCCGCGCCACGCCGAGCGCCCGCTGGGGCGCTGACGCCGCCGCAGGGGTCGGATCGCGATGCTGTCATCACCGAACGTGCAGCGCGACGCCAGAACCGTCAGATTCGCGTCGCGCACGGCGGCAAGCCTCAGCGCGTGCAGCGTGATGCAACAGCTCGCCCCCGGCGCTCGTCCGCTCATCCCCGGCGCCTGCTGGGGCGTTCACCCACCCATCAGGCGCGCTGCAGGCACCCAGTTCCGCGCGCACGCCCACAACCCGACCCGCTCCCCGTCAAAGCCCCCGCCGCATGCACGCACCGCCACCACGGTCCACCCGCGGAAGCAGCGCTAAGCTACTGCCGGCGCCCGCAGCCAGGCGAGCTACCCGTGCCCGCGCCGCCGGCGACACAGCCACCGCGCGGCACCCCTCCGCACCCGCGCGAACCAGCCTGCAACTGGCGCCTCAGCTGCGACCTCGGGTCGCGCCGCCGCCCCGGAGCGACGTCAGCATCGCCTCGCCCATACACGCACGCCTGCGCACATCCCGGACCGCCTGCCCCCGCACCGTGACAGTCCCCCCCCCGACACCCATGTCCATCGCGACACTCGCTGCGCAGCGATCCCTGCGCCGCCAGCAGCTGTCGGCCCGCGACGTCCGCGCCCCTGAATCGACATGGCGGCGCAAGGACCGTCGTGGTCGCGTCACACGCACGGCGGCAACTCGGTGCGCGCATGATGCAGCACCGCAGCGGCGGACGACGCGCTGAGGCACAGCTCGTCCAAGCGCAAGCTCGAGCTCCTCCAGCGCCTCCACGTCCTCGGGGACCGCCGCAGGCGGTGTCGTCGGCTGTCAGCACCCGCCCGCCCCACGCCATCGGCCCTGTTCGCTGTCGAGGCGCGACGTGGTACGTCCACGCACCCCAGGCCCAACATCGCCGCCGCCGTCACCGGGACCCGTGCACGCCACCCGGCGTCCGGACCAGGGACGGCACCACGCTCGACGGTATCGCCTGCACAGCCCCGCCACCAGGGCGCGTCATTGACACGACACGCTGCGGGTGCCACTCAGGGCAAGCACACGTACGAGGAGCGCGGTGCTGGTGGGGCGCGCGGTTGCGTTCGCGTGCGTGCATGTTGATGTGCTGCGATGTAGGCGCCCAGACGCCGCAGTGGTTCTGGCGTGTCCGTGTGGGGCGCAGCGCGGTCGCTCACTCACCCGCCCGGGCAACAGCACGCGCGCCTACATGTGTGCACAGACCCCAGCGATGATCGACGTGTCAGCGGGCGCAGCGTCGGAGGCACCGACACGGGAGCTTGGCTGCAAAAACAGCAGGCCGGGGGGCACTGTGTGCCGCAAGGGCGCCCGGACGGGGGGGCAGGAGAGGAGAGTGGGGCCAGACGCGACGCGGGCGACCATGATGCGGGGCCTCACACGGGCCGTCGGCGTCCTCGAGCAGGACCGCAAGCACCTCACCCGTAATGCGTCTCCTCCATCCCTTTTGGCAGCACCAGCCCGCTCCCCCTCACGTCCCACCGACGCAGACGGTCCGCGACGCCCTGCTCCAGCGTCCCCGTCAGGTGCTTGCACCCGCTAACGTACAGCTCCTCCAGCGCGTGCAGTCCCCCCGGCAGCCTCCCAATGTTGCTATTGCGTGCCCTGAGCACCCGCAGCCTCGCAGCACCGCCCAGCACCTCCGCCGCGTCCTCCCAGTCCAGCTCTTTGCCATCGCTCACGTCCAGCTCCTCCAGCGCGTCCATGCCCCTCGGCAGCTTCCGCACGTTGCTGCGTGAGGCTCTCAGCACCCGCAGCCTCGCAGCATACGACGCGGGCAGGAACGCCTCGCCGTCCAGCTGCTTGCAACCACTCACGTCGACCTCCTCCAGCGCAGTTAGTCCCTCCGGCACCCTCCTCACTGCAGGGCAGTCGCTGACACTCAGCCCACGCAGCCTCGCAGAGATCCGGGCCGGGAAGAAGCCCTCCGCGATCTCTCCCGAGAAGCCGCTCAGGTCCAGCTCCTCCAGCGCCGTCAGCTCCTCCGGCACCCTCCGCAGCCCAGCGCTGTTCACCCTCAGCACGCGCACCGTTGGAGCGTTGCGCAGCGAGCCGACGTCCAGCGAGGCACAGGCGCTAACGTTGAGCTCCTCCAGCGCCGTCAGCCCCTCCGGCACCACCCGCATCGCCGTTTCCCGAGCATCAAGCACCCGCAGCTCCGCAGCGTCCGTCAGCGTGTACAGCGCAAGCTCAGGCTGCAGATCCTTGCAGCAGTCCACGTGCAGCTCCCGCAGCGCCCGCATCCCCGCCGGCGGCCTGCGCAGAGTGCTGTATTCGGCGCGCAGCACCCGCAGCCCCGCCGCAGACGACGCCGGCAGGCACGCCTCGTCCAGGCTCCGGCACCCGCGCACACTGAGCTCCTCCAGCGCGCACATCCCCTCGGGGACCCTGCGCAGGCTGGTGTAGTCGGCTTTCAGCACCCGCACCCGCCCCACGCTCGACGCCGGCAGGCACAAGTCATCGTCCAGCTCCGAGCACCAGCTGACGTCCAGGACCTCGAGCGAGACCATGCCCTCCGGCACGCGCTCCAGCCTCGTCCCGCCCACCCGCAGCTCCCTGATGCCCGCCGCCACGCCCGCAGGCAGCCACTCCCGCCCCCACACACCCTCAACGTCCAGCCCGTACACTGCCACGTCCAGGTACCGCAGGCCCGTCATCTCCGCCGTCACCGCCGGCGCCGACGCCAGCTCACGCCGGCCGGCGTCCGTCCGGGCCAGGGACTCCAGCAGACTCCGATCTCCCGCCTCCACGCGCACCACCGCGGACGGCACGCCCACGTTGCAACTGCCTGCGCGTTGATACAGTCGCCACACCCCGCGCCCCGTCGCCCACCCGACCTCCGACCTCGTCCCCTCCGACATCCGCCCCTCCACCCGCCGCGCCACCGTCCGCCCCACCCCGCGACGGCTGCGGGCGTCCCATGACCACCACCTCGCCCCGTTGCAGCTGTCGAGCACCGCCGCCATCATCGCCGACGACGTCGCCGCCAGCGCCGCGCGCGACCTGCGCGGCAGCTCACGGATGACGCTGGCCAGGGGACCGTCCCGCCCGCACTGAATGTCCTCCAGCTGATGCTGGGGACGTGCGCGAGTTGAGCGCTTGCGCGACGCGCCTGCATCGCTGCGCCGTCCCCGTGGCATGATGACGTGATCGTCTGAAGCTGCTATGTCGCGTTCGCGTGCCTGTGCGCCGCCAGCTGCGCCCACAACGAGAGAGGCGGGTGGGAGGTGGGCCTGCAACCACGCCCTGCCACGGCGGCGACGCGCTGACGAAATCAGGGCGTGCTCTTCAGATACTGAACGTCGTAGCGCGACGCTTGATATCCGCCCCGAGCGGCATCCGCACGCAGCAGCGCGCCAAGCACCCAGGCTTCGCTGCATCCCCAGCGGTGCCGCATACAGGCGCGTCCCGGACGCACATACGCAGCGCCGCACTGCCACTGATGTATACCAAGCACGTGCGCACGCACACACCTGTTTGCCGTCCGTCAACGCACGTACACGACCCTGCTGTTCCTCGCTGCTTGACGTGTGCTGGACGACGCGTGAATGCGGTGACGTCGGTGAGTTGCGAGCCTGCGTCGTGGCCGTGACGCTGGCCGCTCCGCAGTGTACGCAGCCGGCGCAGCGAGGCACCCATATCGGCTCGCACGCGCTCAGTTGGGGACACCTCCCCTGACGCAGGACGCGCCTGAGACGTGGCAAGGCGGACTCGATCGACGTGGACGCGCCGCCAGGACCCCGACCATCGTGCCGCTGCGTTGCAGGAGGGACCCGCGTTGTGCATGTTCCGCACCGCAGCCGTAACGATGCGCTCGTGAGCCGTGGCAGACGAGTCGGCGAGGCCGGCGCCTCACACCGCGAGGCTCCACCGGCAACACAGCTCAGTCAACGTCAGAAGCAGTCGTCACGTCTGGAGCCCCCCCACTCTCAGCTCGCAACACGCCCCGCTCCGTGCAGCTGCTCGAGTGCCTCGCGAGGTGCTGTCGTCACAGCCATGCGTCGTCGAAGGTGTTCTACCCCGCAAACACAACGCCGACCGGGCCAACGCCGCCAATTTGGCGGCGTCAAATAAATAAAACTTCGTCAGGATCCCACTCTGGTGGCGTGTTCGCGTCCGCACGCAGCTTCCTGATCCCCGCGATGATCGCTGCGGGAAGGAAGTTCTCGACGTCCAGGCTCTGGCAGTACGTCAGGTCGACCTCCTCCAGCGCCACCATGTTGTCGGGGAGCGTGTGCACGTTGCTCCTGCTCGCACGCAGCACCCTGACCCCCGCGGCGCTCGATGGCGGGAGGAAATCGACCTGCAAGTGATGGCACTCGCTCAAGTCCAGCTCCTTGAGCGCAATCATGTCCTGCGGGATCTTGCGCACTCTGCTGTCGGGGGCACGGAGCACCCTCAGCCTCGCACAGATCGCCTCAGGCAAGAAGCCCACCGCAATATCCTTGCGAAAGCCGCTCAGGTCCAGCTCCTCCAGCGCCGTCAGCTCCTCTGGCACCCTCCGCAGCTCGGCGCTGTTCACCTTGAGCACGCGCACCGTGGCAGCGTTGCGCAGCGAGCCGACGTCCAGCGAGTGACAGCACTGCACGTCGAGCTCCTCTAGCACCGTCAGGCCTGTTGGCACCGTCTGCAGCTTCGTGCGGCGGACCTTGAGCACACGCAACGTGCCTCGCATGCCGTGCTGCAGGAGCGAACGGGCATCCAGCTCCGGGCAGGAGCTCGCGTCGAGCACCTCCAGCGCCGTCAAGCACTCTGGCACGATCCGCATCGCGGAACCTTGAGCGTTCAGCACCCGCAGCCTCGCAGCGGACGACCACGGCACGAACGACAGTCCGTGGAGGTTGCGGCAGTGGGCCACGTCGACCTCCTCCAGCGACGTGAGCCCCGCGGGCAGTCTCCGCAGAGCAGTGCCCGTGGCGCGCAGCACGCGCAGCCTCGCAGAGCTCGATGGCGGGAGGAAGGACGGCAGCTGGAGGTCGCACCTGAGCGCAGCCAGAACAGGGCGGTTGCGGGTGGAAATCACGGCAGATCAGGCCGTCACGCCCGTGCAGTCTACGGACTTCGGCGCGTGCAACGACGGGACGCATGCGCCGTGTCGTTCAGGGAGCGCCGCGCGAGCAACTCCTCTTCCTGTGTATCTCACCCGCTCACGTCCAGCACCTCGAGCGACGCCATGCCCTTCGGTACCGACACGCGCTCGACACCGGTCCGTGCGAGCACCAGCTCCCTGATGCCTGCCGCCACGCCCGGGGGCGGCCCCCCGCACCCCCACACCTTGTGCATCGCCAACGAACGCCAAGAGCACCACCGAATGATGACGCGGCGGAGGTCCGTCATCTCCGCCGTGACCACCGGTTCGGGCGGCACTCGCTCCTTGCGCATCTCCACCTCGACCACTGCGCCCTGGACTGCTTCCCTCCCCGCATGGCACCACGCCCGCCAGCTCCGGTCGTCCGTCAGCCACCATCCGATCAGCGACGTGCCGTCCTCCGACACCTTCCCCCGCAGCCGCCACGCCACCATCCGTCCCGAGCCCTGCCGCGTCTCGGCCGCACCGGCGTCTCGCGAGCCTTTCGTCCGCACCCACACGTCCTCGGACTCGCACCACCGCGCGCCGGGGCAGCTGTCGAGCACGCTCGCCATGAGCGTCGACGACGTCGCCGCCAGCGCCGCGCGTGACCGCGGCGGCAGCCGGCGGATGATGTTGGCCAGCGGCCCGTCGCGCCCGCACTTGAGCGCCTCGAGCGTGCCGCCGGGCGTGCCTCCGCGGTATGGGCGTACCAGGGCGCTGGTCGGGCTCGTGCTGCCGCCGCTGCCCGCGTCGGACAGATTCACGCTCCCGGCCCGCCCGTACTGCGAGTCCTCCAGCTCGGGTCGCGTGGATGTGTCGACCCGCGCGCGTTTCGAGGGCGCGGGCGCGCCCGTGTCGCCGCGCCGGCGCCGCCGCATCATGGTCAGTTGGGTGCGAGCTGCCGTGTCGCGTCGCTGTGCCCGTGCGCGGGCTCCTGCGCGTCAACGGGGGAGCTAGGGCAAGAGAGAGATAGGCCACGATTCGCGTCATTCTGCGCATGTGACGACTTTCGAGCGACGCGTGGCGCATGTGTTCGACAACGGCAGCCGCGTTCTGCGCAGAAGCGGTCGCAGATGCGCGCCGTGACGCACGCCCCGGGCTGGTGCGAGGTTCACCGATGCTCAGGCCCTCTCGCGCCTGTGGCGCAGAACGGCGCATTCGAACCGCAAACCAACGACGCGACGTTCCTTTCCAGGCATGTGCACACCGCACCTGGCCTCGAACTCACGTTGGGTCGCCGCCCAAAGCACACGACGGGCCGCTGTCACCTGCCGGTGGTTCTGCGCACTTCGCGAGCGCAGCAAAAGAGCGTCCGTGCCTACCCGCGTCGAGTGAGAAGCTGCCGATCTGGCGCCCAGCCTGCGCGCGGAGGCGCCCTCATCCGCGGCTCGGGTCCCACGCGGACTCCCCCGACACCCCCACCTCGCCATCAGGCCCTGCGTGCAGGGTGGACCGCACCGACGCAGCAGCGGCGCGCCGCCGCACTTGAGAGAGCCCTCGCGGCGCTGTTGGACACCGCGCCGCCACCCCGACGCGCGGCCTTGGAGCGCGAGTGGTGCACGTCGCCGCTTGCGCTGCCGGGTGGGGCCCGGCGCCCAGTTGGCCGCCGGCGAGGTGCGCGCCGTGTGCTGCGCGGACACGCAGGACGGGAGCCAGGGCCTGGTGCGGCTGCGCGCGCCGTGGCGACACGTGCGTCGGGCTGGTGTCAGGTCCAGTAGAAAGAGTCAGTCCGACGCGGGCCCGGGGGTGCAGCGGCGCGCGGCGCTGATTGCCGCGACCGCGGGCTCGGAGCGCGCAGGGCGCGCACGCAGCGCGGGCTGCAGCGAGACGTCGCGGCGTGCGGGTGTTGTGCACGCTGGCGGTTGGAGGGGCCGTGAAGCGGGGGGGCGGGCGTGAGGCGCGCAGGGGGCAGCGATGCCGGGGCAGAATTATCCGTACCGCACGCTGATAGAGTTCTGCTTCGAAGGGTACCCGACGGCGCCGGACCAGAAGAGCACCGGGTGCCAGTGGAAGCTGCGCCGGGACCATGAGACGGAGAAGAAGTACCTGTATGCCGTGATACGGCAGGTTGATGCTGTGTCATCGCTCAGGTGCGGCACATGAGCGACGCGCGCGCTCGACCAGCGCACAGCAGGGCGCCCGCGCCTCGTGGAGTGCCCCGTCTCGCTCGCCGGTGACTTCTGCGCGATGTTGTGTGTGTTTCGCGTGGTTGCAGCGACTGGCACGGTCTCTCAGGTCAGCATCACCTGAATCTGATGATGTTCAATGCGAAGGAGCCGTCAGAGCTGCAGTGCGCCGTGGTCTGGGTGGAGGACCCGTCCCTGCACGCCGTCTCCTTCGAGGGGCCGTCCGGGCAGGTCGTCCCTGCACCTGCCGCCTTTCGGAGCACCGGTGAGCCGAACACGCCGCAGCGGGCGCCCGCTCAGCGTGTCCGCGAGCGCCCCCGCAACCATGCTGCCATCCATATCTAATCAGATACCAACGAGCTCCGCGTCGCATCTCTTCCAAGCCCCGCCGCTCACACCGCGCGCCCCGGCCGCCCGCGTCCGCGCCCGCGCAGGGGCCCTCAACGCGCGCTTCCCCGTGCTCCTCCTGGCCGAGACCGCACTCAACAAGCTCGCGCCCCTGGCCGGCATGCGCGACGCCGCGCCAGGGTGCATCCTCCGCTTGCACCGCGCGCACTGCAGCGTCGCGCCCGAGCCCGGCGCGGCCCCGCTCATCCTCGCGGAGATCGGCACGCTCGCGCAGTACGCCGTGTTCGCCGGGTCCCCAACGGTGCGACGACGCGACAGTCGGCGTTCCTTGTCTCGCGCTTGCAATTCCCACGCCGCGAGGCCGCGCTCGCACGCGACGCCGCCGCCTCCGTGCCGCGACCGTCGCTGTGCGCAGGCGGACCTGGGCGACAACGGGCGGCCGCTGTGTCTGAGCTCGAAGGGGCACACGTGGACGGAGCGCGACGAGCGCATCGTCCGGGACCTGCAGGGCTTGGCGCGGCGGATGTCGATGGGCACGGCGCCGCGGAAGGCCGCGCGGAGCCTGTGGGAGGAGTGGAGCCAGGCGTGGCGGGACGCGGCGGGCGTGGACTGAGTGGCGCGGGCGCGTCCGTATTTGTTCTTGTTCTTCCATGCGTAGAATCACATGTGCCTGTAATGTAATGAGCTACCAGCGCGACGATACCTGCCTGTCACTTCGATGCTGCCTGCCTTGTATCTTCAAAGGTGGTTGCGGCGCCCGGAGCGGCCCGGACGGCGCACACGTCGCCGCGCCGCGCGCAGCTCGGCCCGTGGTCGCGCGTCGTCCGCCGCCGGGTACCCCGCCGGGCCGTGACACCGAACGGCAACCAGTTGCGTGCACCAGTTGTGTGCCGTCGCTCCGAGCGGCCAGCATTGCTGCGTCACACGTCGGCGCGGCGCGGAGCGCAATGTACATGCCCCGGCAGGCCGTGCCACGCCACCAGTGAGACGCGAGCAGTCAAGGGCTCCGCAGACATCATCATTTCCTATTTAGTTAGTTCTGCTCTGCCTTCTGGGCCATCTGCCGCCGCGCCACCTCCGCCGCGAGGTCCTCGAGCAGCCGCGTCACCTGCACCCACATCGCAACGCGCCCCGTCACGCCCCGCACCACGCAACATCCCACGACACGCCATGCGTCGGGCCGCGCACCTGCGAGCCGAAAATCTTCCGCGTGTAGCCGGCCATGGGCCCTGGCGGCGCGAGCTTCGGCGTCGTGGCCATGTCGTGCTCCACGACGCACCGCCCGTCCGTGCCCTCGACCACCTTCCACTTGCCGCTGAACGAGTTCATAAATCCCGACTGAACCAGCTCGAACGTGATCAGACCCGCGGCCTCGTCCTTCACCACGTCGATCTCGGACTCGAACGAACCCCCGAACAGCAAAAACGACCACCTGCGGCGCACGGCGGAAGCGGAAGCAGCCGTGGGCCTCGGGCACTCCGCGCGGCTCTGGGGGCGCGGGACGCGCGGCACGTGCCCTGTTTCGATCCTGAGCAGGCCGGACATCGATCGCGCTGCCCATCGGAGTGGAGAAATCGCGCCTAGAAGGTACAGCGGCCCGCGTGGAGCCGACATTCGCTCGGAGCGGTCATGAGACCGTGCCACGCGGCCGACGCGTCGGCCCGCGCGCGCCGCGTCGCCAGGACCCGGCGCACCTGCACGTCTGCATGAGCTTCAGCCGCCCGGCCCCCAGGTCCTCCGCGGAGGACTCCAGAACGTTGTGGAAGATGTCGGCCGCAGCATCGTAGTCGCAAAGCACCGCGTACACGAGGTCCTTCGGGCCGTCGACCTCCAGGATCCCTCGCACGTTGAACTCTCCGCCCTGCGGAACGCGAATCGAGCCGCGGATCCGCGAATCAGGCCGCGCTGTAGGCGCCACGGGCGCGCCGAGCGCCTCTGTGGCTGTCCCAGGGCTGCGGCCGCTCGCGGCCGAGCGTCGCGACATTCCAGGAATCTCGGCCACGGGCGCGATACTCGGGCCATATACCGTGCGCCGCGGCGCCGTTCGCTCCGCGTCCCGCGCCGCGGCGCCCGCGAGCGGCCCCAGCGTGCCGGTGCCGCACGCGCAGCGCGCCTCGCGGCGGGAGCGCAGCTCCGCGGGCCGTGCGCACGGCAACCCGCTGCGCACACGCACTGGCCGACGCGCCGCGCGCGCGCACGCTCCGCGCGGCCTGCGCGCCCGCGCACCGCCCTGCCGCCTGCTGGGCGCGAGTTGGCGCAGCTGTCTCGGGGCCGCGCACCTGCACCTCGACGCGCTCGAGGCGCACGGTGGGGTCCGTCGGGACCCGCACGTCCTGGGCTGCGCGCGGAGCGCACGGGCCGCGGCGGAACGCCACCTGGCGCGCGCTGCGCAGCGGTGACCTGGCTTGGACTCGCCGCACCGATTGAGGGGCCTGGGGGCGAATCGCGCCCGCGCGGAGCGCTGGGGCATGCACCGGGCACGCCATGGCGGCTTGCGCGTACGTCTAGTCACGGACGAGGTCCGGGGGCTGCGCGAAGAGGCCAAGGGTGCGCTACGTCGTCGAACCGCGCTGCGTTACGCGGCTGTAGGGGCGGTGGAAAGCGCGGCCGAATTGCAAGGAATTTCTGCGGGGTGTGGCGCGCCGGACTGGACGCGGTCGGAATCGCCGCGAGGAGTGCCCGGCCCCGCCTCGCGGCGCGTCCATCGTTGCCGGGAGCGACAGGAGTCTCCACTTTGTGTGTCGCGCTGCAGACGGACCGACGCTGCGGCGCGGCGGGGGCTCTAGGGCGGCGTCCCGCGCCCGGAGCGCCATCTGCAGGCTCCTGCGTCCTCGAAACGTCGCTCGACCGATCGTTTCATGATGCAGCCAGCGTAGAAGCGCCTGGTTCTGGTGTGAAACTACACGTGCACGCGTTCCGCGACCACGCCGCCGGGGGTCGAGGCGCCGGGATGACCGTCCCGCACCCCAGCGACGAGGCGCTCGACGCGGGGCTGGGCGGCGAGCGCGGCGCCGCGCTGCTGCGGGAGCTCCGCGCACGAGTGGGCGCGCCCGGTGCAGCTCCGATGTGCGTGGCGCCCGAGGCTGCGCCGGACCCCGCGTCCCGGTCGCGGTTCGTGCTCCTCGGGGAGCAAGCGGCGCTGTTGCGGCTCGGGCGGGGCGGGAGGCCCGCGCAGGCCGCGGCGCTGGAGGGCGCGCTCGACCAGTTCCGAAGCGCGCGCACCATCTGGCTGCCGCGGGCTGCCTGTACGGGCGGTGCGGGAGTGATCGGGCCGGATGGGGCGCGCCTTCCGGGTCAGGTCGTGCCGCTGACCCGCGCAGAGGACGTCGTCGCGCTGCTGCTGTACCTGGGCGGCAGCGGGAGCGACAGCGCAGGTGGCGCGCGCCGCGCGTTGCCGACCACGGGCAGCAAGGCGGGGTGGACGCCGGACCTGGACCTTCTCACGGAGCTCTCCGATCCGTGGCGCGACGACGAGCCAGACAGCCGCGCTCCGCGGCCAGAGCGGCGGACCAACGCCACGGCGCAGCTCCCCGCACCGCCTCCCGCGGCGCCCGAGCTCGTCAGCCACGGATGGGGCGCACACAGCACGCAGCTAGCTACCAGGGACGCGCCTCAACCAGCGAACCAAGTCCGCGGACCCGGAACAGCACACGCGAGCTCCCTGTGGCATGTCGCGGTTCAGGAGCACGTCGCCAGCATCCCCCCGCCCGCGCCGGACCCGCTGGCGTGGGCGCGCGCCGGGACGGCGCCCGCAGCGGCCCCGGAGGACGACGCGGCGGCCCACGCCGCCCGTGCGCTGCTGGGGGTGTATTCCTCTGCCACGTGGTTGCTGGGCGCGGGGGGCGGCGCGCGGCTCCCGGCGGCCGTCGCGAGCGCCGCAGAGGCGGCGGTGCGGTGCGGCCTGCTGCGCACGCGCCTCTCGGCGCTCGCCGCGGCCCTCGCGCGGCCCTCCGGCAACGCCCTGTGCCCCGCGCGGCATGCGCTGAGCACGGCCGTCGAGGCGGTGCTGGCCGAGCAGGCGCGGGAGGTCGCGGAGCTGCCGGAGACGGTCCTCGAGCGGCGGCGCGGCGAGGCCGGCACGGCGGCGTCGCTCGGGCCCGTCACGCTGCTGGAGACGCTGACTCATGGGGGGGCGTTGGTCGCTGACGTGGAGTGCGTCGCGCGGTGCCTGCTCGTCGCGGACGGCGCCGGCGGCGCGGGACAGCTCGACGCGCTCCTCGAGGCGTCCGCCGTCGAGGCCGCGGAGCGTGCGGCCGCCCGGCTGCCCCGGGGGGGGGTTCTGGCGTCCTACCTGCACGACGCGGTGTCGTCGGCGGCGCCGGCGCACGCCGGCGCGCTCGCGCCGCTCTACGCGGCCGTCCTCGCGCCGTGCGTCGCGTCCGCGCTCTGGTGGGCGACCACCGCCGCGCCGCTGCCCCACGCCGCGGCGGTCGCGGCGTGCAGCGAGGCACTCGCGCGCCCAACGCCGCGCGCAGCGGCGCGCTGGTGGCCGCGCTCGCCGACGCAGCGCGCGGGGACGCGGACGGCGCGCCTGCGCGCCGCGTCGCGGCCGCTGTGGCCACGTGCCCCGCCCTGCCGGCGCAGGCTGCGTCCGCGGAGCACGCGCTGCGGATGCTCGGATTCCAACTGCGGCTGTTGGCGGAGGTTCCTGACGCGCAGGCGTTTGTGCGCGCGGTGTGCGAGGCCGCGGAGGCCGCGTTCGGCGCGGCGCCGGTGGCGCGCGACCCCTGGGACGGCGTGGGGGGGGTTCCGGCTGACGCGGTGGGGATGTGGGGCCTCCGCGACGCCGGTGCGGCGGGGCGCGTGCTCGACGTCGGCGCGCCCGACGCGGCAGGGAGCGTGCTCGGGCCCGCCGGCGCCGGCGCGGCACAGCTCGCGTCCTGCGTCCTCCAGGGCCCCGCGAAACTAGCGCAGCTGGCAACGACGTTCGAGCGGCTCAACTCCGCGGTGGAGCGCGCGGCGTCCGCGGCGCTCGGCGTGCTGCGGCGCGACGCCGAGGACCGCGCGCGCGAGGCGGCCGAGGAACGCGCGGCGCGCCGGCGCGTCCTGGGCGACGCGATCCGCGACGTCGAGCGGCGAGCTGCGGCACGGATGGCCGCGCGGCGCGCGGCGATGGCCGCGGCGCTGGCGGAGCAGAAGGAGGCGATCGCGGTTGCCGCTGCCGCGCGTGCGGCTGCGCGGATGCGCGAGGAGGAGGCGGACGAGGCGATGGTGCTGGCGGCGGCACAGCAGGAGCGCGACGCCGCGGAGCTGGAGGCGGCGCGGGAGCTGGTGCGCGTGACGGCCGCGGCGGAGGGGTCTCCCGCGGCGCTCGGGACGCCCCAGGACGACGCGCGCGCGATCTGGCGGCTGCGGCGGATGCGGTTGGCGGACGCGCGTGCGGCGGCGGCGCAGCGGGACGCCGAGGATCTGCTGCGGCGCATCGAGGGCATCGACGTGTCCGAGCCGGCGGTCCCTGCGACGGTTGGCGCCGTGGGCGGCGAGCGGGAGAGCGCGGGGGGCGTCGCCGTTGGGTTGTCGGTGGGCGTGGACGGCAGCGTTGCCGTGCGGCTGCGCGTGGGCGGCGTCGAGCAGGTGGACGCGGCGCGAGACGTCGCGAGCGAGGAAGGCGCTCCGATCGCGCGCGCGGTACAAGGAACCCGCAGCGATCCGGAGGCCCCGCCTGCGTCGTTGTCGGTCGCGGCGGATCCTGACTCCGCGCTTGTGCGTCCTGAGTCAGCGGAGGTGCCGGCTGAGTCGGCCGGTGGCGCGCGGGCGGGTCGGGCGGATCGGGCGGACGCGTCGGAGCGCGAGGAGTCGGCCGGGGCGGTCGCGGTGGCGGGGGAGGTGTGTTTCGACACCCCCGGGGAGGTCTCGGCGTGGTTGCCGGCGGTGGTCGAGGCCGGCGTGGTGCACCCGGTGTGCCGCCTGGCCGCGTCGGTCGGCGCGATGACAGTCGGGCTGCTCCGCGACCACTTCGACCTCCGCGGCCACCTCGCCGCCGCGCGCCGGTACTTCTTCCTGCTCCAGGGGGACTGGGGGGGGGAGTTCCTGTCGCGCGTGGGCGCGGCGGCGGACCGCGGCGGCGGCGCGCTCCTGGCACGGGACGTCGCGGCGGCGATGGACGCGGCGGTGGCGGACACGTGTGCGGCGGAGGACCCCTTTGTCAGGTTCCTGACAGCGGGGCTGGACAAGGGAGCGGTGCGTGGGGACGAGGCGCACGCGCGCGTGATCGTCGCGAGCGGGGCGCTCGACGCGCTGTCGTGCGTGCAGCTGCACTACAGGTGCGTGCGCGTGGACCTGCTCGCACCCCACGCGCCTCCTGTGGCATATATGTGTCATTGACTTGCCGACAACCATGAAATACCGTCTCGTGATGCATCAAGATGAAGTCACCCACGGCTCTCACTTCCTCGACCCCCGCGCCCCCTTCGCAGCGCGCCCTGGCCGGTCAACATCATCCTCGGCCGCGCCGCCGTCGCGCGCTACAACCGCGCCCTCGCGTTCGCGGCCGCCGTGCGCCGCCTGGGCTACCTGCTCGACAGCACGTGGGCGCCGCTTGTGCGCGACGGCGGGCGCGCGCCGCCGGCCTCCCTGTCGCGCGCAGCGCTCCTCAAGGGCTCCTCGCGCCTCAAGAAGCTCCACGTGTTCCGCCGCGTGGCGAATCAGATTGTGGCAGCACTGCAACACCTCCTCCTGACGCAGGTCACCGGCGCGCCGTTGCAGGCGCTGGAGGCGTCGCTCTCGTCCGCGCGAGACCTCGGGTGAGACCGCAGCCCGATCGAAGCGCGCGTGCGGCGCGCGGGCGCGAGAGATGCAGCGTCGCAGGTTGCGTGACAATTGCTGCGTCCGCCCCCCCGCCGTGCGCAGGGAGCTGGCCGCGGCGCACGAGCGGTACCTCGACGTCATCCTCTCCCGGACCCTGACGCACGAGAAACTCCCCCCTGCTGCCGCTCAGCTGAGGCGACAGGTCACCGCGCTGCTGCAGGAGTGCCTGGACGCGCAGGTGCTCATCCGCGGCGTGCTCACGGCGAGCGAGGCCCGCGGGATGCACGTGATCGAGGCGCTCGGGGACGCCGGGGGGCGGTGGCCGCCGCTGCGGGCGCGCGTGGCGGGGGTGCATGCGCAGATCGAGGGGCTCCGGACGACGCTGGCGAGCCTCGCGGTGTTCAACCCGGCGATGGAGGAGCTGCTGACGATGGTGGACTTCACGGGGTTCTACGGGCCGCAGGAGGACGGGCCGTGAGGGCGGTGTGGACGTCCCAGCACGTCACACGATCGCATGTTTGAATGTTATCATTACTATGATTTTTGTGTCATGATCGTTGAAAGACCACAACCCAATTGTCCCTGTCGTACACCTCCGACAGCGGCACGGCGCCCCCCGCGCGCTCGACCAGCGCCGTCAGCTCCCCGCGCTCGAACAGGTGGTAGAACCGATTGTACACCACCGCGCGCTTCTCCGCATCCACCCCCGGCGTCCCCACACCCCCCGCACCCTCCCTGCTGCCCCCTCGCGCCGCACTCCTCGCCGCCTCCGCCGCCGCGCCCCCACCCGCGCCCTCCCCACCCACACCCACCGCCGGCACTCGGTGGAACGGCACGTGCCACGGCACGAAGTAATCCGCCCCCAACCCCCCCGCCGCCGCCGCCCGCTCCAACCGGCGCCACTTCTGCAGCTTCCGCGGGTCCCCCTGCTCCGTGGCCCACGCCGTCAGAAGCCCGCGGCCGCCAGGCCGCAGCAGCCGCACCGCCTCGCGCACGAACGCCACCCGGCGCTCCTCGGTGCTGATGTGATGGATCACCGCCACACTCACCACGGCGTCGAACGCGCCGGAGCGCAGCGGCCCGCGCAGGCCGTCCGCGACCGCGACGTCCGCGAGCGTCACCGTCTCCCCCGCGGCCCAGCTCGCAGCGCGCCCGCCGCGCAGCCGCGCAGCCGCCTGCACCGCCAGCCCGCGCGAAACGTCCGTGCCGACAACGAACGCGTCGCGCCGCACGCCGAAGTACTTGCCGTTCCCGCAGCCAACGTCAGCGATCAGGGCGTTCGCGGGCAGGTCGGGGGACTCGAGGAACTCGCGCACGCGCGGCCAGACGGAGAATCGCGTAGCGCTGAAGTGCGCGGCGATCGCGTCGTATACTTCGTGGACGTGCGCCGTCTCGAGCGCCTCGGGGGACGCGATGAGAGCGCGGTCGTCGGCGCCCGTGCTGGCTGCGCTGTCCGGGCCGGCCGGCGCGGCAGCCGGTTCGCTGGTGGTGGAGGGTGTGTTGCCCGCTGCCTGGAGCTTGCGCATCATGAGGCGCGTGGGCGAGTAGTTGCCCTGGCTGTCGCAGGCCCAGGGGTATCGGCAGCGGCACGGCGTCTTCCGTGCGCAGCGGTACGTCAGACTGACCCTTCGACTCCCCCGCGGGATGGCGTCAGGCCGCCCGACCACGCGGTCCTCCTTCCGGTGCGGAATGTAGTGCTCCCACGCGTACCGCGCCTCGCCGTGCATCACGAGCAGCGACCGCCGCGGCAGCAGCAGCGCTTTCGTGTCCGCCTTGGCCCGCGCGCCCTCGCTGCCGCCGTCGCCGTCCCCGGGCGCGGTGGGGGCGCGCCGGAACGACATCACGGTGTCGCTCGCGAGCGACACGATCGCCACGGCGCCCTCGAAGCACGAGTGCGAGTCCACGTGCGGCGACAGACCCACCCCGGGGGTGTATTCATTCAGCGTCAGCTGGTCGATGGCGCGCGGGAACGCCGGCTCCGGCGCGGAGGTGTCCGTGGCGTTCACGACGGCGCGGATCGCGTCGTGCTCGCGCGCGGAGGCCTCGATGCGGCGGGCGAGGGCGCCCGCGAGGGGCGGGAGCGGGCCCGAGGGCCCCACGTCCACGTCGATCACGCGCGTCTCGTAGTTGAAGCGGTAACCGTGGTGCTGCGGTGCGGGGAGGCGCGGGGCGGGGCGGGGTCGGCGCGGGCGGGGGCTCGCGAGGAGGGAACCATCGCCGACGCGGAGATATTCAACCACGAAACACCAAGTGGTGTTTTCGCGACATCTTGGTTCGTCTTGCAGCAGACAGCAGCGAGGGAGTGGGCGCAAGTCGCTGGATGCAGCAAAGCAAAGCACGCAGGCACGGCGACGAAGCCCCGTACAGCATCAATCCCCCCCCCCTCACCTGCACGCGCCGCTTCTTCAGGTTGTCCCAGGGCGCGGCGTCCGCCTCGCGCAGCAGCTGCTCCTCCTCCTCCGCGCTGACAAAGTCCTCCACGAGCGCCAGGCCCGGGACGCCCAGGCGCGCGGCGTTCGCGCCCGGCTGCGCCTCCTGGTAGGTGACGGGCACGACTGCGGGCTCTTTGCAGTCGGTGTACGACGGGAGCATGGGGCGCTGCGGGGAGCACGCGGGGTGGCGCACGCTGAGCGCGGCGCGCGCCGCCGCGGCCGCGTCGGCGTCCGGGAACGCCGCCAGGATGAAGGCCTTGCCTGCGCGTGCGCGAGGAACCAGGAATTCCCTTGTGTTTGTTTGCGACTCTGATTGTGCGGTGACTGGACCAGCGGCCGCGTGCGGATAGACAGCGGCCCGAAGTACACCGCCGCGGATCGACTTCTGTTCGGCGATCCGTCGCAGGCCCCCCCCGCGCGGCCGCCGTGGCAGCGCGCAGCGAGGTGCGGGGCGCCCCCGGCGAGGGACGCGGCCGGCAGGACGCACCGGGAACGTATCGTACAGATCCGTTCCATGGAGCGACGAGGTCGCGGCACTCCTCCTCGTTCATCCCGACGCCGTATCCGCAGTTGCCCACAAAGAGGTACCTTGTCGGCCGTCCGTGCGTCGGCCGCTTGTAGATCTTTCCCGGCGGCGGCGGCACCTCGGGAGCCATCGTACTAAGAGAAAGCCGCTGACCAGGTCGTCCTGGCTGGCAGTCGCGAGGTGGCGGCGAACGCGGGTCTATGGTGCTGCACTTGTGTCTGCGCCCGCCGTGCGAAGGGAGCCTGGCGTGCCGGTGCCGCTACGTCCGCGCAGTGCGTGGCGCCCGCCAGGCCTGCCCGCAGGCATCGTCCGACGAAATCAGATCCCGCCAGGGGCGCCTGTGCGTCCGTGGGCCCGCCAGCAGCAAGAGGCTGCCCTCGCGCCACGTCCGGCGTCGAACTGTGCGTCGTCGCGCCTCGGTCGCCGCGAAATCGCAGCTGGAAGGCCCGCAGACCGACGCCTTGGCGGCCGGGCGCCCCGCTCGCCCCGAAGAGGCGGACCCCCCCCTGCTGAGTGTAATTGCGACCTTCCTCCCCCCACGGGCTCCTCCTGGGCCGCTTTCGGGGCGAGGCGGCGCGCGTGGCGCGTCACACGACCCCCCGACGACCCGGCGTCGCTTCGAGGACGAGCGACCCGCGGCCCTCGGCGACGCGAGACGCCTTTTGCCTGCTTTGACCAGCTGTTCCGTTGCCGCGCGGCCGACCGGGGACCATGCAGGGGGCCGCCCAGGCAATGGCACTCCAGGGAATTAGCCCGCCCCGCGCGGGCGCCAGCGAGGCCCGCGGCGCCCCCAGGGCGACGCGCCGGGCGGTTCGCGTCTGCGCCAGCGCGGGCGACCAAGGTGCGCACCCGGCCGCACCGTGGTAACCCCGCCCGCATCAGCCATGGTCTCACCAATGCCAACGAATTCACGCCGCCCGCGACGCGGCCCAGTTCCCCACGGTCGCGCTACGCCGACGTAACCGCGGGGGGATCCTGGTGGCTCCGGTCGTATCCCGCCCCTCGCAAAACGCCCCCCTTGAGCGATGCCCCCGACCGGCGATGCCCCCACACTCTCCTCTATCGTCCGGGGCGGGGCGCTGCGCATGCCGCGGCCTGGACGCGGCGAACGCGCCGTCGTTGCTCTTTGCTCAGCTGCAGCCATCTCCCACGGCCCGCACGCACCAGCCGGGGCCCCGTACGACGAGTCTTCGCCGCCCTGTGTCGTGTACTGTCTCGCAGAGCCGCTCCTGGTGCGCGCGGCGCGCGGAGAGGACGTGGAGCGCGCTCCGTGCTGGATGATGCGGCAAGCCGGGCGCTACCAGGCCGCCTACAGGTGCGCAAACGCGCGAACACGCTGCCCTGCGTCCCGCCGTTGCATGCCACGCACCCCGGTGCAGCACCGCGGGGCACGCGGACAGCGTTCGAGCGCCCGGGCGGCCGCAGCGGGCCAGTTTGACTGCGACGCCCGCCAGACCGGGCCCGAGAGCGCGTGGTACGTCGCCCGCAGGGAGCTGGCGAAGAAGCACCCGTCCTTCCGCGTGCGGTCGGAGACGACGGACCTCATCGTGGACATCACGCTGCAGCCCTGGCGGTCGTTCAAGCCGGACGGCCTCATCCTGTTCTCCGACATCCTCACGCCGCTCCCTGCGCTCGGGATCCCCTTCGAGGTGCGCCGCCGCGCCGCCCGCGCGCAGAGCCCCGCGCACGGCCCCGGCTCGCATGACTCCGTTGTCGGACCGGGCGGGCGCACTGGCGCCCGCTTTTCGCGCCGCCGCCTGCGGGTCCGTCACCCTGAGGCCGCGTGCGCTGGCGGCTTGGAGCGTGGTGGAGCTCGTCGGGCGGCGCCAGGACCGCCGTGGTCCGGGGGCTGACTTGACTTGCGATCTGCTTGGGGACGGGGTTGCGGAGCGCCCCCAGGGCCCGTATCTTGATGACGCTCTTGCATCGCGCCCGCGCGTAAGCGCTCCGTGACGCGGGCGCGACGGAAGGGGAATCCGCGGACACAGGTCATGGAGGCGCCCCACGCGTCCGCGAGGTAGAAGACGCGGTCCTGCGTCAGGGATACCACGCGCCTCAGCAGACCGTATGTCTGACTGGGTGAACGCGGTCCACTGCGCTCCGCGCGCCGCCCCGGGCGAACGACGCCGCCAGCGCATCGCGCGACTGCGTCCGGCGCAGAGCCAGAGGCAGCGGCAGCGCTGACTTGCGACAGCCCCGCGGCTGCGGCGCCAGTCGGGCCTCGTGACGGGCGCGCCACCGAGCCGTGCGCGCGCGTGCTCGTTTCCTCGCAGATCGACGACAACAAGGGTCCGCTGATCGACGCGCCGCTGCGGAACGCCGAGGACATGAAGACGCTCCACGCGCTCGACCTGTCCCAGCTCACCTTCGTCGGCGAGGCGCTCACGGAGCTGCGCAACGCCGTCAAGTCCGAGGCGAGCCCGCCGGCCGTGCTGGGCTTCGTGGGCTCGCCGTGGACGATGGCGACGTACATCGTGGAGGGCAAGTCCACCCCGACGTACAAGATCATCAAGACCATGGCCGTGAACGACCCGGAGGCCCTCGACACGCTCCTGTCGCACCTCTCCGCCGCCCTGGCCGACTATATCGTCTACCAGATCGAGGCCGGCGCGCAGGCGGTGCAGGTGTTTGACTCCTGGGGCGGGCAGCTCCCGCCGTCCATGTGGGACCGCTGGAGCGGGCCCTACATCAAGGACATGATCAAGAAGGTGAAGGACAAGTACCCCGCGGTGCCGCTGACGCTGTACGCGAACGGCTCGGGCGGCCTGCTGGAGCGCATGGCCGACGCGGGGCCGGACGTTATCGGGCTGGACTGGACGGTGGACATGGCGGACGCGCGGCGGCGGCTGGGGGGGGACGTGGGGGTGCAGGGCAACGTGGATCCGATCGTGCTGTTCGGGGGGGAGTCGGCGATCGAGGGGGCGGTGCGGGAGTGCTTGGGCAAGGCGGGGACGCGCGGGCACATCCTGAACCTCGGGCACGGCGTGATGGTGGGCACGCCCGAGGAGAGCGTGGCGCACTTTTTCGAATTCAACCGATCGATGACGTACGACAAGTTGTAGGGGCGGGCGCGACGTGTAACGCACGGCGAGCTGGGGCCGGCGAGCCCGTGAGCGGCGTGGTCGGTGCACGTGGTTTGGCGCGCATGTCATGCTGCGGTGCTTCCGGGATCGGTATCGTCGCGGGAACGGCCTGTGGGCGTCTGCCTGTCACGGATGTTGACGGGCGGCGCTGCGTCCGCTGTCGTGGCAGAGATGGCGGGGCAAGGCCTTCCCCGGGCTGAAAGCCTCCTCTTGCTGTCGATCAGAGAGGTGCTCGCGTTTGCTCCGTGCCGGCGCGGGCCGGCCTGGCTTCGGCCCCGCACCCTGTGTCGGGCACGAAGTCTGTGGGATGCAAAAGCGGGACCTGACTGTGCTGCGATTCCATCGCAGGACGTCCCCGCGGCATGTCCCTCTCATCGCAATCCAGGCCAGGCATCGCTTTGCTGGCTGCTGTCCGCGAGCGCCCACGGCACGGCGAGGGAGTGGCCAGCGGGGTCCTCTCTCCACGTGCGGCGCCCGGGGCCGGAAGCGCACATTTGAGGGGCGGACGGTGAGCGCCTGCCCTGCACTGCTCACTCAGGAACCAACTCCTGTAACGTAGTGAGTTTTTTGCGTCAGATGGCGACGAAGGCGATGTTTGTGGCCCCAAAGGTCGTCCGGGACGCGATGGGGCCGCTGACCTCTCTCGAGGCCATCGAGGCTCTGTGCGACCCACAGAAAACCGGGACAGCAATCGAGGAACTGCTCTTGCACGGAATATCGTGGGACAGCAGGTGTGTGTGCGCCAGCGCTCTTCTTCTTCTGCCCCAGTCTATGGCCGCGCAGAATCTCACATAGGCCCAAGCGAACGAGCATCTGACTGCGTACATCCGCAGGAATCTTGCATGCTATGCTCTCGCGACGGTTAACCGAGCGAGTAGATCGCATCGTGGTGCACACAGACGCACCGTGTACCACACACACTTCCTCCACCCCGCGTCCCCGCTGCGCAGCACGGCGCCGGATCCGTACGCGGAGAGCTTCGGTCTGGCGGGCGCTCTGTATGGCCAGCACCTGCCGAACATCCCCGCGGGCAAGGTGCTGGCCCGGAAGTGCGCGAACATCGTCCTGGACGTGCTGGACAGCAACAAGGCGAAGCGAGTGATGCGAGACGACGGCACGTGGCTCGCGCCGTGGGTGGCCGTGAAGGCACTCATCGACGAGGAGACGCTCCGGGACTACGGCATGGGCCAGTACGGCTCCGACGCGGCGAAGGACGCTGCTGCGCTGTTGCAGGAGGTGGCAGAGTTCGTAACGGGGGGATCCTTGAAGATCAAGGAGCGCAACGAGGACATCGAGGACGAGGCGGTCAGGTGGGACCGCCGGCGTCAGGTCAGTCCTCGCCCACGTGCGTCGCCTGCGTGGCACAACTACGACGGACATCAAAGCACTCCCATGTCTGTCCGCGGTGCGCGTGCGTGCAGGATCCGACGCGCAAGTGCGAGCGCCCGCGCCCGGTCATGAAGGACGAGGACCGCCTTCTGAACATGCGCCAGCACATGACGGCGTACTGGGCGCGCTACTACACGATCGACCTGCTGGTGCTCGGGCACCACGCTTCTGCGTTCCACGCGAAGGAACGGGCGCTGATCAGCTACGTGGCCGCGGAGATCGTCGGCATCAGGGACCTGGAGCAGCTCGAGTCTTTCGTAGAGACTGCGGAACGCGACCTTGTGGAGTACGGGGTGCCGCCGGAGGCAGCGCGCGAGTTCAGCGACATCTTGCACGGTGTATATCACAACCGGCAGGGGCCGCACGAGGCGAGGAAGGACATCCTTGGGCGCGAGAACAACAAGGACACCTGGCCGCTCGTGGTGCGATCACAGCGATGCAACTCCCCGTGTGTTGTTGACGAACTTCGTCTCAGACTGAAAGTCCTAGAGACTCTCGGAACTGCTCTGTGCACGTTCGTCAGCTGGCCTCGCACAATCATGCTCGGTCGGCGTGTCCTTTGCTGTGTCGCAGAACAACAACCTCGTCGCGGCAGACGTCGGCGAAGCGGACCGGGATAGCTTCCTGCGTTTCGAGCGCTTTCGTTTGGACGACCCGGAGCCGTACTGCGACACTGCGGACGGGGAGCGGCTGGACGACATCGTCACGCGGGTCGAGGACTTCAAGCTCAAGAACGAGGCCGCGAAGCCGCAAGGCGATGCCGCCGCCGCTGCGGGAGAGCACATCGACGGGCACAGCCTCACGGCCGTGCGGAAGGTGCGGACCAACGCCTGCCCGCACATGGTCGGACAGGCGCGCAGCTGTTCGTGCGTAACGCACAACTTGGGGAAAGTGCGCGCCGCTCTGGTGCTCGCTGTGCAGGCCGTGGCAGTGTTCCTGGGAGGGATGGAGCTGAACGACGTGAATGAGTTGAAGAAGGTCTATGATGACATCAAGGCAACTGCGGGCGACATGCTCCAGCAGTGGATCGCCAAGTTCTCCTAGAACCTCTGTGTACCGTGCCTGTAATCGATCTGCCACTGCGGCTGGAGGCGCAACGTGGCGTTGCCTAGCGCGGCCACGTCAGCTGCAAAAGCTTCGCCTGGCGCATCTCGCAGTCGGGTCCGTACCACGCGACGTCACATGCACGCGCCCCAGCGTCGTCTCCCCGGGAGCGACCCGCGTGGGCGGCCGCAGACCCCGGCCCGCGCACCGTCGCGCTCAACGTCGTCGATGCGCGCAAAACCCCTCTCTCACCCGACCATCGACCGCTTGCGCCCACGCATGCGCACCTCCGCGTACCGGTGCAGCGTCGCGGACGCGTGTTTCGACGCCTTCTGGTAGGCGCCGATGATCGCGTCGAACAGCGCACGCCCGCCGCCGCCGTGCGCGCTCGTCATCGCGCGCTCGAGCACGTACAGATCCACGGCGCGGTCCTCAGGCACCTGCGCGACGGAAGCCGATCGAACGGCGGGGTCAGAGCGCCGGCGGCTGGCGAGCGAGACGGCGCGGGGTGAGCAGCGTGCTGGCGGCACCTGGGAGTTGTACGCGAGGCCGAAGTCGATCAGCGCGATGCGGGGGGTGTCGGCCTCGGACTCCCCCCCGGCGGGGTCGAGGAGCATGACGTTCGAGGTCGTGAGGTCGCCGTGGACCATCCCGCCGTCGTGCAGCGCCGCGATCGCCCTGCCCATCTCCTCCATCACCCGCGTCGCCTCGCCGCCCGCAAGCCCGTCGGCGCCCTCGTCGGCCCCCGCCTGCAGCGCCGAGCACACCGTGCGGCCCGGGAGGCGCTCCATCCATATGCAGTTCGAGGTCTGGTCGATCAGGTACGTCGCGGGCGTCCGGACGCCGAGCTTCCGCGCGCGCGCGCACGACCGCGCCTCGGAGATGAGGCGCTGCTTCGTGAGCCGGGCGTCGAGGTCCGGGTGGCGGTACTTCTTCTTGAATCGCTGCTTCACGATCGCGCGGCGGCCCAGGAGCGTCGTGGCGAACACGCGCTGCGGGGCGGGGGAGAACCGGGGCCGTGAGGGGCCCGCGCGTGAGCACTCGAGAGCCGTGGCGGTGTGCGTCTGGTGCGATATACAAAGAGGCGTTCGCGGGACCGGCGAGCATGCCGGCGGAGGACGGCATCGCGCGCAGCGAGCACCGGCGGGGCGCTCGAGGCGCGCGGCGGAGCGTGGGAGCAGAGCAGCCGGGCGGTGCGGCGCCGTCGCGTACCGCCTCTGCGCCCTGGCTGATCAAGTCGAGCGCGTTCTTGTCCAGGAGCGCAGGAGGCTCGTCGTTCGGGCCCGCATCGCCGCTCATTTCCTCCCTCCCAGCACCTGGAGGCGCCTTCCTACAACAGCAAGTTGCGACCGGCACGACACGGTGCGAGCGGCGTGGGACTGGCCGAGGCTTGCGCGCGGTGAGAGGCTCCGGGCGAGCACGCAATGCGAGTGGCGCGGAGGGGCGGCGGCCTCGCACAACGAGGCACGCGCGCGCCCGACTCGTGCCCGTGCACAGCCCGACCGCGCCGCTCCCGGGGGAACGCCCCGGCGGCGCCGCGGGGGCTCTTGCGGCAGGGATGCGCGCCGCAGGGTCACTGGCGAGGCCTTCCCGCCTGCTGTAGCACCGTAACGTCGCGTAGAACCCGGCGCAAGGAGCGGGAGGTGCGAGGGAGTGCAGGTGGGGCGGGACAGCGGAGTTTTCGGGAGGCGAGGGGCGGCGCGGGGTCCCACGTAGGCGGCTTCGGGCCCGTGGGGTCCCTGCGGGGGGTCCAGGATGTCGCAGCAGCAGCAGGGGCAGTACAGCATGGGGCAGGGGCAGCGTCCGGGGATGACGCAGCAGCAGTACGCGTACATGATGCAGCGGGGGATGATGTCGTTCGCGCAGCCCAACTACATGGCCATGGCCGCGGCCCAGAGGAGGCCCGGCGGGTATCCCCAGGGAGCGTACGGGCACGGGGCGCCAGGGATGCAGGCGCAAGCGCAGCAGCGCCAAGCGATGCTCCGACCTCAGGGGCAGTACAGGTGAGCGGGCGACGCGGCCGGGCGCTCTTGGGGCGCTCGCGCGTGGTTTTCTGTCCGCCGGGTGCGCGCTGTCGTTTCGGGGGCCCGTGCAGCGCACTGAGCCTGGTGCGCGCCGCGCCGGCGCGCCGGCGCATCCAGGGGTCACGCTGCGTGGCGTGGCGCGCGCACGCGGCCCGTTGCGAGCGTCGTCTCGGCCCGCAAGTGCCTGAGCCGCGTTGTCCTCGCGGCCCGATCGCTCCCACTCGCTGATACGCGCAAACTCCGTCGCTGCGGCCCACCGTTTCGGTCCTGCGTCCAAGCGACCGCGGAACCCGCCTCGGGCGCGCCTGCAGGCCCGCTGCGCCCACGGGGGGCGAGACCGCGCGCAAGAAGCAGGGCGCGACGCCGCAGAAGGGCCGCAAACGCAAGCGCATGGCCCCGCAGCAGGAGAAGAAGCGACCAGAGGCGCACCTCGTCGCGCCGTACGTCCCGGAAAGCAAGGTCCTGGGGGAGATGGTGGACTTGGAGCGGCAGCTGGACCTCGTCATGGAGGACCGCAAGGCGCTGCTGTACTCCCTCTGCGACGCGCGGACGCAGCACGCCACGTCGCACCATCGCAGGAGGTGCGGTCGATCGACGCCTTGGGTCGTTTGCTGTCTTTCGCGCTCAATGCGTCGTTTGCCTGCACAGTGGCGAACCGCCGGCGTGGGCGGCCGCGTGACCGTGCAGGATGCGCATCTGGGTGTGGAGCGTCCCGCACAACCAGCGCCTCGCCGGCGCCGCGGGCAGCGGCGCGGGGTCGCCCGACGTCACATCTGAGGCGCCCAGCTGGTCGCTGTACGTCTACTCGCGCCTCCTCGCCGCGCCCGTCGGCGCCACGATGTCCTCCGAGGTCGAGGAGGCCAGGGGCGTCACCAAAGCCATCCCCGTGCCCCCCAGCGCGGGGCCCGCCGACGAGAGCGACGACCACGTCCCGCTGGGCTCCTTCTTCTCGAAGGTCGCCGTCAAGTGCGCACTGCCGCCTCGCACCGCCCGCGCGCCCGCCCGCTGGAGCTCCAGGCCCCGATCTGTCCACGGTCCCCGCCGCCCGCCCCCGCCGCCACCGTTGTGAGAACGTTGTTGTGCGCTGCGCGCAGGCTGGAGGGGGAGTGCGCGGGGGGCCCGTCTGAGGTGGTGTGGGAGCGCAGGAACCACGTGGGGGAGCCGCCGTCGAGCATCGAGGTGAAGCGGCGGGGGTCGTCGCGGGTGAAGGCCTCGGTGACGCTGACGCCGGGGGGGCGCCCCACGCGGTACGCGCTGGACAAGAAGCTCGCGACGTTCCTCGGTCGCACCGAGGGCACGCGGTCGGAGGTCCTGCTCGGCGTGTGGTCCTACGCCAGGTGAGTCGAGGCGCCGCGAGGGCGCCGACAGACACGGATTCCCATCTCCTGGCCCGCCCGACTCTCTGGCATGGAATTCTGCGACGACGAGGCGCCTCAAGGCGCGCCTTGACTGCTCACGCGTGCAGGTCGCGCCGGCTGCACGACGTGGACAAGGCGGAGGTCCGGCCGGACGCTGCGCTGGCGACGGCGCTGGACATCCCCAAGGACTCCCCCCTGTCGCTCAGCGCGCTGGCGGCCGCGATCGTCGACCACCTCGGCGACCTCCCGGACATCACGCTCACGCACACCATCGAGACCGACACCGTCGCGGAGCGGGGCAGCGACGAACCCCCCCCCGCGGTGTCAGTCTGGGACATGTGGGTCGACAACCCCCCCCCGAACACCCCGAACCCCGCCGGCGCCGACGGGCCCGTCGCACGCCTCCGGACGCGCGAGTCCGAGCTCGTCGCGCCCGGCCGGCGCGTCAACGAGCTCCTGGGGCGCCTGGCCGAGCACCGCCGCCGCCGCGCGATGTACCTGGCGTTCGCGCGGACGCCGGTCGAGATCGTGAACGCGATGGTCCTGTCGCAGCTCGCGGACGTCCGGCTCGTGCGCGACGGCTCGTCGCAGCAGGCGCAGCTCGCCCAGCAGCAAGCCATCGTCGCGGGACTGGGCGCCGCGGCCGCGAGCGCGCTGCCGGGGTCGCGGGAGGCGGCGGAGTACGTCGTGGGCTTCCGGAGCGAGGTCTTCGCGGAGAAGTGGGCCGAGGAGGCCACGCTGCGGTACTTGCAACGCACCGAGAACGCAAAGCGGGACGCCAGCCGGGCGAAGGAGGCGGCCGCGAAGCAGAAGCAGGCGGCCGAGCAGGAGCGCCGGACGACGCGGCAGAACCCGAACGCCGGCGCGCGCGGGAGCTGAGTCGCCGGGGCGGTGCGCGGGCGCGTGTGATAGTGCGCGAGACTGTGTGTGTGTTTGTTTGCGCGGGGCCGGGGCGTCGGTGGGGGCGCGGGGCGGCGTGGGGTGCGGGGTGCGTGCGTGCGTGCTCGGTGGGGGGTCGGTTGCGCGAGGGACGCGGTTGCGGCGCAGTGCGGTTGCGTGGCGTGGCTCGGGGGCGGCGGGGGGCGCCGCGGGGGGCGCGGGAGGGGCCGCTCGCGGAAGGGGTCGTACGGGCGGACGGAGTTGGTGTATGACATGTCGCGTGCGTGCAGGGGCCGGCGGGTCAGGGCGCTGCGTGCGCGGCTTGGGCGTCCAAAGCGCAGGGCGTTCGTTGTTACGCGGCCCGGGCTGGGTCGGGCTGGGAGGGAGGGGCCGTGGGTGGCGCCATGGGGCCGCGTCGCGGGCCGCGCGCGCCACAACCCGCGAGTCGGGGCCGTTGATAGTCCTGCCATCCGGATACCTCGTGTCGACGCGGACGTGGTGGCGCCTGGCGGGCGTGGGCAGCATCCCTGGGCCGCCCGCTCGCTCGGCACCCCGCGCGCGAACTCGACAGGGCCGCAGACAGGGAATCGATCAGCATTCGTGCATCCGCGGGTTTTCATCAGCGACACAGGTCCGGCGCTGAGCCCAAGTTCGCTGCGTTCCGACTGCGGGCCGCGGGACTGCATCCAGCTGGCTGGTCATGGCCCGGTGCTTCGCGTAACGGACACGCATCGACCGAAACGTGCTCCTGCCTCGTGACGCAGGAACTAGAGGTCCGGGAAATCGCACAATGTTCCCTCAGCTTGGCTCTGCGCCGCCGGAGTGGGTGAGTAAACCTCTGCATTCCCTCGCCCATCCTTCTTCCGCCCCTCACGCGCTACTCCGTCCGCAAAGTCCATCAAACGCGACGTGATCGAACGTATCTGTGTTCGATTTCGCCTACTCGTACGTCGAACGCCTCTTTGTGCGGCGTTGCGGGACGCCGCGCCGGCCCAGAGCCCCCGCGCCACATCACCGCTGCGCACGAAGCCCCGCCCGCCCCTTTCTCCAGCCGCACGCGCACGTCGCAGCCATGACGTCTCACGGGAACGCCCGCGCCGTCGGTATCACGTGTTCCAGCCCCACGCGCGCGCTTCGGCCCACCCTCCTGCTCTGCCATCATCACGTGCAGGCCGGCGACTGGGAGCCGTCGCCGGAGACCTCGCCGAGCTACGGCGCCTCGCGCGCGCCCGGGATGCGCGCCGCGAAGGCCGACACGGAGGACACGTCCATGGGGCCGTACGGCACCTCGGTCGGTCACGGGGGGCGCGGCGCGGCAAGCGACGCGCGCGGGGGCGCGCTGGGGGCGCTGGGGCGCGGCGGCGGCGCGCAGGCTCCGGTGTACACCCACTGGCTGAACCGCGGGCAGGGCGACAACGCAGCCGCGGGGGGGTCTCCTGCGAGGGGGGGCGGTCTCGTGCAGTCGGTGGCGTCCGTCGGCGACACCGACCACGACGACGTCGTCACGAGCCGGCCGCAGACGCAGCCGTCGAGCCGCTCCAACTCCCGCCGCAACAGCTTGCAGCGCGCCGACACGCGGCCCTACAACGGGGGCCTCCCGATGCCCGGCCAGACCGACGCCGCCCCCGGGGCGCGCGGGGGCGGCCGCCCGCCCCTCGGGAGCGGCCGGGGCCGCGCCGCAGACGCGCCGCAGTCCCCGCAGCACGACGCGATCCCCGTCGGCGCCGCGCAGCCGCCGCCGGCGCCCGCGGCGCTCGCCCGGCAGAGCTCGAGCGACAACAACAACGCGCTCTCCGAGCAGGGGCTCGCCGGGGGCGGCCTGGGGTCCTCGTGGGGCCACGACGGCGACATGGACGCGTCGCGCGCGACGGGCGTGGGCACGGGCTCCATCGCGGACCCCACGGCGGTCCGCGGGCGCGCCCCGGCGGCCCACCAGGGCCCGCGCCGCGTGCTGCGCGTGGGGCGCTTCGACTCGTGGGCGCGCATGGTCGCGTACGAGGCGTGCTGGCAGGTCTGCCTGCAGTCCGCGCTGTCCGGCGAGCGCCTCGCGGAGCCCTTCCTGGACCGCGGCTGCCTCCTCCTGAAGAAGGCGTTCGGGATCGAGGCGCTGGTTCTCGGAAACCCGAACCAGGACCGGCCCGAGGTGATATGGGAGGACGTCGACACGGTGCAGGAGGCGCTGGGGACGGACGAGGACTACCAGCGCTACACCGAGCGCGTCCGCGAGGGCCTGCGCGTCGAGGTGCTGAAGATCCAGCGGCGGCAGGCGCGCGGCGGCGGCGGCGACGCGGGCGACCCGTTCGTGGTGCTGCGGCCGCGCTCGCGCCCCGAGGACGCCGCGGTCGTCGTGCGGCCGGGCGGGTCGGGCGGCGGGGGGTCGTCGTCGGTGCTCGTGAGCCAGGCCGAGGCCGCGGAGGACATGCTGCTCGAGCTGTGGGACGGGGCGGGGTGCCTGGCGCGCGGGGCGGTGCCGATGGGGGCGCTGTGGGCGTCGCTCGAGGGCGTCGAGGAGGTGCTCGCGGAGGTGGGCGGCGGCGCGCCGGGCGCGGCGGGGGCCGGGGGCAAGGAGGGCGGCCACTGCGGCGCCGGCGCGGGGGGGCTGGGGAACGCGCTGCGGCACAAGGCGGCGCGGCTGGTGCGGCGCGCGGCGGGGCGGAAGGACCCGGTCGTGCTCGGGGCGCTGCGGGACGGCGACGGCGGCGCGCGGCACAAGGTGCACTTGCTCGGGGAGAGCGGCGTGGCGGTGGGCAAGGTGACGCTGGCGCTGTGGCGGCCGACGCGCGCGGAGGCCGACATGGCGAACGGGCGGCAGGCCGGGCGGATGTGCGAGCTCGGGGACGGCGTGGGCGTCGGCGGCGGCGGCAACGGCGGCCGCGCGGACGGCGGCGGCGCCGCGAGCGCGCTGCAGCGCTCGTGGTCGCTCAACAACCAGCAGGCGTACGACATGGCGCTGATGGCCGCGCTCGCCGCGCAGGGCTGCGGCGCGCGCAAGCTCGTCCTCGAGGGGCCCTGGCAGTGGCTCCTCAAGGAGCTCGCGCGCGTGTACGGCGTGCGGGAGGCCTACACGGCCCTCACGTACCTCAAGTGGGCGCTGCAGCCGCAGCACGCGACGCCGACCGCGGACTGCTTCAGCGTGCTGCTCGCGGGCGTGCGGCCGCTCAAGGAGGCCGAGCTCGCGCGCACGCTCCCGGCCGAGGAGTCGGCGATGCTGCGCAGCATCTGTCAGGCGGTGGAGTCCCTCGTCGCGCGCGCGCTCGAGTCGTACCGCATGCTCTCGGAGCAGGCGCCGTCGGGGCTGTGCGGGCCGGGCGAGGCGCCGCCGCAGCTGCCCGCGCCCGCCATGGCGCCCGCGCTCGCGCTGTACTCCATGCTGCGCGACCCGCTCTCGCCGTCCGACCAGCAGTGGCTCTCCGCGCGGTTCCAGACGGCGGCGCGCCGCCGGTACCTCAAGCTCGAGCTCGTGTGCGCGGAGGCGCCCGACAGCGTCGCGCCGGCGCCGCACGCGCCCGGCGGCGCGCAGGGGGGCGGCGCGGCGCGGGCGGCGGCGGCAACGGCCGCGGCACCTCCGCGGTGGGCCCGCGCGGCGCCGACCACGCCGGCGGCGGGCAGTCCGGTGCGGAGCGCGAGTACCGCCAGATCGAGGCGCTGTGCAACGCCATCCGCGTCGACCTGGAGGGCGACATGCGCGTCCAGAGCGCGCGGATCCTTCCGTCGTTCGTCAACCTCCCGCGCATCGTCGCCGCGGAGTACTGCAAGGAGCTGGTCGAGCAGCTCGAGGCCGTGCTGAAGTACCGCCCGCCCGCGCAGCCGACGCCGCCCGCGGTGCGCATGCTCGTGTCGGTGGGGCGCCTGCAGGCCTTCCTGGCGCGGAACGGCATGCAGCCGCCGCGCGGGGCCGCGGGGCACGTCGAGGCGCGCGCGCTCTTCTCGCCGCACGTGCTCAAGTGGCTGGAGGGCTCGCAGGCGGCGATCGCGGCGCGCTGCCGTGACGCGCAGGGCTCGGCGGCGCGCGAGGCCACCGCCGGCGACGCCGCGCTCGCCGGGCACGACCTCCCCGCGGGCGCGGCCGCGCCGAGCCCCGGCGGCGGCGCGCAGCGCGAGGCGCGGAGCGCGGTGGTCGCGGAGGTCGTGGGCGCCGTCAACGCCGAGGTTGCCAAGTACGAGCAGGTGGTGTGCCACTGGCCGGTGTTCGGGTGCTCGCTCGAGCGCGTGACGTGCGCGTCGATGCGCGAGGTGCTGCAGCTCGTGGGGTCGCTGTACGGCGGCCTCCCGACCGCGCAGCGGAAGAAGTTCTCGAACAAGACCAACCGCAAGGACGCGGGGGGGGGGTTCACGCCGCTGTTCCGCGGGAAGCAGTCCGAACGGTCCAACTGGGAGGTGCGGGCGCCCCGCGCCGCCGCATGCTCGCAATCGTCGCCCGCGCCGCGCCGCTCGCTCGTGTCTTGCAGGTGTCTTACGGGTGGCTCTCTTTGATTCGTTCGCGCAGGTGCCCGTGGACGCGCGCGGCCTCCCGCGGCTCACGCTGTCCGAGGCCCGCGTCCTGAACGCGCTCAAGTCGCTCCTGCACTGGGTCCCCGAGGCCGAGCGTCTCCTGACGGACTGGTGTGGCGGGAAGGCCCCCGGGATCCAGGAGGACGGCGCGCCCGGGTCGGGCCCGCGGCCGAGGCTCGGGGAGCAGTTCGCGCAGCTGCGGAAGGAGGTGAAGATGGTGCGTCGTCCACCCCCGGCTCCGATAAGGCTGTGTGGGTGTCTCTTGCCTCCTGTTTTGCGCATGAGCTCTCCGCGACCCCGCGCTGGACCGCGAGGGGGTCGGGGCGGCGCGGGACGGTGCGGTCGCGCCAGGCGGGCGGCGCGATTGCGCCGCGCGCGGCTCCGAGCCGGCCATCCGGTGGTGGGACATGGATCGTGGACAAGTGCGCGGGCAGACAGGTTTCCTCGTCTCCCGTTCCCTCTTCCCCGCAGGAGTACAGCGCGGCGGTGAAGAACACCGTGGAGCGCATGGCCGCGCAGCTCGGCACGTCCCGCGAGCTCAACGTCCGCACCGTGCTCGTGGAGCTCGCGCGCGGCGGCGGCGCGGGCGAGGCCGACGTCGGCCGCGCCCTGGGCGCCCTCACGGCCTCCCTGCACGAGGTCCTCGAGCACTGCCGCGCGGTGCTCGCGCCGCGCGTGCACGTCTCGGTCGTCCGCGGCCTCTGGGACTGCACGTGCCGCGAGGTGTTCGGGTACGCCGAGGCGCTGTCGGACGGGCGGGGCAACGGCGCGGGCGGGCAGGGGGCGTGGCGCGGGCGCACCGCGGCCGCCGCGGCTCTGGACTGCATCGACCAGTGGTTCCAGGGCGCGGTGTCGCGCGGGGGCGGCCGCGGGCTGAGCCAGGCCGACCTGGAGCCGCCGTTCCACGCGGACGCCGCGCGGAAGCTCGTTGGGGCCGCCGAGTGCGGCGACGGGCGGGACTCGTACACGGTGTACTGAGTCGGGCGGGGGACGCCGGGGGTGCTGTGCAGCGGAGCGCAGATCGGTGCAGACGACGGTACGTCGCCGCAGGTGCCTGGCTGGCGCGAGGAGGAGGAGTGCTGTGTTGCTTGTGTTGTTGTTGTTGTTGTCAGGGGCGGAGGGGTGTTGTGTGGCGCGCGGACGGGCGAGTCTCGGCGCGCGTGTGATCTTGCGAGGTGTGCGCGCGTCTGGGCCGCGGGAGGCGCGGGGTACCCTTGCGGTGTGTGCGTGTTGGCGGAGGTGGTTGATCGACAATGGCCGGAGCACGGTGGCGTGCGTCCGAGCGCGATGGCCAGCGTCGCCGTGGAGACTCTGTGTGGTGTGCCGTCGTGGGCTGAGTGTGGTGCCTCGTGGCGCTTTGGGGAGGCCAGGGCGGCCCGTCGGACGAGCCTGCTGAAAGAACCAGATGCGCCGGGCCTGATAGGCGCCGCGCGAGGGGATCTCCGGGACACTGTGCGACGGACAGCACATTATCCTCCGCGGTCTTTCCCGTCACAGGTGCGTCCCGCAGGCGCGCGGCGTCGCTTGTTTGCGCGGAGGGTGCATCGGCGGTTGCGCCGGCGCTCGAGACAGCGCGGTTGCGGTTGGCGGCCGATATTTGCGATGACGTTGCTGAATGATGGCGTCGTGCCGAAACTTGCTGCGACCAGAGCTCCGTAGACGCGTGTAGGCGGTAGTACAGGCACCGTTTGCCGGGGCCGGGTGGGACGCACGCCGAGGTCGCAGCAGGCTGCTGGGCGATGCCGCGACGCGACTCCACGTCGCCAGCCCGCCAGACGCCTCTCTGGCCGTCCCCGGGCCGTCCCTTGTCCCCGGACGCGAGCGTTCGCTACTGCGTGCCCTAAGGCCTGCAGCGGCGTCGTCCGTGGGCCTCCGGCGCGGCACGGTCGCGCGAGCGCCACGAGAGATCTCCGGGGTCGCCGAGAGACGGCCTCCCGCGAGATGTGCGGCCTCGCACGCGCAGGGTGGGGCGCATTGGCCGTGAAAACGGCCTCGCTCCGCCTCCGCGACCGTCTGCGCGGCGGTGCCGCGGCAGCAGGCGGTCGTCGGCATGTAGATCCCGGGACGCTCGCTCGGAGCGCCTCGTCGCGGCTGCGCAGTGCGTCCGGCGCCGTTTTTCCACTCCTGCTCTCCCACGGCGCCCGTCCCCTTTGACGCGCACCCCGGCCCTGCAACCCCCGGCAGCGCCACGCGCCGCGACCTCCACTTTCCGTCCATGCCGTTCCTGACCCCGCAGCGCAATCTTGCTGCACGCCCCGCCCGCAGAGCCCAACCAGCTCCCCCGCCGTGTGTGTCCCTTCCCCGCAGTTCCTTGCCGTTTCCGGCCCGCGCACGGACCCCCCTCGCCGCCATGCTGCAGTACCTCGCGGCGGGCGCCATGGTGACGTGCCTGGTGTTCGACTTCATCGCCATGGGCGGCCTGGCCAAGCAGACGCGGCAGTGCATCGACAACAGCGGCGGGCGCGACGCGTGCGGCGACATCTACGGCATCAACTGGGCCATCACGACCCTCATCGCCGTGTACGGCGTGCTCATCGTCCTCATGTGCCTCATGAACAAGATTCGCGGCATGTACTCGAAGAGCTTCATCTGCGGCTCCCTCGCGATGTTCTTCTACTGGGTGGTGCTCTTCGCGGACGCCGAGATCGTCATTGGCAACACCGAGAAGAAGCAGGACGGGTGAGCTGCCCGGAACCCGCCTGCGCGCTGCCGCTGTCGCTGGCGCAGGTGTCTTTGCGCGGAGCTGACCTGTGCGTGTCTCCGTGCCGTGGCTGCAGCGCCGTGGCGTCGGGGTACGTGGCGCTGAGCATCGGCATCCCTGCCGTGATGGCGCTCGTGTCGCTCGCGCCGGAGCAGCGTTCGGAGGAGTACCAGAGCTAAGTCTTGAATTGTGGAGTTGAACAGCAGTCCTGGTGTCTCGAGTGCCGAACTGCGTTGGAAACAGCTACGGCGCGCCGCGGCTGCCCCGGTGCAACGCACGCCCCCCCGTGCGCGCACCATCCCGCGTCAGCAGCAGGGGGATACACACGTGTGATTGTCTGAAGGGCAGCGCGACGCCCCGTGCCGCAGCCGGATCCAGACACGTAATTCGGCGTGCGAGAGCGACCCCGCGACGTCGCGCGCGTCACCCATCGCCGGCCGCCGGCCGCTCAGCAGCTCGCGCAAGTTGTCGATGCACGTGCGCGCCGAACGACGCGCCGCCCTCGCATCGGCGCTGTGAGCGGCGCGATCTGCGGCCGCTTGTCGCACCGGCGCAGCGGGGGAACAGCCACGTGCACCTCTGTCTTGCCAGGTGGGGGTTTCCCCTGTTGCCCAGATCTCAGTGCGGGCGGGCGCTCCGCGCGTTCGCACGCGCGGAGACGTTCCTGCGTCGGCCGCGCGGAGTTCCCGGCCCTTGGCGCCCCGCGGGCAACGTGCCGCGTGACCGCTGCTGCTGCTGCTCGTGCGCAGAGAAGTCACGTTGCCCGCATGGCAACGGCGGCGGCCGAGCGCCCACGACACATTGAGCGACTGAATGCACGCGGACAGATGACGACGCGAGCCCCCGTGCGCACCGAGGGCTCCTCGCGCGAGCACCACGGCGCCGGGCAGCTCGCCCCGCGAGACACGGGCAGCGAGAGCGATCACAGCAGTCTGCGCGTACAACTGCACCGCAGCTGCGCCGGATGCCTCGATCGCAGCGCCCACCGCCGCCCTACGCCACCGCGAGCCGCGTGCGGCCGTAGCTTGGTCAACTTCGTTGCCGTGCTGGGCGCGCCAGCAACGACCGGCGTCTTACTTCGAGGAGCTGCCGTCGTGGGACATCGAGGCGAGCAGGATCGCGGCGGGGATCGCGATCGCCATGACGGTGTGGCCGGACGCCGAGGCGCTGCGGAGCGACGAGCGGGGGGGGGGCGGGCGATGAGCCGTTGCACACGACGCGAGTCGCCGCGGTGCGCGGGGCGGGGAGGCGGGCGGCGTGGCGGGCGGGCGGCGCACCCGAGCTCGTCCTTGGAGGTGGTGCCGGGCCGGATGTAGAGGTCGGCGTAGCGCACGATGAGGGGCCAGAACATGGCCAGCGAGGCGCAGACGAAGACCTTGGCCGGGGCGCGCTTGACCTTGCCGAGGATGCACAGGAGCGCGGAGAGGATGAGGTAGATGCCGACGGCGAAGATGAGGAACCACTCGAGGCCGAGGATCTCCCCGCACTGGTCGTCCGTGTTGTTGTCGCGGCACTTCTTCGTCGTCTCGGCGAGGCCGCCCATCGCGATGACGTCGAACACCACGCCGCCGATGCACGCGCCCGCAGCGAGGAGGTGCCACATGGTGTCGGTTTCCTGCGGGCCGGGGGCGGCGGCGAGGCGGGGTCGGGGCTGCGGGGCTAGGCAGTTGGGCGGGCTCGCGGTTGCGGCGGTGCTGGGGCGCGAGGGAGGTGCGCGGCGACGCGGGGGGCATGTATTGGGTCTGAGGGGGGCTCGAGGTGGTGGGGGGCGGCGGGGGCGGCGCGGGGGGGGCCGTGCGGGGAACTGGAGGTGGTGGGAGGGGGAAAAGTGCGCTTTCCGTCGCGCACGGCCACCTCGGCGGCTGGCCAGCGCGTGCAGTGGGGAGCATGTGCCTGCACGGCGTCGGGGCTGCGCTGCTACGCTCCGGAAAGGCAGCCGCGTGCGGTGGGCCGGCGCGAGGTGCCCACTGTCCCACCCTACGCGTGCGGACCCCCGCAGCCTCAAAGCGCGCGCCTCTCGCGAAGCTCCAGGTCGCATACTGCTGCATGCGCAGTCCGGACTCGCCCAAACGCGGCTCGCGGCGCCGAACTAGGCCTTAGGGCACCGGTCACTGGCTTCGCGCCGCTGGGCGCCCGCCCGGGCCTCTCCGGCCGCGCCACGGGATCCCGAAGATAGAGAGATATGCGTGCATCGCGGGACACGCCCAGGTCGCCTGTCGCGCGCCTGGCGGCAAGCCCAGACTGAACGAGCCTGCTGCCCGAAATGCCGCCGCTGGCGCTGCCCCGCGCGCGCGTTTCCCGAAAAGCGCCGCCCAGTCAACGTCATTCGCCGCGGGCATCTCGAACGACGCCCTGGCAACGCCCGCGCGCAACCTCCACGGGCGGGACGGCCATGGCACCCGGGCGCATCCACGCACTCGTCCGCGACGCACCTGTCGGTTTCAGGAGCGAGGTGTCCCGGGAAAGAATGTGCACAACTGAACGCGTCGCGCAATGCCGCGGCGGCGCCGCCCAGCGTCGCCTTTAGGCCCGGACCGCGATGCTGTTCGCCTGGGGAGTTACCGACTCGAGCCGAGCGCCGTTGGCGCGCGCGCAGCAGCGTCTGGGCATCACACGGTCGCCTCCACTTCACACGCGATGCAGCGAACCGCCTAGGACGCCGGACCCGGTCCTCCCCGGCCCGCAGGCGGCGCTGCATCCATCCAAGTCCCACTGCCAGTTTGCTGAGCAGCTCGTCGGCGCAGCTCCGCCGCAAGCCGTTCAGCGGCCTCCTGCGCCTCCCCCATGCGCCCCTCGTGCACCTCCAAGCAGACTTCGGCGCCCGCGACCGCCGCCTGCCACGCACGCGCGTCGCGAACGTCCGCATTCCCCCCCTGCGTCACGCCGTCCTCGCCCCGCGCCAAACACGCCCGCGCCTGCGCCGGCAGATCCTGCGCGAGGTACGCCGCCGCGAGCCCGACGTTCGCCGCCGCCTCCACCGCGCCCTCCCCGCCTGCACCGAGCCACGCAGCACCGGTCGTGTCTGTCCTTGCAACACGACACCCTCGCGGCCGCCGGGCGCCGCGCGCACGCGACAGGCCTGCGCAGCGCCGCCACGTACCTGCGCGCTCCCGTGGTGCGCCGTCGCCGGCGGGACTCGAGCCCCCGACGACTGAGAGCGCCATGCTGAGGTGCGCGATGGCAGCGTCCGCGTCGTTCCGCGCCATGCACGCCTCCGCGGCGTAGAGGTGTGCCAGCGGCGCGAGCCGCTCCTGGTCTCCTCCCGCGTCCACGCCCTGCGACGGCCGCACGCGAACGCCACCCTGTGACCGTGACTGCAACGAGCACGAGCAGGCAGTCTGGAACGGCAGAACGGCAGCGGGCGCACCTGCAGCGCCTCCCGCGCCGACGTCAGCGCCTCGCTCGGGCACCCCACCTCCAGCGAGCACATTGCGTGCAGCAAGGCGGCGTGTCGCGCCACTCCGAGCGCCGCCTCCGCCTCCGCCGCGAGCCACGCCGCCCGCACGGCCGACTCGCCCGTCCCCCGCCCCTCCGCCGCCGCGGCTGCGCGGCCCAGCTCCGCCGCCTCGTCGCGCGCGAGCAGCAGCGCCACGCGCGCGCACCGCCGCGCCGCCTCCCTGCACCGCACCTCCGCGCTGCACGCGTCGGGCCCCGCGAGCACGTCCGGCGCCAGCGGCGCCGCGCCCTCGATCGCCGCGAGCACCGCGGCGCACTCCGCGTCCGCGAGGGCCTCTGCGGCGTCAGGGAAACCACCCCCAGCTGCCGCACACACTGCCCGCCAGCCGCAGCGGCGCGACCAGTCCGGCGCGGCGTCCCGGCGCCCCGCGTGCGCGCAGCACTCCGCAAGACGAACCCACAGCTCCGGAGACCCCACGCGCTCCGGCGCCGCGCGCACGAAACACCGTGCCGCGTCCACCACGTGACCGTCCCGCAGAAACCCCCCCCCCAGCGCGTACGCCGCGTCCGCCGCGACCCACGCCGCCCCGGCCCCCGCCAGCAGGTGCCCGCCGACGACCTTGCACGCCCCGCTCACCGCACCGACCAGCGAAGCCTGCTGTGCCGCCCGCGCCCCCGCGGCACCCCACGCCCGCCCCGCCAGCAGCCGCGCCGCCGCCCGCGCCCCCGGCGGCGCAGTCCCTGGCCCCGCCACGTCCTCCAGGACGCGCAACGCCATGCGCGGCTGCCCCGCCGCCACCAGCAGCCCCCCGTGCATCAGCGACGGCTCATCACCTGCACGGACGGCTCTCGGGCAGCGCGGCGCCGGCTTCTCAGCTGCACAAGGAGAGGGGCGTGCGGCGAAGGCGGATGCGCGACGGCGCCGTGGTCAGGGCAACACACCCCCTCCGTCGAACATCTCGGCACGTGCCACGTACTCCCGGGCCCCGGCGGGGTCGCCGAGGACGACGCTGAGCCGCGCACGCAGCAGGGCGTCGACCGCGCGCCACTCGTCCGCCCCGCGCGCCGGCCGCGGGCCCCGCTCCCCGCGCCCCGCGCCCGCTGCGCGCGCAAGCGCCCTCTCGAGGTGCGACAGCGCGGTTTCCGCGCCGGCGGCGTCGCGCGCGTGAATCGCGATCGCAGCCGCGAGGGCACACGCCTGCAGCGCGGCCTCGGGCTCCGCCAGGTCGGACTCGGGGAGGAGTGATGTCAGGATGTGGTATGATGTGGCGAGACGCCCCCCCGCGGCGAGCGCGACGGCCGTGTTGACCGCGAGCGTGCGGTGGTCGAGCCCGGCCATGTGGCACGGCCCGCACGGCGCCGAGGACGCCAGCGCGGCCGCGCTCGCCGCCACCTGCACGAAACCCTGCGCTGCAGGACGGTCCCTGGCGTCTTCGTCCACAACGGCGAGCTGCTGCGCGACGGCGTCGTCCGAGGGCGCGAGGTCGTCGTTCTGGAGGCCTGCGTCGGCGGCGCGGGCCGCCGCGGAGCGCCGGGCGAGGACGCTGGTGCACCGGAGCAGGCGCGCGAGCTGCTCCACGAGGGCGCGCGCGTCGCCGTCGCGCATGAAGCTCGCGATCGCGAGGTTGTGGTGCGCGCGGAGGTCGCCTGGCCGGGACGCCTGCGAGCGGGGCAACAACATATTGCCGCTGATGGGGACGCGGCGCCGGGTGGGGAAGGTGGACGCGCCAGGTCGGCAGCCGCATTTGAACTTTCCTACGTGGTCGTGCGATTGCGATGGCCGAAGCCCGCAGACATGAAACGGAAGGGTGCGAGAACGCGTGCTCGATCTGAGCTCACCAAAGTGCGCTGCAAAAGCAGGCAAGCCGCATCCCACTCGCCGCGCACGAAGCACCCGTACGCCTCAACGTCATCGTCGAGGCGTGCATTGTCCGTCTCGGCCTCGCTACCGCCCGCCATGGCGCCCGACGGCACACCTCTAGCGTCCTGCTCAGCTCCCGCTCACGCCGCGCCGGCGCACGCAATCGATTCCGCGACCACGGCAACGACCACACATCATCTCCACATCCTGCGCCCGCAACACCCCCCTGCCCCCGCGCCTCAACGGAACCCCCCCCAACGCCCAAGTCTTGGCTCAACTCCCGTCAACGCGTCGTGGGAGCGTTCTCGTCGACCGGACCCGGCACACTAGTCAGACGCGCTGCCGCGACCGCGGTGCTCGCAGCCGGCCCTGCGCGCAGCCCTCAACCGCGTCGGCGCGCGAGCCTCACATTCAATAGTGGCCCCGGGTCCTCCGTGGCTCTTCTCAGAACGTGACTCCGCTTCCCGGCTCAACGGGCGGCTGGGACGACCTGGCACGGCCTCACCGATGCCGCGTGTGGCTGTCGTCGCGCCCTCGGGCCCCTGAGAGCGCGGACCCGCGCGGGAGCGTCCGGTCCGGAGCACGCAGGGGTGCGAGCTGAGAGCAGGCGGTTCGAGGCGGCACCGCGGCGCGCAAGGATGGCTGCGGCGCAGTGGATCATGCCGGACGGCAGCGTGGGGTCCCTGGGCGACTTTCTCACGCGCAAGCTGTACGCCACGCAGGACCGGCGCTCGACAAAAGCCAAAACGAGCGCAAGAGGCCTCGAGGCGAAATGGGACCGATGCAGCGCCACGATCCAAAGTAAGCGCCGCCCCGACGCTCCGGCAGCTCCGTGGGTCCGCGCACGACGCGCTCGCGCCGGCGCGGCGCGTCCCCACCTCCCGGGACGCCCTCACGCCCCACGGCGCTCTCACGCCCGTCCACCCCTCAGCTGACCCTTCAGACCGCGGTATCGCCGTGCACGCGCCCCCCGGCGCCCAACTCGCACGCCAGCGGCCTCAATCCGTGCCTCATCTACCCCCTCCGCACCCCGCGACCTCGCGGCGGCCTCGCACCGCGCCGCACGGAGCCATCCCCCCCTGCCCAACGCAACAAGCTTGCTGCCATCCCGTCCGCGCGCGCAGAGCCGGACCCGACGTGTTCGTCCGTTCCGACGTACGGGAGCGTGCCGTCCCCCGAGGTCGCGCACCTCGAGGCCGTGATCGCCGAGAGGCTGGGCAGCCGGCGCCGCAACCGCTGGATGAACGAACGCCTGCTGCGCGAGCTGTCCGGCCCGCTGACGGCGACGGAGATGCGCTCGCTCTTCTCGCCCGTGCCGTTCGGGCCGCGGGACTGGGAGAGCCCCCTGACTCAGCTCATGAAGGTGGGTGTGTTGCCACGTGGGCCGTTTGGTCTGCGCGGGCGCGTGCGTCGGACCGCGTGTGCTGCGACGGAGGGCCGCGGGGCGGCGGGCGGCGCGCTCGGGGGTTGCTTGGACGGAGCCATGTGCGTGTGCGCACTGACAGACCTGGTTTCTCGACTGGTGTTGCACGCAGTCGGAGAACGCGCAGGCGCTGGAGCTGCTCCGCAACATCGACATGGACAAGCAGGACCGCGTCATCTCCCGGCTCGAGGAGGAGACCGCGGCGCGGCAGGCCAGCCTCAGGGGCCCCCAGCCCGCGTCCCCTGTGGCTGCGGCGGTGCAGGGCTGGGCGACCGTTGGGCGGCGGGCGCGCGCAGCGATGCGGCAGGCCGGCCCTGCGCTCGTGGAGGAGCTCGAGCGGCCGCTGGTGGCGTTCGCGAGCGGGTGCAGGGCGGCGGGGCGCGGGTCGGACGGCGGCGCTGCTGCCAGCGCGTCGGAGCTGCGAATGGTGCGCTGCGCGGACGCGGGTTTGTGGCAGCTCGCGATTCCGCTCGTGCGCGACTGCACTGCCTGATGCCGGCTCGCGCGCGGGGGTGCGCGACGCGGACGAAAACCTCTTCCAAGTCAATGATCCAGAGATGGGAAAATCTCGTCTGGCGAGATGCATTCGATCCTCGTCTACCATGCCGCATGTCCCAGCCCGCCCAGCCGCCGACCCTTTCCGCGTGCGGCTCCGTGACGCGCAGGAGCTCGCCGACCCGTTCCACCGCCTCATCGTCCACGGCCTCGCGGGCTTCCACGGCCTCCTGTCCCGCTCCGAGAACGGCCCCGACGGCACCAAGCGCTACGTCGTGATTCGACAGCGCGTCCGCGACAGCGCGGGCGCCGCGGAGCCTCTCGCGGACGAGGGCGCGGAGGCCTCGGTGCGCGCGGCGCGGCACGGCAAGGGCGGCGCGGCGTCGCCCAAGGGCGGGGGGGGTAAGACGCCCAAGCGGAGGAGTAAGGGGAGTAAACATGCCGCGGCGTCGGTCGCGACGCCGCCGCCGCGCAAGCTCACGCCGCGAGAGGCTGCTGCGGCGGCTGCGCTAGCGCGGGCGAGCGGCGGGGCCTCGGACGGCGGGCACGGCGGGGAGCACGCGAGCGGCGACGCCCACGGCAGCGGTGATGCCGGGGGCGACGCGTCTGGCGCGCAGGAGCCGGCAGCTGCGGCCGAGACTCTTGAGCAGAGCTCGGACGCGCCGGCGCCGAGCGCGCCGATGGAGATTGCGGGCGCTGGCGGGGCGCGGCGTGAGGACGTCGGAGGGGATGTGTTCGCGTCCCCCGGGGGGCGCGGCGGCGCGGAGAGCGAGGAGGAGGAGGACGACGACGACGACGAAGACTGCATCATCATGTGCAGCGACGTGGTTTACCTGCTCGAGTGCGGGGAGGGCTCTCTGTCGCGGGCACTGTCGGCGCTGTCTGCCAGCGATGGCCTGGCGCACGCGCGTCTGGCCACGTCGCTGTAGCTCGCTGTCCACAAGCAGTGGAGTCGCTGCAGCTGTAAGAAGCTGGCCGCTAGAACCTGGTCGCCGTCGCGGGTGTTCGGGGGCGTCGTATATCACCAGACCTGCGGTGTGCCCATGGGGCTCTCGGCCTCCCCCCACCTCGCGAACTGCTACATGTTCCGGCATGAGCTCGCGTTCCTCTGCCAGTTTCGCGACCGCTGGTTGAGCACTGGCGACGTCGCTTGGCTGAAGGTCTTGGGGTCTTTCCGTTATTCCAGGCGCTACATCGACGACAATTTCTCTCTCGCGAACGCACTGTACCGCTACTTCAACACCCACCCCCGCCCCCCCACCCCGCCCCCCGAAACCCCGTCGTCGATCGTAGATCTCATCTCTGGTATACATAACATGTACCCCCCTGTCTTGAGGTCGAATTTGACGCCCCAGCGAACCCGCTCGACGGTGTCTCCTTCCTAGACCTCCGCGTGCGTCCGCATCCCGAATATCAGGGCTTCCTCCTGATCTCGCACTATGACAAACGCGGTCTGTTTCCTGAGAACATTCACCTCATACAGTACCCCCACGCTTCGTGTGCGCTGCTGCGACGACACCTTTACAACATCGTCCGCACCGAACACATCCGCGTGTCCAGCGAGGTGACTGACCGCGACAGCTACGTAGCCAAGATGTCGGCCATGATGCGCTACATGCGTACGCATCGAGGTTACTGCATGCGACAGGTCCTGGCGATCCACCGCGCCGCCTGCCGGACGCACCCGAGCCCGCATTTTGGCCCTGCCACGCCGGCGGGCCTGGCTGACCTCGTGCGTCGCCACGTGCAGTTTGCAGACCATACTGGCCAACCTGCTGACAGGGCGTGCCCGGCGCCCTGCAACTCGTCACCCTCATACATGATCCCGGCGCTGCGAAGCTGGCTCGGAACTATCCAGCCATGCCCGCACACATGACGCACTCTGTTACCCCCCCGATGTTGACATGTTGGCCATGCGCGTATTCCGTGGCCGCTAGACCGAGGTATGATCCCTTTTCGCATGACAGGCCACGCGCGGGGACGGCGATGACGAGGAGAGCTGAGTAGCCGTCGGCGCGTCGCCACACAACGCGGACAATGCCGCAGACTCAGTCACCGCTGTCACCCAGCCGGCTGCCGACACCCCCTGGTACAAGCAGCCTAGGACGTGGACCAGCACTTCGGCGCGTCGGCTGGCGGGCGTCGTCCAGTACTCGCGCGGCTCGCCGCGTTGTTGCTGACGACGCCCGCCACTCACTCTAACTGATTGCAGGTCAGAGCCTTCCCTTGGCACATGATGGCACGCTCACATGGCATTTCGCGCGAGTACTCCTAGCACGCTGCCGCCTTGATCAGGACGATAGCACACCCGCATTTCGTTTCGTGCGCGGGTGGTCAATTACTACTCTGTGTGCTGTCACGACGTCCACACTGATGGGCACGAAGCACACTGATGGGCACGAAGCCGTGCCTGGCCGCTCGCAGTCTCGACGCTTCCAGGCACTGGCCGCGCCAGGGCAGACCATATCCGAACATCACACGCGCACGCGGGCGCTGCTCTCAACCGTCCGTCCCCGAACCTCCCCCCCCCTACAGGGAGGCGGTGTACGCTCGGAGGCGCTCCATGCGCTGCTCGAGCGACACGATCGCGTCGCGGTCGACCAGCTCGCCGTCCTCAGTCGACAGCAGCAGCAGCTGGTCGCCGATGTCCGCCCCGGACAGCTTCCCGGTCAGCGCCACGCGCATGGGGAGGAACAACCGCTTGCCCTTGCGCCCCTGCTCCTTCCCGACGGCCTTGAACCACGTCTCGAGGCCGCCCTCCTCGGCGGCGACCTTGGCGAGCTCGCCGGAGTCCCACGCCGCGAGGACCGCCTGACACAGCTGGCCGAAGTCGTCCTCGATGACAGACTGGCAGGCGTCCGAGGCGACCGTCTCCTCGAGCGGGTACGAGACCACGTCCGCGATCTCCTTCTCGGCGTCCGCGAGCAGGTCGAGGCTCTTCTTCGTCGCCGCGACCAGTCGCGCGACCCAGGGGGACTTCTCCTTGTCCGCGGCCAACACCCCCTTCTTCGCCAAAAAGGCCCCCACGCGCGCGGTGGCGTCCTCGTCCGGGAGCGCGCGCAGGATCTGCCCGTTCATCCACCGCAGCTTCTCCACGTCGAACACCCCCGCCGACTTCGTGATGCGGTCCAGCGTGAACTTTGACGTCAGCTCCTCGATCTCGTAAATCTCCTGCTCCGTGCCGTCGTTCCAGCCGAGCAGCGCGAGGTAGTTGATCATCGCCTCGGGGATGTACCCCATGTCCGCGAACTGCCCGACGGACGTCGCGCCGTGCCGCTTCGACAGCTTCGAGCGGTCGGGGGCGAGAATGATCGACATGTGGCCGAACGCCGGGGGCTCGAACCCGAGGGCGCGGTAGATGAGGACCTGGCGCAGCGTGTTGGGGAGGTGCTCCTCGGCGCGCAGGACGTGCGACACGCCCATCAACGCGTCGTCGACCGTCACGCAGAAGTTGTACACCGGCAGGCCGTTCGAGCGCATGATGACGAAGTCGCCCAGCGTGTCCGTGTTCCACGTGACCTCGCCGCGCACGGAGTCCTTCACGGTGACGTCCTGGTCCTCCGGGACGCGGAAACGGTACACGGGCGTCTCGCCAGCGTCGAGGCGCTCCTGGACCTCCTCCTTGCTTGCGGTCTTCCACTTGCCGCGGTACACCGGCGGAATGCCCTTCTCCTCGGCCTCGGCCTTCATCTGGTCGATCTCCTGCGGCGCGGGGAGCCGCGGGCGCGCAGGGGGGGTCATGAACGGGCTGCGCGGGGCCAGCCGCTGCGCGCGACCGCGAAGCGGGCGCCCGTGCCGACAATGCGCGCACGACCGGAACGGCAGCTGTCCGCAGGAAACACGTCCCGCAACACGGCCATCGCCGAGCGAGAGCACCAACTCCACCGCAGGACTGGCAGTCAGCAGCACCGAGCGGCGCGCTGGCCGCCGTGCGCGGCGTGAGGCTCTAGCGGCCACGGAGGGGAGCAGGGCGCGCACCTCGTCGGTGCAGAAGCACGGGTACGCCTGTCCCTGTTCCACGAGCTGGTTGACATACTTCATGTAGATGTCCGTCCTCTCGCTCTGGCGGTACGGGCCGTGGCCGCCGTCCGTGTCCGGGCCCTCGTCCCAGTCGAGGCCCATCCACTTGAGGTCCCTGCGGGGTCCACAGGCCGGGCCGGGCCGTGAGACGCGCGGCGCTAGGAGCGGTGCCCAGTCAGCGCCGTGCGGGGAGAAACAAGGCCGCGTGACCCGGAAATCTGCTCCGAGGCGACAGGGATATATGTGTGCACAGCGGGGAAGCGACGGAACCGGTGTGAGATGTGAGGATTCGGCGGGCAGGGCCGAGCCTGTGGGCAAGTGGTGGGGGAGTGGGCCTCGGCGCACCGCAGCACTGCCTCCTCGGACTCGCGCGTGGAGCGCGCCTTGTCGGTGTCCTCGACGCGGATGATAAACTTGCCGCCCTGGTTGCGCGCGTAGAGCCAGTTGAAGAGCGCCGTCCGCGCCCCGCCAACGTGCAGGTTGCCCGTGGGCGAAGGAGCGAACCTGACGCGCACCTGCGAGGACGACGTCGCGGGGATGTCTTTGTCGCACGTAGCCCGTGCTGGCCGGGGGGAATTGCGAGGCCGTGGGCGGGGTGGGGCGACGCGGTGGGCGCCCCGGCCCAGACAGATGACGTTCGATCGAGATGAGGGCGTTGCAGTCGAGGATTCTCGACTGAGAGAGAGGACGGAGCCCGAGCGCTCTATCCACTTTGGCCTCGCCCAGCGCCCTGACCAGCTCGCTCGGCCAAGCGCGCATCATCCCATCGCAGGACGTGCCGCACATTAGCAGCGTGGCAGGGGGCACGCACCGCGCTGCCGGTCTTCGCGGAATCCGCGGACGCGGCCTTGTCAGCAGCAACAGCGCGCACGGTGACACCAGGCAGCCGCGCGGAGCGCGGGCCGGCCGCCTTGAGCATCCTGACGCGCGTGGGGCCCAGGGGCACCCTCGAGGATGACGAGGAGACCGCGCGGGCGACGCGGTAGACAGTGGCGGAGCCCCGGCAGGCGCCACAAGGCGCCAGCGACAGGCCGGCCATCGTCGAGGGAAATCAGTCGCTGGGGGTGCGCGTGTGGCGCGGGCAGATCTCGGAACGGTCCTGGTCGAAGGTTCGCTAATTCTCCCGGCCGCGGCGGGCGCAGCGGGCCCGAGTCGCGCCCGGGCGACGCGGCGCGGGGGCGTTTTGGTCGTGCGGGAAGACTGGTTCAGGTTCCATGAATTACGCACCGCTCGTGGCTTCCCCGGGTACAGCGGCGTCGCGGCGCGGGCGCACGGATCACTAACGATCTCTGCAAAGCGCCGGAACATTCGCAAACCTTGCGATAGGCACGCGTAGCCGCTTGGGGTTGGTCTCGGCGAAGCCAGCAGGCGCGCCGTGGCCAGCCTGATCATCGAGCACGCCTGCAGAGCTCCTGAAGTTATAGGGGGCACGTGGCCGGCGCTGCGCTGCCGCGAGAGGGGCTGTTGGCCCCGAACCGGAGCCTTTTTGCACAGCGGGACCAAGTACTAGGCTGGGCCTCGCCCTGCTGCGTTGTTATGCAATTCCTTTGAGCCGCACAGGCTGCTCGCGAGCTAAACGGGACGATGACGACGCCGAGCCACGCGGCACTCGAGTCCGTGGCGCACGCCGTGGACCTGGACCGCATCAGGGCGCTGGACGGTGCCGACCTGCAGCGCGCCCTGCAGGCACGAACCCTGCGCTTCCGTCGCCTGCACACGTGTGTAGCATGCGCCTCGTCAGGGTGTTTCTCGCGGCGCGGCGCCCTCCACGCCAGAAGAGCCCGCTTCATGTCTGAGGCTCCTTGGCAGCCCGCGCACTCCCCGCAGGAGGCCCGCGCGGCGCAGCAGGCGCACGAAGAGAACCTCGAGCGGCTGATCGCCAACCGCGGCAAGCTCGCGCCCGCCGCGGACCGGCTCAGCGACACAGCGTCGTCCACGCTCGCCGACGTCCGCGCGCAGCTCGACGCCCTCACGGGCGCCGTCCGCGCCTCCTCGCAGCGCGCGGACCACGTCAGCGCCCGCGTCCGCGCCCTCGACTCCGCGCAGTCCCGCGCGCGCCAGGCCCTCTCGCGCGTGCAGGCGGTGCAGCGCCGCGCGTCGTGCGTCGACGGCATCCGCTCCGCGCTCGCGACGGGCGACTTCGAGGCCGCGGCCGACCACGTCAAGTCCTACCGCGACCTCGAAGCCGACACGGCCCTCGTCCAGCTGCAGGGGCCCGGCGCCGGCGAGCAGACCGCGGCCGTGGCGGAGGCGCGCGCCGAGCTCGAGGTTGCGCTGCGGGAGCAGCTGGCCGCGGCGGTCAAGGCGAACGACCACGACGCGGTGCTGCGGTTCGCGGCGCTGCTGGGGCCCGTGGGGCGGCCGGCGGAGGGCGCGGACGCCGTCGCGGCGTACGTCGGGGGGTTGTTGCAGGAGCGGGCACGGGATGACGTCAGGGAGGTGGACGACGCGGTGAACAGGTGCGTGGGCGCGCGGGCAGCCGTTGGGCTGCTCTCGTGCGAGGGCGCGTGGGTGCTGAGACCTGCCGGTCGTGCGCAGGGCAGTCGAGGTTTCTCGTCTGTTTTTCCGCGCATCATGTGCGAGGCGCGAACGAGCGCATGACGCGGCCGGCGCGCGCCGCTGCGAGCACGCGGACATCCGCGCTTGACGCGGACCTCGATCTGACTGTCGCCGCGCAGTCTTGGTTTTCTGTCTTCCGTTGCACAAACAGCTCCTTGTGTGCATGCCGGGTGCTCCGCAGGCCTGGGCTCGGCAAGCACGTCGACTGCGCGGGCGCGCTCACGGGCATCCTGCGCGACGCCGGCGTGGCCATCGAGCGCCACCGCGCCCCGCTCGCCGACTCCCTTGGAAGCGGCGCCGTCGCGGTGCTCATCACCGCCGCGCACGACGTCGTCGACCGCCACGCAGCGTCGGTCCTGAAGCTCTTCGCGAAGTACCGCGCGCTCGCGGACCTCGCAGCGAAGGTCGCGTCTGGCGGGGGGGCGTCGAGCGCCGCCGCCGCGACAGATGCCGCGCAGGACGCAAACGCCGACATCGAAGCGGTCCTGCACGAAATCCTCGCGATGTGTCTTCAGGGCGAAGAGTACCTGCGGTACGTCGAGGCGCGGCTCGGCGCGGCCGCCGAGGCGGCGCAAAACACCCCCGGAGGGGTCCCCTGGCCCCCGGCGGACGGCGACGCGCCGCCGGCGCTGCGCGGGGGCGCGCTGGCGGCCGCGGTGTCCGAGCTGCTGTCGTGGTACGTCGCGCTCGAGGAGCACTACCTCGAGTCGTCCGTCGACCGCGCCGTCGCCATCGACGACGTGCCTGCGGGCGCGGTGGTGTCCTCCGTCGTGGACGACGCGCTATATATAGCGTCCAAGTGCTGCCAGCGCGCGATCAGCACGGCGCACGTGCCGACGGCATGCGCGGTGCTCACGCAGGTGCGCGGCCCGTCGGCCTCGCGGGGCCTGTTCCGCCCTGCCTCTCTGCTCGCGAGGGCTATTCGGGAGATATGAAAATCATATCTCCCGCGTGACCGGGGCGCCAGTGTCTGTGCTCGCGCGCGGGAGGTCGCACGCATGTCCCAACCCGCTTACGCTGCCGCACCCCACGCAGGCGAACCAGGCGCTCGCGGGCCCGCTCCGCAGCGCCCTCGCCGCGCGCCTCTCCGCGCACGGCGGGCGGCAGCGCATCGTGGCCAACGCCCCGGGCGCCCTCGGCGAGCTCTCCGACATGGGCATCGGCGGCTGGACCGACGGCAGCGTGCCGAAGGAGGCCCGCGACCACTGCGTCGCGATGAACGACCTGCAGGTGTGCGCGGGGCACATCGCCAAGCTGCGGGCGCAGCTGCAGCAGGTGTCGCGGCAGGTCTTCTCCGCGGCCCGCGACCGCGAGCGCGTGGACTCCGTGCTGTCAGACATGGCGCGGACGGCCTCGGACGTGCGCGCCGCGGCCGCCCACGCGGTGGACCAGGTGTGCGCGGGGCTGCAGCCTAGGCTGTCGGACGCGCTGGCGGCGCTCGCAGCTACGGCGTACCACGACGCGGACGGGCCTGGAGCGGCGCAGGGGGCGCAGGGGGGCGGCGCGGAGTCGCCGTGGGTGCGGCAGATCGCGACGGAGGCTGCCAGTGCAGTGACGTGGCTGGAGGACTTGTTGACGCAGGAGGGGTATAACTCGCTGGTGTTGGCGCTGACGGGGGCGATTGCGAGCAAGGTCGAGGGCGCGGTCGCGCGGCTGCACTTCTCGCAGGTCGGCGCGCTGCAGCTGGACAGGGACGTGCGCGCGCTGCAGGCGCAGCTGGCGCCGCTGAGTCAGGCGCCGATCCGGGACAGGCTGGCGCGGCTGACGCAGGTCGCGACGCTGCTGTCGGTCGAGTCGCCGGAGGAGGCGATGGACCTGTGGGGCGGCGGCGACGCGGGGGAGGCTGCGCCCGACAGCGGTCGCGGCGCGGCTTGGCGGTTGACCGCAGTGGAGGTGCGGCAGCTGCTGGCGCTGCGGGTGGACTTCTCCGCCGAGGCGCTGATGGCGCTGCAGCTGTGACGCCGGACGCGGGAGCTCGCGCAGCACGTGTTGCACCTGAAAGGAATCGTGGCCGCTCGGAGCCGGAACGAGGCCGCGGCGCCGCAGTGAGGCCGCGCCGCGAGGGGTTTCGGGATGCCTGGTCGCCTTGCGCGCTAGCTGCGGCGCGCGTGCGTCTGAGCGGACGCGAAACATCGTGTATTTGAGCCACTGTTTTTGTGTACTCACAGAGCCTCTGTGGGTGGTGCAGCCTGCCTGCTCCTGGGCCCGCTGCGATCGTTGGACGTCAGCCGACGCTTGCTGCGCGCTGCGGCGGCGCGGGACGACGGGACCCCTTTCACGCTGCAGGCTCCTCCGATGCAACGGCCTCCTCCGGAACGACGATCTCGTCAAACTCCAGGTCCGACATGTTGACGTCCTTGTTCACGCTGACGGCGTCCGAGGTCTGCGCAGCGCCACACGACGCGTTCCCGCGTCAGAGCGCGGACGATCGCAGCACTCGGCGCGTCGTGGGGAGGCAGGAGAGCGCCGCGAGGGCGGTGCGAGGCGCAGGGGGCGCCCAGCAGGATCTGGCAGCGAGTCACTAGCGCGTGGCGAGCGAGGAGGGCCGCGCGCGGGCGCAGGGACGCGGCGCGGGACGCACCTCCTCGATGCTGCCATCCTTCCCCACAGCAAGCCGCATAGTGCCCTTGAACATGTCCACGCGCGCGCCCTTGATATGGAGCGCCGCGCCCTCCTTCAGGACCTCCGTTTGCTGGTTCCTGCGCAGGGCGGGGCTCGAGGGGTGGCGCTCCCGCGTCAGGTCGGCAAGGCACTGGAGCTCGGGTGCTTGCGGAGGCCGGGCGGGGGGCGGCGGGTCGGAGGAGGCCGCGGGGCTGGGTACGTGGGATCTTCGCCGCCGGTTTCGGCTTGAATGGTGTCACGATTCGCACTCGCGCAGAAGCTGGCGCGTGGTCTCGGCAGGGCGCGAGCTCCCCCCTGGCGAGAGCGGCAGCCGCGGGCCGATGCGAGCGCGCCTCGACCGCGAAAAATGGCCGACATTCGCCCGCGGCGGCCGCCGCGCCACGCCGCTGGCGCGCGCAGCGACGCGGCCGCGCCCCCTGGGCCAGCCTGCTGTGCGACCGCGCCGTGCGTCACGCACCTGCAGCTGAGCACGATGGTTCCCGTGCTGTCGCCGACGAGCCCCTCTGCGATCTTCAGCGGCGGCAGCGTCGCCGTCTTGGGCTTGTCCAGCACCACGCTGCTCGACAACACCTTCACGACGAGCTCTAGCCCCTCCTGCATCGGCCGACAACTGCAAACGTCAACCTTTCCCATCCTGCCCTCCTCTAGCTTCTCTAGCTCCTTCCGCACACAGACGCCTCGCAGGACGCCGCGCCGTCGCTGCGACGCCAAACCAAACGCTCCCCGCGCTCTAGGGTCGTCGGAACGCGGACTGCCCGGGGCAACAACGCGGCGCTCGCAATCACGACGTACTAGTCGCGTCCGGAAGTGCCCCGCAGCACCGCTGCGAAGGCATCTCTGCTCGCACAGGACCCGCAAAGTGACGTCACCATCCCCTTGCTCAGGGGCGGGGCCCCAGCCGCGACCCGACCTGGCAAGCATCGTACCTCGACCGCGGCCACGGCGGCGGCCGGGGTGGCCAGCCAGGCACGCGTGAAGTCGAGGTTGCGGGACTGCCCGTGATCGTTGTCCGTGCACATGTTATTTGACCAGCATGATGCGGGCCGCGCAGCACGCAGCCGGGTGGCGGCGCCCGCAGCGAGGCGGCTCATCTGCACGTGCGGTTGCTGCGCGGCGCCGAGCGGCCGCGGGCCTGAGACACACGCAGCTTCCCTTTCAAGTCGAAGATCGGTGTCTTTCAACTCCACTCAACGCCTATCTGGCAAGCAGGTCCCGCCTCGCGCAACGACCCCGCGGCGCGAAAGCCGCGCGCCGCGAGCCACACGGTCGTGGACCGCATGCGTCCGCGGCGACCAGCGGTGCACCTGACAGCAACGAACACCCCCCCGCAAAATTGCAAACAGCGCCGCGCAGCTTGTGGGGACGGGATCGCGGCGCACATCGGCAGTTTCGCGACGAGGCGCGAGCGGAAGCCTGTGGGGGCGTTGTCTGCTCCGTCCGACGCGCGCGTGTTGCTTTCGCGGGCTCGCACCACCCTGGTGTTGTTGCTGGGGACCGTCTGTCGAACGTGCGCGCAGTGGTGAGGCCGCAGGTGCGTAGCGAGGCTCTCCACGCCTCGAGGGTCTCGCTCTGCGGCGCCCGGCCCTCGCGGGCGAAGATCGGCGCCGCAGCGGCCCACCCTCGATGTTTGCTATGCACGGCCACAGCGGCCCCGGCGTGCCTGGGCCCGAGCTCGCGCGGCGCGGTCTGGGCCAGTGCCAGGCACAGTGCGTGGCGCGGGACGTGTCTCCCCTCCAGCAGCGCGGACGCGGCCGTACTGAGAGCCGCGGTTGTCTCCGGTGCTCTCTGCAGTGCAGGCCGAGTAGCGCAGCTGGGCGCATCCTGACGCGCCGCGCTGCGCGTGTTCGCTGAGGAGAGAGCAGAGGCTCGGCGCGCGCCGGGGTTTCGTGGAAGGACAAGGCACGCAGCGCGCGTTCTCGGGCCTCGTGGCAGTCGCAGGACAAGCGCCGCAAGATGAGCGCGCAGACCAAGGGCCAGGCCCTGATTGAGATGTGCAACCGGATGCGGGTCGGGAACGACGCCCTCGACTGGCGCGAAACCATCCTTGAATCCGAGCGCGTGGAGTGCTTCCGTGCCAAGGCAAGTCTGCTCCCTCACCAGCAGCCACCTCCTAGCCGTGACCCGCGATATCACGCGCCCCACACGGCACGAACACGTACGTGGCAGCTCAAGGGCCCATCCGCGCGGTTCCCTCCCCGCCTCGGACCCAGCGCGGGCCACCCGCACGACGCTCAGAGACACGTCGCGCGCTCTCCGCCGTTCCGGGCAGCCCCGCGCCGCACCGACCGCCGAGGCGTCCGCGCCCCCGCGCTCCCCGCAGGACTACCTGCGCTACATGTCGCATCCGCAGAACGCCGCCCTCCTCGACGCGCTCGCCGCGCTGCTCGGCGTGCCCCAGGACGCGCCCGACCTCACCGGCGCGGGGTACGCCGCGGGGTCGCCCGTGGCGCGGGCCTCCGCGGTGCTCTCGCAGCTCGCGCGCCGCGGCGCGGTCGTCAAGGCCGACCGGTTCAGCAAGAAGCTGCGAGAGGGGCAGAAGAAGCTGCCCAAGTGGCCCAAGCGGCTGATCCCGGCCAAGGGCGACGCGGTGGACCCGGCGCTGTTCTACGTGTGGACCTTCGCGCGCCCGTCCTCGCCGTGGTCGACGATCATCTCGATCCTCGTCGCAGTGGTGCGAAACCCCCCCCCCCGAGGGCGGCGCATGTTGCGCGGCAACGCCGCCGAACGGCGACGGCCGCATCCCTCGACGCGCCCGCGCGCTTCCCCATCGCACCCTCGCGTCCAGTCGGGACCCGCGACGCGGGCGCGTCACCGCGAGCCCCCTTCACTGCACGCCCTGTGCGCACGCACAACGCGCAGTTCGTTCCCATCCTCGCTGCCCCGCTCACCGACAATGCTTGGCCCCGCGGCGCGCAGGGCATCATGTCCGCGTGCCTCCTCCCGATCGCGCCCATGTGGGTCAAGTGGGGGGTGTTATATTTGGCGTACGGGTTCCTCGGCGTCATCTTCGGGTTCGTCGGCCTGCGCGCCGCGATCTTCGCCGTCCTCTGGATCGCCGCGGGCTACCACCTGTGGGTCATGCCGCTCATCTTCGACGACCGCGCCACCATCGCCGACGCCTTCACCACGTTCGTCAACTCGGACTACGCCGCGCAGCCGGTACGCCCCCGCGCACCCGAGCGCAGCGCCGGGCGCGCCTCGAACACACTGCGCGCGTCCGTGGGCACACGGGCGCGTCTTTGCGCGCGGGATAACCTGCGCAGCTTCGCGTCCTGTGCTCCGTCTCTCTGTTTGCGCGTATGTTGACCTCTCACGTGCGTCGCGCGGCGTCCCGGCGCAGGCGTCGGCGCTCAACCGCGCCCTGGTGGCCACGGCGGTGTCGGGGCTGTCGGTCCTCGCGGTCAAGTTCGGGAACTCGGACTCGGTCGCGAGCGTGCGCGACGGCATGGCCGCCAACATCGGCCGCACGATGGACTTCTTCAACATGGGCGGGGAGCAGGCGGAAGCGATCGGGTCCGGCGAGGACGGGGACCAGCCGTACCGCGTGCGCGCGCCGTTCAACCCCATGACCGCAGGCGAGCGCCCCACTGATCACCGTTATGAGCGTCGCGAGCCTCGAGCATGCGTGTGTCGGCCCAGGTCGCGGAGGTGGCGATGCGCGGTCTGCGCTGCCGGCGGCGATGACGCGCAGTTCTGCGCCGCTGCACCGGGGCCGACTGCACTTGAGCAGCTCCTGCGTGTTGTTAAGTTAAGTTCTGGCGCACACACGTCGTGGGTCTGACCAGTCCGAGAGGCCCCCAAGATCCTAACAAGACGGAGGAAGTGGCAGAAGTGCAGTCGGCCCCGGTGCAGCGGCGAAGAACTGAGCGCCATCGCCGCCGGCAGCGCAGTCCGCGTACTGCCTGCGCTGGGTGCAGCGAGCAGCAGTGGCGTTTCATCAGCGGGCGGTCGTGCGGCGTTGCCGCTGTGTGCTTCGCGCCGCGCTGTCCGGGCAGGTTCGCGGAGTACTCGAGCCGGATCGCCCCACGAGGAGACCTTGAATCCCTTTTGTTGTTGCGCAGGTTCGTTTGGGGCGCACTCGTTCGCGGACCTGATACAGTCCGCGGGGCCGTTCCCGGGCGAGGACAAGGGGAAGGAGAAGAAGGCGAGCGAGGACGCTGCCGGCGCGGACGCGCAGAAAGAGCCCGGCAGCGAGGGGGGTGACGCCGCGGAGGAGTGCGGGGGGGAGGGCGCCGAGTGCCCGGGCGCGGGCGACGGCGCGGCGGCGGACGAGGAGGACCTCGACGGCGAGGAGCCCGCGGACGACCTGAAGTCGCTCGACGAGATCATGGCGGAGCTGGAGGCGGAGATGGAGGGGGAGGGGTTGGAGGAGGATGCTGACGTCGGAGGGGGGGGTGTTGGGGCAGGGGACGGCGCGGGGCGCGGCGAGGCGAAGGACGAGTTGTGACGCGTGCTGCGACGTCGCGTTTGGGCGGCGGGGCCGCCAGATTCATGCTGGATGTACCTTTTGGCATTGCGTCGCTCCTGTGGATTGACGGACCGTGCCGACGCCGTTGGCTGCACGCGGGGACCGCGTATGGTCGTGTAATCGGTTTCCCGCGGGTCGGGCACCGGGCGATGGCGCTGAGGCGAGCGTGGTGAGTTGCTGCACAGCGCGACGTGCAGACGTGCGTCGTCGTGCGCCGGGAATGACGCGGTTTGGTTCAGCGTGGCTTGCTGCGAAGATGCGCTGCATGGCGGGCGGGCGGGGGAGGCGGCGCCGGCGAGCTCGAGCCGTGCGCGAGGCTGCGAACGAGACGGGGAGTTGAAAGGGGGCCATCAGACGGGAACGGAGGTCTGCTGGCAGACTCTTCCTTCATATGAGTGGCAATACATCCCACCCAGCAGGGTTCATCGTCCCGCGGCGTGACGGCACAGGCCACTAACTCGTGACTCAAGACGCATTTCTAGTATCCTGCACAGCAAGCACCGTTCCAAGGTGCGTGGCAGCCACCCTCCCCGCCGCAACCGCGCGAACCGCGACAGGCGGTTGCTCTCCATGCATACCCTGCCCCGTTCCTCGCCCCACAGCGGGATTCCAGGCCCCTCTCGCGTCCGCCCATGCTCATGTCGCCTGAACCTGCAACGCCGCGCGGCGCACGAACAGTCTCAGACGCCGCCGCGAGCCCGGCGCGCCTCCCTGCACAGCTGGTGCCAGTGCTCGCCCCATCCCCGCTGCCGCGCCCCTCCGGGCTCAAGCCCCCGGGTCACGTTCTCCGTGGCGCGGAGGCGCAGTCCGCGGCCGGTGCTGTCCGTGGGCTCGCCCGTTCCACTGCGTTGATGCCACGTTCGCTAACCACCGCCCTCATGCCCCGACGACCTCCGCGCAGCGATAGCAGCCATGCCGTCGATCCACGGCGCCAGCGGGGACTGGCAGCTGGAGCACGGCCCAGCCAACGTCGTCATCGCCGTCGACGACTCGAAGGGCGCACAGGTGCGGTTCGGACTGTCACTCTTCCGCCACGAGACCCTCGAACCGACCTATCACGCAGCCACGCCCCCCCCATGCGCCACCAACACGTCCTCACCACGCGTAGCTTGCCGGAACGCCACCGAAACGTCGTGGAATCCCGCGATCCGAGGCGTGATTCCGCGCACAGCAGCTTGAACCGCCTCAACATGCCCTCCGCGCGTCCGCGCCGCGTCGCTCACTCGTTCGCGCGCCCCCGCCGTGCAGAGGGCGATCGAGTGGGCCCTGAGCCACGCGCTGCAGGCCGGCGACACCGTCCACCTCGCCTGCGTGCTCGCGCCGGAAGCCGTGTCCATCCCGCCGTCAGGGCCCGTGTCCGCGCCCGGCGCGTTCGTCGCGTGGGAGTACGCGCACGAGTCGCAGCGCAAGCAGGAGGAGGAGGCCGCGTCCGCCGTCCTCCGCGGCGCGATCCAGACCGTCCGAGACGCCTTCCCGGCGCCGCACGGCAGCGCCAGCGAGTCGTCTGTGACGATCCGGGCGCGCATGCTGCCCGGCCACGGCGGCGCGAGCGGCGTCGGAGAGGTACGCGCACGCGCACGGACTGTAGCGCAACGCGTTTCGGACCGCTCGTGCCAGAGCTGCGCGCACGGTCGCTCTCTTCCTGTTCGAAAGCGTTTCTTTCCATTCGTGGTTTCATATCTCCTTGTGGTTTGTTCTTCGCGGTGCAGAGCATCGTGGAGTACGCGCACGACAACAAGGCGACGCTGGTCGTGCTCGGCTGCCGCGGCCTCGGCACCCTGAAGAGGGGACTGATGGCGCTGGTCGGACTGGGCTCCGTGTCAGACTACGCCGTCGCGCGGCTGCACTGCCCCGTGGCCGTCATCCACCACGACCGCCCCATCGCACCCCCCGAGGCACGACTCCCCCTCCCCGCCCCACACGGTGCACAACACCCCCCCCTGCACCTCACCCCACCTCACTCGCGCCCCGGTGCTCCGAGCTCCGTACCCGCAGAACCGCGCGCGGAAGATCTGTATCGCGTGCGACGAGAGCGATCACAGCAAGATCACCCGCGAGCGCGCCGTCAAGCACTTCGTCCGCCCGGGCGACGAGGTGCACGTCGTGTCGGTGGCGCTGCCCGTGCCGTACCCGGTCGTCGACGAGGCGTCCCCGGCCGTCGCAGGTGCGCCCCGCCGCCCGCCTCGATGCCGTCTCCGCCTGCCCTGCGGGGTCGTCGCGGACGGGACGAGGATTGCGCTCGGGAGACAGAAGCGAGCGACGAGACTCGCCGCGGGCGTAGAATTCACGTCCTCGACGGGGTCTCGTCGCTCGCTTTTCTGTGCTTCCCAAGCGCAATCCTCGTCCCGCTCGCCAGGAGCACGCGGTAGCCCCTCGTATGCACACACACACACATGCGGCGCCACTGCGGACACGCGCGGTCAGCCCATCGGACGCGCGCACGTCTTCGCGGCTGCTCTCTCGCATTCTCTGCGCGCGCCGCGGCCGCCGCGCGCCGAGCCGTGACCGCCCCCGCGCGCGCCCCCGCGGCCGCCTCCAGGCTCCTCAGGCGCGTGCCTCGCTGCGTGCTACACCGCAGCGTACGAGTCCCAGCAGTGGCAGACGGACAAGGACGCGGCCCTGGCGCGCGCGGAAGAGGTGTGCCGCGCCGCCGTCGACGCCACGGAGACGGACGGGGTGCCGCGCACCAGCATCTGGTACCGCCCGTTGCTGCCCGAGGGCGGCGCGTCCGAGGTCGGGCAGTCGATCGTGCACTACTGCCAGGTGCGCGCCCGCAGCCGGCAGCTGGACCCCGCGCTGAAGGCTGCGGGCACGCTCGCAGCCAGCAGGTGCTGCGCTGGCTTTCGTTCAACCATGTTGACCGCGCACGTGCTCGCCTCTCACGGTCAACGTGGCTGTTCGAGATCCAGCGCAGTACCTGCTGGCTGCGATCGTGCCCGCAGCGGGGCCGCTGTTTCCGCCGCTGTGTCACGTGAAAGTCATCCAAACCCCCTGTATGCTTTCACCCCCCCCCACGCCGCAGAAGAACGAGATCGACGTGCTGTTCGTCGGGTCCCGCGGCCTCTCGTCGGTCAAGCGCAACGTCCTGGGTCTCCTCGGCCTGGGCTCCGTCTCCGTCTACTGCGTCCACCAGCTCCAGTGCGCCGTCATCGTGTGCAAGCACCAGGACGCCATCGCCGCAGCCGGCCCCGCGGCCGCGCCCGAGGAGGTCGCGCTGCTCGGCGGCGGCGAGGGACAGGTCCCCGTGCCTGTCGAGGCCGGGGCCCGCCCGCACCAGGCGTGAGTGCCGTCCTGGAAAGCAAAAGAGGCTTTCTTTTCTGGGCGCAGACGGCACCTCGCCGCCGCCGAGCACCGCGACGGCCTCCCGTTGCAAGTGTGGCCCTAGGGGCGGAGCGAGGCTTCCCGGTCGGGCGCTGGGAGGGCGTGCTAGGGACTGTGAGGTGCCAAGTTGCTACATGTGTGCCTGGTGGTGGTCTCCGCTTCGCTGGCTGCCGCGTTCTTGGCCGTCACGTGCACTCCGGGGCTGTTGCAAGGCTGCGTGGAGGCCGGAGCGACGCGTGCACCACGTCCGATCGAGTTTCGTTACGCTGGGCCCGCGTCCCATGCAGGGCGTCACCGAAGCAGCGCGGCGAGAGACGAGCGACGGGACCCGCGCGAACTGCGCCACGTTGAGTTGGCTCGAGCGTTGCCTGACCAACTTGAGGCATGCAAGTGACGGTCATGTATCATATGTCAAACGTGATCCTTCTATGTCACAAAGAAACAACTCTGTCTGAACGCTCTTCAGATGCTACAGCGGGGTGGTTGCTCTGCTGGAATGTGCGGCGCGTAGTACTAGATTGCAAGCCGGATCGTGTCGTGAGGGGCGCGCGCGCCTGCTCGCGGGGAGGCGCACTGCAGCCACGTCACGCGCAGCGTGCAGGCCCGTCGCCGCAGACGCCTCCCCCGAGACCCACGCGCGAGCGAGGGCGTCTTCTCGTGCGCGGAAAACCCTCCCGACGCGGTCACGGCGCGCGAAACGAGGCGGAAAGAGGGCGGTGCTTGGGGACAGGCGGGGCGCACAGGGCGCGCGGGGGGCCGCAGCGCCGCCGGCATGGGTACAGTTAGGCTGAGGGAGGCAAGCTGCGCTGCGTCACGCGTCGGAGCGCGGCCCCGTGCTGTTGTAGAGGTGGCTGCGCAGCAGCGCGCGCCGCAGTGGGTGCTGCAGCTTCCGCAGCGCCTTGTCCTCGATCTGCCGGATGCGCTCGCGCGTGAGCCCGTACGCGGCGCCGATGTCGTTGAACGTCATCGTGCCGCCGTCGTCGCGCGCCAGCCCGTACCGCATCCGCAGCACGTTGCGCTCCCGCGGCGCCAGCGTCGCCAGCAGAATGTCGATGTCCTCGCGAATGATCTGCACGCGCGACTCCTCGCCGTGCCTGTCCACGTCGTGCACGGCGATGCTCTCCCCGAGCGTCGCCTCGTCGCGCGACATCCCGCTGTCGTCCACGGGCGTGTCCAGCGACTGGGGCTCGCGCGCCGCGCGCACCAGCATCGCGACGCGCTCGGGCCGCGTGCCCATCTCCATCGCGATCTCCTCCACGCTCGGCTCGTCCTCGGACTGCCGCTCCGCGACCAGCTCCTGCCGCACACGCGAGATCTTCCGCAGAGTGTCGTACACGTGCACCGGAAGCCGGACCACCCGGCTCTGGTCCGCGATGCACCGCCCCACGGCCTGCCGCACCCACCAGTGCGCGTACGTGGAGAACTTGAACCCGCGCGAGGGGTCGAAGCGCTCCACCGCGCGCTCCAGGCCCTCCATGCCCTCGCTGATGAGGTCCGGCAGGTCCACGCCGCGGCCGAGGTGCCGCCGCGCGACGTGCACGACCAGCCGCAGGTTGTACCGCATCATCGTGTTCGTCGCCGCCTTCCCAAGCGCCATCTGCGTCGAACCGGGCGCGGGGCGCGAGGGATGCTTCTCAGGCACCCACGGCCGGTGCGGGGCGCGCGCGGCGCGGCAGCCGCAGCGCGCGCGCCCGATAGCAAGCCTAGCGTGTCTCGATGCGGCGCAGGGGGCGGAACGGGGGGTCGGGGGCCGTGGGGCGCACCTCGGCGCGGAGATCGGTCTCGGTGAGGCTGGGGCGCCCGAGGGCCTCCGCGAGCTCGTCGTGCGTGGGTTCGCGCCCGAGCTCCTCGGCGAGCTCGCCCTGTCGCTCGAGGATCGCGCGGCGCGCCTGCACGAGGTTGCTGAGGCGGTACTCCTCCTCGCGCGACAGCAGGGCGTTGGTAGGACTGGCCTTGGCCATAAAGACCTGCACCGCGTTCGTGTTCGCGGCGCCGGCGTGCTGCCACTCGGGTCTGCGGGTGGAAGAGGGAGGGAGGGACCGGTGAGGGCGGGAGCGCGCGGGAGGGGGCGGTGGAGCGCGTTGGAAGGGTGGCGGTGGGAGGGGAGGTTTGGTGCGGAGAATGGGGCGCGGGAGCGGGTGGCGAGGTGGGCTGGGTGGGCTGGGGCGGAGGTGAGATCGGTGGGGTGCGGGGAGGGGGGCCGGGGGGGTGTGTGGGCGCGCGGATGGTGCGGGCGGGCGTCTGGAAGCGGTAGGAGCCTCCTTGCTGGTAGGGCACCGCGTTGCTCCGCGCGACGGTCGCGGGCGCCGGAGGTCGGTGCGGACGGGCGGGGAATGTGGGGTCGATCGATGCGTGGCGCGGTGGGGCGGGGCGTGGGCGTGCGAGCGCGGGCCGATCGAGTGGCTTGCGTCGATCAAGGGGCTTGCCTGGAGCCGCGCTTCCAGGAGCGGCGCTTGCCCGAGTCCAGGCGCTTCCCGAGCATCTTGAGAAAATCGGCGTCGTCCCTGCGGCCCGCCTCCTCCAGGTCGCAGCTGTCCGTCACGCCCAGCTCCGGAAGCAGCCCCCCGTCTTGCGCCCAGCCCCCGGCCGAGCCCGCGGGGGCCTCGGGCGAGCCAACGATCGGTCGCGGGCGCTGGTGCCGCCTCGACCGCGCCGCGCTCGGCCTCGTGCGCGGCCCGCGCGGCACGGTCGCGCCCGTCTGCGCCGCGGTGCGGCCCAGGGAGGAGCTGTCCCCGCACGCCCAGGACGGGAGCGCCTGCGCCTCGTCCTCGGCGAGGTCGTACGCGGGCTCGTGCGCCTCGAGGTCCTTCTCGTCGAGGACGACCGCGAGGGCGCGCGCGGAGCCCCCGTGGCGCCGGGTGGACGCGGCGACGACGAGCTCGCGGTGCACGGCACCCTCGGCAGGCCGAGAGGGGCGCGGCGCGGCGCTGCAGGGGCGTGCTTCGTGGCAGAGCGGGGCCGCGGGGGCCAGGCGGACGCGGGAGGCCTCTGCGGGCGCGGCGGCGATGCCGCGGGCCACGCAGGCGCCCTGGACAGCGCGCATTTGCCTAGCCTAGGAACGAATCGGTCCGGAGGGGGCCGTTGCGGTGTGCGTTCGTGCTTCTGTACGCTTCTTTCTCCGACGTCTAATTCGAACAGTCAGTTTCTGCGCCGCCGCGGCCGCGCGGGCCACCCTTGAGCCGCGCACGGCCCGACTCCGCCGAGATCCCCGACCGGTGGTGTTCCCGCGCGGGCACTGCGGCGGCCCCTATTGAGCCGCGCGCCCCCCGCAGCGCCGCAGCAAGGCCGCGGGACATCGCATCAGCCGCCTGGCGTCGAGAATCTCTTCTCTCGCGCGGCACGGGCTGGCATCACACATTGCCCATGGACTGCTTTTCGCCCAGCGCGAGGCCGGGCCTCGTGCTGCCTTGGAGAGGCATCGTAGAGGGGGCACGGGAGCTCGGGTGGGAATCGCGTCGGTCCGGAGCCGCGGAGGTCGGCGCCCTGTCCTCGCAGCCGCGGGGAAGGCCTGGCGGTTGATGGCTGAGCTGGCACCGACATCGGTGGCGAGGACCTCGCGGACTCGGACTGCGGGAGGAGTCAACATGTACTGAGTGAGCGGGTTCGCGATTTTTCGAGCCCGGGCGATCGCGCGCGCAAGTCGTTGAGCGCAGCTGCACGGCGGGCGGTGCAACTGCGAACCTCCGTCGCCCGGGCGGTCCGCACGCGCACGGGCGGCTGCGCGGCAGCGGGCGGACAGCAGCAAGACCATCCGTGCCCCATTTATTGCGCGCCGGCGGCATGTGACGTAACGGTGCGGTGCGCGTGCAGCCTTGCGGCGCGTGGGTGTGGGCGTGGCTTCCGTGTGGGCGCCAGCCGGGCGGCACGCACGACCCTGTGCGGCGCTGAGGGGTCGCTGGTGGTGGCAGCGAGCGGGTCTGCGCGCGGGGGGGTGTATAGATGCAGTGTCGGAGCAGTATGCGCTGGTGCGGGCGCCGGGGGCTGTCGATACCGCGACGCAGCTGGGCGCGTGGCCGCGCAGCGTGCCGGGGCGCGGCTGGGGCGGCTGCGCGGCGCCGTCGTTGCGCGCCGTGGCCGGTAGGGGTGTGTGGGGGGAGTGTCGTCACTGACGTGGGCGTTCGGGCTGATCGGGGAGGGGTGCGAGGTCATCGGCGCGTCGAGGCGGGTGCGAGGCGCAGCGCCAGGCGAGGTCACGGACTGCGGTAGGCGAGGTGCGTCGGGGGGTAGCGTGAAGGGCAGGAGGGAACGGGCGCGGGATGGCAGACCGCGGGCGGAAGGAGGAGCTGGAGGCGATCTCTGAGCAGCTGAAGACGTTCTGCAAGGAGCTCGCGAAGCTCGTGGCCGCGACGGGTGAGCCCGGGAGGCAGACGGCGCACCGGCGGTTGCCGCCCCCCCCGCGCCACCTCCGCTGACGTCCCAACTGCACGACGTGTTGGCTTGGACGTCGCTGCGGCATGTCGCAGCAAGCCGCAAGCTGCTTGCGCGATCGATTTCGAGAAGCGAGCCGGGGCTGCGAGCCGGGCGCACGGCCATTGCTCTTGCGTCGTCACGCGCCGGCGCCGTGCCGACTGCCGGCTGCAGCGCCCCTGGACCCGAACCCCGAGCGGCCTGAGCTCCTTCTCGACGCCGACACTGCCGCGACGACGCGGCTCGTGCACTCCAAGCGCGTCACGCGCGCGGCGGAGCGCGCTGTCCAGGGCGTGCGTGCGCTGAGGCTCCAGACCGCGCTCTCCGAGCCCATCGACGACGAGAACCCGGTCGATGCCATCCAAGACAAGCGAGCGGAGCTCAAAGGGGAGCTCGTCGACCTCTCCAGCGAGCTCACCGGCTTGGAGGAGCAGATCAACGCACACGTCGAGCGCGCGGGCGAACTGCACGCCGCCGGCAAGCTGAGCGTCGAGCAGCTCGCGGACGTCTACGCGGCCGCGGCTGGCGCGACGGGGGCGGCGACCGCGGCCGAGCTCGGCGCCGGCATGGACGGCGACGACCCCATGGAGGCTGACGGCGACGACGAGGACGGCGAGGACGGCGAGGACGGCGATGGCGAAGCCGAGGTGAGCGCGGCGTGCGACGGCGGCTTCTTCCCTGCGTGCCGAGCGAAGGCGTGGTCCCGCAGCGCAGCGCATCGCTGGGTGTTTTGGAGCCGACCCCGCGCGGTGCGTCGCGGCGACGTGTGCCCGCAGGGGAACCTCGCGTGGTCGTGAGCCTGGGCGGCAGGGGCGTGTCTGTTCGGAAGATCGCAGGAGACGCAATACACCCCCCCTTGCTTTTGGTGACAAGGGGTCTTCTAGCGTGCGAGGATCGCGTCAAGCATACCTCTCCGTCCGCCAGGCTGCCCCGCGCGGGCTAGACAAGCGTCCGGGAACGAGCGGCGTCGCGCCGGAGGAACACGTGTGCGGCAGGCACATGGATCCCCGCAGCACTGCTGGCAACGACACTGCGCCAGCGGCCTGCTCGTCGTTTCCTGCTGAGCGCCGCGCCCCGTCCCCTACAGGAGACATCCGATTTGCATCACACAACGTTCCCACGCCACGCGCCGAGGCCGCGGGGCTCTGTGGGCCCCGGGGGCCGCGGCGCTGCCTGTGGCGGCCGACGGGCGCCGGAGAGCCTTGGGAGGGGAACAGGGGGGGACCTTAGGAGCGTTCTCTCGAAGATATTGTTGAGTCAGCCCAATGAAGCCGGGGCCCGCAGTGCAAGCGCTAGCTGCTGCAGCTGCCGATGGCCGAGCGTCGCCCACGCGAAACGCTCCGGGATGCGGAGGGAGGAGAGGAGGGTGGGGGGAGGATTCCGGCACGGATCTCGGGCGAGCGGCCTAGTTGGGCCGTGACCAGCCCCGATGCCTGGCATCAGGGGGGGAGGGGTGTTGTGCGCTAGCGACGGCCTGTTAGGTCGATAAAGGCGAGGCGACTGGCTTTCCTCGTCGTCGTCTTCTGGAGCGGGGCACGCCCCGCTCTTCGCTGCGCGCGGAGGGGTGTTGCACGTGCCAGGTACAACCGACCACGTTGGCGGCCGGAACACCCCCCCTGGTGGCTGACGGGGGTTCCATGTGAGAAGTCAGGAATAGTGCGCTGCTCGGCCAGCGCGCCACGGCGGCTGAGTCAGCGGATAGCGATGAGGATGGCCGGGGGGATGAGGTGTGAGGGAGGCTGGGTGATTATTTGTGCCCACCAGGTGCGTCGTGGGGGGGGTCGCGCAACAGCCGGCAGGCGCGCCTCGACGGGCTGTTCGCGAGGTCGGGGGCAAAATGCATTCCGGAATCGCTCTAGGGGGGAGTATTGATTCTTTGGGGGAGGGGGGTGGGAAGGGGGCTTGCTATGTGTCTGCAGAGCCGTGCTTGCGGGGCGGGCGCCGGCGGGGTGGACGTCCTCGAGCTGCGGCCGCGGTGACGGGGTCCACCGTGGTGCGGTGTCCCGTGCTGCGAACGGCAGTTGAGAAACCAGGTCTGCCAGACCAACGCCCCTGTCTGGGGGTCGTCGTCCGCGCCCCACAGCCACAAGAACAGGGCTCGCGTGCAAAACCGAGCGATTGACGGCGCCTGCACGTGCTCGCTGTAGGAGACAAAAGCACTTGGAGGCGGGTTCAGTGGGGAGGGGAGGGGTTGTCGGGGGGAGGTGTGGGGGGGTTGATTCCACAGGGTGTCTCTCCGGACGGAGAGACACCGCTTGGGCGCGAGGTCTCGGGCAACGACCGTCCAGGTCAGCGGGGGCCCGCTGCGGGGGCCTGGCAACAGTGCGCAGTGGCAGGGGGGGGGTGCGGAGGGTGCTCTCCATGGTCGCGCGAGGAGATCCTCGGCGGCGCCGCGCTGTCCGACCCAGTCACGCGTACGTGCGCCCGCCATCGCGAAGCGACAATTTCTCTCGCGCGGACCTGTGGCTGGCGTCCTTGCCAGCGGAGGAACGGCAGGGGGAGTCAAGGGGGGGGTGCTGGGGTTTCCGGCGGTCCCGCGCACTCAGGCCGCGCCTGTCACGGCCGCGGCGGCCTCGAGCGCCTGCGAGAGCTCCACGTGCAGCCGCTGCGCGTCCCCGCACACCGCGTTGATCAGCTCCTCCATGCGCTTGCCCAGCTGCGCGTCAGACTGACTCAGCTGCAGCCACGCGTCCTCCGCGGTCCGATGGAGCTCCCGCACGAGCGCCCCGAGCTGTCCGCAGCCCCCGCGCGCCTCCTGCACCAGCGCCGCCGCCGGCCACATGCCGCCCACCGCCGGCGCGCCCCCTCCCGCGGCTGACGCGCCGGGCGACCCGCCCAGCGCGCGGCACACGTGCGCAGCGCCGCCGCGCACCTCCCGCAGCATCCCCGCGACCGACTGCACGGCCTGCAGCACGCTCGGCGCGACGGACGACCCGAGCACCGCCAGCAGGCCCTGCAGCGTGAAGACGTTGCCGCACAGCTGGCCCTCGCTCCACGCAGACAGCGCGCCCGCCGCGTCCGCGACGCGCGCGAGCGCGGTCTGGACGCCCTGCGCGTTCCCGGCGGCCTCGTTCGGCGTGGCGTCGCCGGCCGCGGGCGCCGACGCTGCCGCGGGTGCGGGCGCCGCTGCGGCAGCGCCCGGGGCCGCGGGCAAGAGGCCCGACTGCTGCATCTGCGACAGGAGCGGGTGCATGTGGTGGAGCGTCGGCGCGATGAGCGGCGACACGCGGTGCTGCTCCTGGGTGCCCCCGGGGCCTGTTGGTGTGGCGCTGTTGGTCAGGTCCCCCCCGCTGCGCGCCTGCACGGCCGGCGACGCGATCGGCTGCACGGGCCGCGTCGCCTCCTTCGGCGACGGCACGTTCTCGCCGTGGTGCCCGTTGTGGTGCGCCTGCGCCTGCGCCTGCGCCCCAAACCCAAAGGCGGCCGCGCCGTGCGCCTGCGCGCCCGGCGGGAACGCGTGCGGCGCGACGTAGCCCTGGTGCATCGCGAGGTGCGCGTCCATGTGCGGCGCGAACATGCCCCCGTGCCCCTGCATCGGGTGCCCGTGCGGGCTCATGCGGTTGGCGGGCGGCAGCGCCGGCTCGATCGCGTCCCCGTCGTCCCGCGCCGCGGTCATCCCTTGCAGGATACACGCCGCGTTCAGCCGCGGCAGCGAGTAGTTCTTCGGCGGGCCGGACGCCGCGCGCAGGCCGTGGGCCCGGGGCAGCGCAGGCGCGTGTCGCCCGGCGTCGCCGTGCGGCGCCGCGCGGAGCCCCGGCGACGCGTGCGGCGTGGGGTTGCCCGACGCGCTCGGGGAGCCCCCGGGCGTGCGCCCGCGGCCGCTCCCCGGCGTGCTGCCACGCTGCCGACTCGTCTGCTGCCGCGTGACCGGCTTGTGCCCCGTCGCCGCACCGCCGCCGGCGTTCGGCCCCTCGGCCCCCCCCGCGGCCGCGCCGTTCGCGACCTCCTCCATGTACTTCTCCAGCCGGTCCGGGAAGTTCAGCGGCCGCAGCGCCCCCGTCCGCGTGTCCGTGATGTTGTTCCGCACAATGTGCATGTCGCGCGCGCACGCGGCCGCCTCCTCCGTCCGGAACGACCCCAGCGACACGCGCTGCCCCGACGCGTTCAGCTCGACGAACCACAGCTCGCCCTGCGGCGCCGTCCGGCAGTACACGTTCCGGTACTGCGACGCTCGCCGCGCGCGCTGCGCGGGGTGCGCGCCCGCGCCGGCGCCCGCCCCGGCGGCCCCGCCGGCGCCGGCGCCGCCCTGCCCGTCCGCGGCGCGCGCCCCGGCGTGGTTCTCCCCGATGTCGATCCCGTCGGCCTCGATCGCCGCCAGCTCCTCCTTGGCCTCGTCCGGGAAGTTGAGGCGCCGGAGGTGGCGCCGGCGCGCGTGGAGGACGCGGTGGTCGAGCACGTACCTGCGGGGCAGCGCGGCGGGCGGGGCGCTCGGCGGCGGTGCGGGCGCGGGGGCGGCGCGTTGCGAGGCAGCGCGGTGCGGCGCGGGCCGGACCTGTCGTACGCGCGCGCAGCCTCGCCCTCGGTGTAGAACCCGCCGAGGTTCTTCAGCTCCTGGTCCACGCGGATCTGCGCCCGCCACGGCCGCTCCAGGTGCTGGTAGTAGCACACGCCAATGTGCTTCTTGCCCTGCGCCGCAAACGGGGGGAGTCCGCCGCTTGGACACGTCGACGGGCCGCGAAACGACGGACCGGCGCGGGTGGCCGCGCAGCGGGGGGTAATATCGCCGGATCGTCGCGCGGCGGGGCCGCGGCGGAGGAGCAATCTGGCCAGAGGGCCGCGAGTCACTTCGCGCCCGCGTGCCGAGCCGTGCGGGACGGCAGCGCGCGCGGTCCGTGCGCGCGGAGCCCCGACCGGGGTCTCGGCCTCGCGATGCGCCGCCCGCGGGGCGCCGTGGCGGCGGTGTCGACCCGCGCGCGGCCCCTGTCAAAAAGCAGCTGCGCTGGCTGGCTGCGGGCGCAGCGGGCGTCCGGGCGGCTCGTGCGCGCCGCGCTACGGTTGACGTTGCTTGTCAGTTCGGCCGCGGTGATTCGCGCTCGTCGCCGCGGCCGGCGCGCGGCCGCGCGCGGCGGTACGCGGGCGAGCAAGGCAACAGCTTGTGCTGCCCCGAAACAGCCAGGGGCGCGTCCGGCGCGCGAGGAGTTCATGCGACGTGCCCGGGCGGGCATCGAGATGGAGATCGGTCGTTTCGCGGGGCGGTCCGGGCTCGGGCGGGCCGGTGGGGCGCGGTGCGCACCTGGCGAGGGGGGGCGGCTCCCTGTGGCGGGGCGGCGGGCGCGGGCGAGGGTGGGCGGATCATGTCCGGCGCGCCCGTGCCCTGCGCGACCGCCGAGTGCGGAGTGTGCTTGCGCTTGCGTTTGCGGCCCTGCGGCGGCGCGGCAGGCTCCTGCGGGGGCGCAGCAATGGTGGGACGAAGACGGTGGGAGCGGCGCTCGATGGCCGGGAGCGCGGGCTCGCGACCGCGCGGTTTCGCCGTGATGGAACGTGGATCAGCGGTGGGGGCGGCGCGGTGGGGGATGGCGCAGCCGGAACGGCGCGCGGGTGGGTAGCCGACCTGGCTGTTGGTTTGGCGGGGTCGTTTGGGCTCGCTGCCCTGCGACGCCGCCTCGTCGCGGTCGCTGGCGCCGCTACTGTGTGTCTCGGTCGTGTCCGTGGGGGTGCGCTGCCCCGGGACGACGGCTGCGGCCAGCACGGACGGACGTTGCGTCACAGGCGGTGCGAATCGCACGGCTCGTCGGGGGCGTGACGCGGACATATAGAGGCGGGATTCGCCTCAACTGGTACGCATGACGCGAATGCGTCCGCGCGACGGGGCATAACAAGGTCGACGGCGACGGCTCGAGGCCCTGCCCAGAGGCTGTTGGCCTGCTCCGGAACCGCGCGCGGGGCTCACCTGGCGAGTCGTTTCCCTGCCCTGCCCCCGCCAGCTTCTGACTCTTATCATCCTGCACGGCGGCCTTGGCCGCAGTGCCCCCCACAACGCCCGCAATGGCCTCGGCGGCCTCCGCAGGTGGCACCTCCGGACCGGGCATCACGATCCTCTCGTCGCCCCCGCGTAGAAATCTATCTAATGTGCGTTGCGAGCTGAAACAAGCGCCCTACCAGGCACGCGCGCCGCCCCAGCGGCTACAGGCCCAGGCTCGACCGATGCGAAGGCACGGAGACTTCCGAACGCGCTTTCCTGACGAGCATAGGCGTCACTCCTAGCAAGAGTCTACTGACTGCACCTCGGGTAACTGCACGGGACGGCCGCACGGGGGCCCGTCGACGCCCGCGAGGCCTGGCCATCCGACTCAGCACTGTCGTTGGACCCCCTCCCAGCGCGAGGATGACGGGCCAACACATGCGCGCCGCGCACGCAGGCGGCACGCAGGAGGCGCTCGATGGCCGTTCGCGACCCCGGAGCCGGCGGGTCGACGCCCCGACCGCGGCCCGCACGCCCCGGGTGCTGCGGACGGCACCCAGCGAGGCGGCCCCAACCCCCCGCGTCGGGCGACGCACGGAACCTGCAGCGACGCGAACTGCCATGACCGTGCCGGATACGGCGCGTCGGCGGGTCGACGGAGCGTTCGATGCGGTCGCGCGGTCGTTCGCGGGGTGCCCACATGCGCAGCCCCGCGTGCAACTCAATCTCTGCCGTTCGCGCCCACCGCGGCGTGCGGCCGCGCGGAGGTCGGTCTAACGGCTCGCGCAGGGGCGTGGCTGCGCGATCGCGGCGCGGGGACGCAACAGCTGCGGGTTCGGCGGCGCGCGGGCGCCGAGCAGCCCTACGTGCATGACAGGCGGAGGTTGACGCTGGGGCCTGGCGTGATGTATTGAACATGCAGTGTGACAAACGTGTCACACCGGAGGTCACGTTAACCAAGAAAAGGGTGGCCGAGCAACGGCGTGGTGGAGTACCCGCACGCAGGATGAGCAAGCTGCAGCAACAAGTGTCGGGGTCCCAATCACATGTGAGACGCGGAGGCCCCGCACGCGCTGCAAGCGCCTGCACGGAGGCAGCACGAGGTCCGTGCCGCGCAGCGCCAACGCCGACGCAGCCCCCCCACCTGCGCGGGCGGCGTCGCGTGACAACGGCAGCGCGCCTGCGGCCCGGCGGCGCAGCGCAGCGCGGTGCGCGCGGGTTTCCGTCGCCCGCCGCGCAGGCTCACAGCGGCCAGAGCCGCAGAACCTCCCGGACGTTGCTGCGCCCGTCGTCGCACCGCCACACCACCTCGCACCCCAGGACGCCCCCGCGCCGCACGAGCTCCTCGAACGCCTGCGTGCCTCCGCCGACGCCGAAGTAGTACGCCTTCCCCGCCACGTACGCCTCGCCGCCCGGCCGCTTCAGCACCTGCACCCCCACAGGACATCAAAGCAAGCGAACGCCGGGTGGTTTTCGCCGCAGTGCGCGGCCGCAGGGGCGCAGCGAGCACGCCAGAACCGCGTGCATCCAAGCTGCACCTTCGTAAGAAGCCGGTAAAACCGCCGCGCGGCCGCTTCCGCGTACACCGTCTCCGACGCCAGCACGAGGTCGAAGCCGCCCGCAGTGGCGCCCCGGAGCAGGAGGTCGTCGAGCTGGCCCCAGTCCCCGGAGAGGAAGCGCGTTTCCCGGGGCAGCTGCGCCCCCTCGGCGGCCAGCCGCGCCGCGTTGGCTTCGCAGTTGGGCACGACGAGCGCGCGCACGACCTCGGGGTTGAAGTCCTGCAAAACGACGGTCTCCGCGCCTCCGAGCAGCGCGAGTATGCCTGGGACGGCGTGCCCGCAGCCCAGCTCGACGACGCTGCGCCCCGCGAGCGCGCGCGAAGGTGTGCGCGGCAGGCCTGGTGCGCCGCCGCAGCCGGCCAGCTCCCACCGCTCGCAGAGCACGTTCGCCAGGTCGACGCTGCGGGGATGCGAGGCGGCGGGCGCGGAGGCTTTGCGGGAACACCCGACGCAGCCGTGCGCGCGTGCGTCACATCGCACGTTGCCGAGGGCACGAGCGCAGCAGCGAGGGGCTCGGCGCGTCCGCTGATGGCCGCGGCGCAGCGAGCGATCTGCTGGAATCAAACGCGCGAAGAAATCCCAACCGCGACGCGATGTTTTGCACAGTCACGACTTGCGTGAATGATAACGCGGTCTTGCGCGTCACTGCGCCTGGTGTTCGGCCGCCGCGACACCGAAACGTGCAAAACATCGTAGCTGGAAAACGCACCTGCACTCCCACAGCTTGAAGCCCCCCTCGTACCGGCCCGCCACGAGGTCCGAAGCCTCGCACGCTGCGCCCAGGAGCTCCGCGGCGTCCTGCCCGGTCACGCGCCCCTTCAGGATCGCGACGGGGCGGTCCTGCGGACCGACCGCGACCGTGTCGAACCGCTCATTGCCTCGCGCTCGCGCCGCGCACCCCGCAGGGCTCCCAGGCCGGTGCTCGTACGGCGCGGCAGCTCCCGCGCCAAGCTCCCCGTCCTCGGGGTCGCTGGAGGGCGCCCCGGCTTCCGCGTCCTCTTTGGCGAACCCGAACTTGAACGTCATCGCCGTCGGGCGCGTGAGCCGCGGCACGACGACCGTCGCCCACCTGCGCAGGCCGCGCCGGCCCCCTCGGCTCGCGCGCGGACCGCGCAGGATACACTAGCGCTGGCGGCGCAGACCGAGAGACAGAGGGTCAGCCGTGCGACCCCGGCGGGCCAAACGCGGGCCTTCGCGACGCGCCCTCTCGGGCCCGCTGTTGCGCCACACAAGTAGCAGTGTCAGGCGCCCGTGTCGCGCTCGCGGATCGGGCGGAAGTCGCACGCGCTGAGGTGCCTTGAATGTCCACGTGCATGCGGCTGGGCGCGGACGTCGTGCCCGAGGCAAGCCAGGGGCGCGGGAAAGGCAGGCCCCCCTCGACGTGAGGGTTCCCCACCGGCGACGCGGCGTGCGGCGCTATGCGCTTCGCTGTTCGCGCACACGGCGGCTGCTGTGCCTCGAGGACCCGCAACGCTGCCGCTGCGGCGCTGCCGCGCGCCTGGGACAGCGGCGCGGGCACGAACGTCAACGCCCGTGCGACTCCCGGCGCCTCGCGGAACAGGTCGCGTTTCAGGCGCCCGGGCTGCGCGTGGAGCGCAGACACGTTTCAAACATTTCGCCCGCGGCGACGACTCCGTCAGCGAGCCGCACCGCGGCGCGTGTGACGTCTCGAAGCGCGTGCATTGAAATTCCCTAGAACGCCCTCCGCGGTCCCCTGCGACGGCGAAATGCAACACAGATCGGTCCAGGACGCTCCTCGACTCCGTCGCACCACGTGCCGATCGGCACACGCCGCGTTTCGCCGCCTATACTGCGCACCGTGCCTCCCCCCTCCCAGGCCTGGAGGGCCCCTCCAACATCAGGGCGGGCCGGAGCACGGCCTGCAGCGGGCGCCGAAGGGCGCGGACGCGCGGCGTGCGGGGTCAGTGTCGCCCGAAGGACCTGGCATTCATAGAAAGAGTGACGTCGTGACCGTAGAGGTGCGGAACGCGGCTCGCAGCTCAACGTCCACCCCGCGGTCCGCTGGCGCGGCGCCGCGAGGGGGGTGCTGGCGTGGCCCCGCGCTGCACGCGTAAATGCGTATATTCGTGGCCCTGTTGTGCTGCGCGCGGCTCCACCGCGTCCCCGTGGCGGCCCTCAGCGGCTCTCTCTGCTAGCCCAGCCCAGGCCAGCCCTGGGGCACCCTGGGACGCCGGGAGCAGCTGCGCCGAGCGGTAGGCCGGGGAGCGCTGCGTGCAACGCGGCAGGGTACGCGCGCGCACGCGCGCAGGTGCGACGTTGCGATCGGAATGCGTCTCCTCGTCCTTGACTGCAGAAAGACCAAGTTTTGCGGCTCTGAGGCGGGAGAACGGCCTTGCACGCCCGCTGCTGGTGTGCTGGACCCGCACAGGGGCTGCTTCCAACCCGACGGAGGCCCAATGAACGCGTGCGTGGCCAACTGCAGCGCGCCCGGCGCCAAGGCGACCAGCATCATGCGCCGTGGGCCCTGCATGCGCACGCGTGGGATGCTGCCGCGATTCCGGATGATGAGACACAACAGACCACTAGGCGTCGGCACCCCGCGGTGCCCTCTGGCGCACAGGTGCGGCCGGGCGCCCGCAAGCAGCCGAGCCGAGCGCAAAACCCCGCGCGCGCCCCGCGAGCCCACCAGCCGGCTTCGGCCCCGCCTCCCCGGACGCAACCAACTTTCCCCCGCCGCCGCGGCCCGCGCGAACCGCTCATGCATCGCGCAGCGACCCCCCCGCGCCCCTTTGCTGCAGGCACTCGAGCAACATGCACGGGCGCTCGGTCAGCGCGGACCTAGCCGCGCACGTCGAGCTCTCGCACGGCGGCAGCGGAGGCCACGGGGGACAGGGAGGCGGGGGCGACGGCGGGGGCGAAGACGGCGACTCCGCCGGCGACTACGGGGGCAACAGAGGCGGCCTCGCCTCCTGGTGCGCACCCGCACCACCGCCGCCCCGCACGCCCGCCGCTTCCGCGCCGCGGACGCCCCCGCGTCCCCTGCGTGGAACCCCGTATCGAAGGGCCTCGCTCCCTGCCGGCCCCGACGCCCCGCGCGGCAGTCCTCCTGAGCGCTCTGCTGCTGTTGCCGCGGCCGATTGCGTGCTTGCTTCGCGGTGCGCGGCTGCGTGCCGGGCGGGCGCGGCGCGGCGTGTTTGCCCGGCAACGGTCGCGGGGCGCGCGCGGCGGGAGAGGCCGCGTGCATGCGGCGCGTTTCGAAACCAGGATGATCGAGGTGGCGGGAGTCGGGGATTGGACTCTGCCGCGCCACTCGGATCCCTGGTCGCAGATCTCGCGCCCCCGCGCGCGCCCCGGCGCGCCACCCGCGCCTCCCCACCCTCGCCGCCCCTCTCCACATTCCCCCGAGCGTCTGACGCCGGGGGCCGCGCCGCGCCGCGCCCGCACCGCGGCGCCGCGGCGCCAACATCCGCTGCCCTGGCCCCGCACCTCACCACCGCCGCCAACGCCCCGCGCGCGCCCCGACCGGCCCGCGCCGCGGCCCCTGCTGGACCTCAGCCGCACAACCTTCACGCTCACGCCCCGCACCGGCCTCTGCGGGGCGCGAGGCCCGCGACACAGCCGCGTGAGGCTGCCGCGCTGCCCACACGCCGTCTCCGCTCCCGCCGCGCGCGCAGGGTGGCGAACTACTTCTCCTCGCGCGCCAAGGCGGATCCGAACTTCGTGTTCAAGATCTTCTGCGAGTGCGCCATCGACTCGTCCATCATCCTGGGCGTCAACTACACCATGCGGGACTGCAAGCTCCACAAGTGCATCCGGGACCTGGACTTCATCTGCTGCCACCTCGCAGTCAGCCTCCTCTGCGACATCGCCCTCGTGTCGATGCTCGCGCCCGCCGCCGGCGTCAAGTGCGCCCCCGCCCCACTGCGCGCCGACCGCCAGCTGCGCCCTGCCGCAGCCCGCCGCGCCGGCGCGAACGCGCCGCGACGCCGCCGCAGCCAGCCTCCCTGAGGTGTCCTCCGTCGCTGACGGGCCGCGCTGCGGCCCGCAGCACCGCCCGCGCGCACGCGGCCCCCCGCTCACCGCCCCCGTCGCCGCGCCCGCACACTTGCAGGCGGCTACCCAAGTCCACGATCGGTCGCGCGATCGCGCAGCTGCCCACGTTCGTGTTCGAGCCGGGCCTCTTCTCCCTCGCGCAGCGCATCGGGTGCTTCTTCCACAAGGCCGTGCTGTACGGCATGGTGGGCTACACGATGGGCTACAGCGGCACGAAGCTGGTCAACACGATCACTGACACGCGCGAGATCCTGGACCCGGACTTCGTGCCGCCGCGCACGGAGCAGGACCCCGTCCGGACCGCGACGGGGTGGATTTACTTCATGGGGATCAGCAGCAACGTGCGGTACCAGCTGATCGGGGGCGCGGAGCTGCTGGCGTACGCGCGGTTGCCCGGGCTGCTGTCGCGCGTCGTGAGCATATCGATGCGGTTCTCGAACAACGTGTTCGGGGCCAAGCAGTGGCTGGAGCTGGCGCGCATCCTGGGCTGCGAGCGGCCGCGCGAGAGCATCCTGGACGCGACGCCGCCGGCGAAGCGGAAGAAGAAGCACCACAAGAAGAAGAAGAAGCACCAGGAAAAGCACGGCCTCGCCAAATTGAAGTTTTGGTCCTAGGCCAAAGTTTTGGCCCGCGCAAGAGCCGGCCCTGACGCGACCGCATCGCCCCGCCTCGCCCTCTTCCGGGCCTCTTCCGACTGCGGACGCCGCCCGAGCCCGCGGGCACGGTCTTCGGAGCGGGCGCGGCCCTGCGCAGTGCTCCGCGGACCGCCGCAGTCCGTCGCGCCAGGACGGGGGGCTCGCGCGTCCCGGGGGGCTATCTGCCACGCCGCGTGTCCAGTTGATTTCGTTCGCGGCGCCGTCATCAGCGCGGGTGCGTCTGCGCAGGGACCCGCAGCCATGGCCCCCTGCGCCGCTACACGCACCCTGCCCGAGTTTTCACCGCGACGGCCCGCCCCGGGAGCCACAGCGGTCGCGTCGCGACGCATGCTTTCTATCCAAGCAGACAGCACCGCACCACGTGTACATTCACTCATCGTCGCATCGACTCTTTTCTGGCTTCTTTCGTCCCGTCGCCTGGGACATGTCACGCGCATACCCGGAATCAGGGACCCCGTGTGACGAATACCAATCAATCGCGTATCACCGTCCGCCGCGTGTGCGGCCGGCCGGCATTCGCGCAGCGCCTGCGTGCTGCGCCACCTGCGCAGGAGTGGGCAACCTCGCCGGCCGGTGCTCTGCGATGCAGCCCCCGCTGCGTGGAGATTCAGAGGGCCGTCCGATGGGCGCGTTCTGCTCCGGCTCCGCGCGGCGGACCGCCGCGAGTCCCCATGCCAGGCGACCATGTCTTCTCCACGGGGGTGTCTTCTCCATGGACCTGTGTTCGAGATCGCAAGTCGCGCATATCTGGTGCATCTCTGTGGCTGTGCTGCGCGCGCGAGACAACCGTGCGTTTTCGTCTCACACCCCGCTGCGTGCCCGGCCGTTGTCTTGCAGCCAGACACCCCAGCGCCGCGCCGCGCGACACCGGCGCCCGCGTCAGCGAGGGGAGCCCATCGGCTGGTCCTCGTCGCCGCGCTGGCCGTCGCCGTCCGCGTCGAGCAGCTCCCGGGTCTCCGCGGCGACGCGCACCAGGTCCCGGTCGCGCCGCACAGCGTCGCTCTTGGCCATCTCCGGCAGCACGACGTCCTCGAGGAGGCCGCGCATTTCGCCTGTGGGGGAGAGTAGGGACGGGGGAGCGCGTGGGCGGGCGCAACGCTCACTTGGTCATGGCGCTCGGTGGGACGATGCACCCACAACGACAGAGAGCAAGAAACGCGGGTGGAGACGGCTGATACGACGAGGATACGCGCGAGCACGAGTCTCGACGGACGGATCCGTCGCTGCGGCCCGTCGATCCATTCCAGCCTCAATCGTGCGCCCACGCAGCACTCGCCGTCCCCGCATGCATGCAGTCTGTCTTGTGGTGGCGCAGTCGCATCTTGCAGCAGCGTCCGCGGCCGCGCTCGTGCTGCTGTCGTTCACGCACGCGCGTACGCGGTCGCGGGCGCGCACCTCCGGTGTGCTTGAGGTCCATGCAGAGCTCTCGCATCCTGTCCGCGTCCCCGCTGTCCGCGAGAACCTTGATGTATGTCCGCAGGAGCTGCGGCAGGTCCTGCGTCCGCCCGCGGAGCCGCGCAGACACCAGCAGGCTCTCCACGTGTCCCCGCGCGGCGGTCCCCAGCTCCGCGACGCTCGCGTTCAACTCGGCCGCCGTGATGCTGTCAGCGGGCTGGGCGCTCCCGGCCGCGGCGGCGCCGGCGCCCTCGGCCAGGACTGTCGTCAGGGCCGACAGCGGGAGGTCGTTGGACGCCGCGACGGTCCAGCACTCCATTGCTGGGTGGAACAGGAAAGCCTCTCCAGAGTCTAGGACGGCGCAAACGACCTTGTTGGCGCGCAGGAAGACGCTCCTGAGGGCGTCCGGGCCGGCGGCGGGGCCGAAGAGACCCCCCAGCGAGCACCGCGTCAGACACGACTGACTCAGTATGTCATACACTGCCACCTGCAACGAGACGCGCGCGGGCGGCCCTGACGGTCAGGCTGCGGGCTGCGCGCGACGAGCACGCGCCACTCGTGCCGCGGAAGCGTGAGGGGCGCACCTGGCACCCTGCTGACGCAACCATCAGAGCCCAGTCCCCATCTGTGTGCATGTAGCACGCAGGCATGCCGAGGTGCAGGGGCGGCAGCGCTCGCCGGCCGCCAGGCGTGAAGACGTACACGCGCGAGTTCTCGCACGCGACGGCCGCGAACCGCGGCGTCGCGACCGCCAGCACCGCGCGAGACGGCAGCCGATCGCTCCACCTCCGCGCGCCCCCGGGTCCCGCCTTCACCTCGACGTCCGCCGCACCCGCGTCCGCGTTCCCCCGGTTCGTCACGCACATGACGTCGCCGTCGCCGTCGCCGTCGCCGCCGCGCACGCGTGCCTCGAGCGTCTGCGGCGGCGCGGGTGCACGCAACGTCCAGAAGGAGCCGTACGGCCGCCCGCCGGGCTGCGGCTCGCCCGGAGGCGGCTGCGGCGGCGTGCCGCGCGCGGCTTTGTTGCCGCAAACCCCGCACGGAACGTACTTGACCGCCCCGGTCATGCTCGGCCGCCACTGCGGCACCGCCGTGCCGATCCGCTGCGCGAGCCGCGAGCTCACGGGCGGGCTCTTCGCCTGCGCGGCCGCAGACGGCCCGGCCGGCGTCGGCGCGGCGCGCCACCGGCGCCCCCGGCGTGCCCCCGCCGTTCGCGCGCGGCTGCTCCAACACCGCGTCAAGCTCGGCCGCCTCAGCGACCGGCGCCCCGCGCACCGCGCCGAACGACTTGCCGTACCGCTCGACCATGTGCCGCTGCCACTGCGCCTCCGACAGCGGCCGCCCGAGCTCCGCTTCCTCGAACGTGACCGCGCCGACGGTGCCGTCGATGGACGTCATCAGCAGCGTGAGGCCGTCGGGGGCCCAGGCGAAGTCCGACAGGGGCTGGCGGAACATCTTCTTGATGCACGCGACGGGTTGCTCGCTCGCCGAGCACCACACGGTGACCGTCCTCTCGTTGGAGCCCTGCGCCCACACCGTCTTGGGCTCGTCGGGGTCGGCCCCCTCGGTGTTCCAGACCATGCGCGGGCCGAACGACGCAATCTGGATCTCCCGCTTGTGCCCTGCGCGCGAGTGGAAGGGCACTGCCTTGCTTGTCTCCCCCTGACGTGACAGGCATGAGTCGGGAGCAGCGTGGAGTGGCCGGGCCCAGTGCAGGGCAGGCCACGGCCCCGCACGTCGATCCATCGCGACCAACGCGGCCCAGCAGGCCCCCGTCAGTTCCGTCTGCAACGGATCGCCGTCGTCGTCCGAGGCGCGGGTGCGGGATGTGGGCAGTTCCCGGGGGGGGTTTGTCCTGCTCCCCTACCTCTGATATGGCAGTCGAGATGCCAAGTATCATGCGTCTCCCCGACAGAATCCTTCGTGCCCTTCCGGGTGATCATCGCCACCGTGTGCTTCCCGTGGCTCGCCGCGCCCACCAGCGCCAGCGCCGACCCGTCCGTCGCCCACGATGGCCGCAGCCTGGCACAGCTCCCCGACGCCCCCGTCCCCGCGAACGGCGACTCCACCACGCCGTCCACGCTCCACGACTCCGCGTCCCACACAATCGCCTTCCCGTCCCCGCCCTGCGACACCAGATAGCGCCCCAGGGGATCCCACGCCAACCCTTTGGCGTGGCCCTGGTGGCCTTGCGCGCCCGCCAGGATCGCGACCTGGCGCCCCGTGGACGCCTCGTAGACGATGATGCTGTTGTCGATGCTGCACGTCGCGACCAGCGCGCCGTCGGGGCTCCAGGCGCCGTCCATGACGTCGCCCGTGTGGCCGTGCAGGGCGTGCAGCACGACCCAGTTGTCGAGGTTGGGCGCGCCGCCGAGCGTCGCGCGGCCCTGCCCAGCTGCAGCGCGCGCGCGGGCGGAAGCGGGAGCGGCGTCGCGGGGCGCATTGCGTGGCAAACGCCGCGCACGCGTACAGGCGCGCGGTCGCGGCGAATGCTGCGGGGTTCGGGGAGCGGGGCGCACGTCTGAGCTCGTAGATGAAGGAAGTCCTGTCGTTGCTGCAGGAGAGCAGGTAGTTGCCCTTCGGGGAGAAGCGCACGCACTCGACGCTGCCGCCGTGGTCCGAGAGGGTGGCGAGCAGCCGCGGTGGCTCGCCCTCGCAGATCACGGAAGCGAGCGCCCAGACCCTGGCCTGCGATCTCACAGAGCGGGCGGGGCGACGACGTCGCGCATTCGTGGGCGCGCGGGGCCAGGAGCGCCATGGGCGTGCTGTGCGCTGGGCGCGCAGCAGCACCGCAGAAGCGGGCTGCGGGGCCCTTGAACGCTTCTCTCGCGTCCCTGTCCGGCTTCTCCGGCCGCTATCGGTGCCGCGTGCCGACGCGCTGGGCCGCAGAGTGCGGGTGCGTGCGTGCGCGCCCAATTGGGCGCAATTTGCTCTCTGGCAGAAGGGGCGTGGTGTCCTCACCTTGCCATCCTCGCCGCCAACGACGAGGCGCTTGCCGTCGGCGCTGACGTCGATCGAGAACAGCGGGAACGGATTGTTCGGGTCGACCGTGAGCGCCGTGGGCTTGTACACGATGGGCATGGTGCCACCCAGGGCGCGCCGCGGGGCGCGTCACGGGCCAACAAAACGCGCTCCCTGCGCTCCTCGGACGTCCTCGCGCTGCAACGCTGCGATTCTGCCGCAGGCGCGCGGCGAACCGGGCCTCTGGACACCCCCCGCGCCGCCCGATGGAATTCAGGCCCCCGGGGCAGCGCGCCACACCCTCCCTGCGGCGGTGCGGGATGGGGCGCGGTTCCGCGCGGCCCGGGGCACTGGCGGCGACCGAGGCGGGCGGTGGGGGCCGCGAGGGATCATGGCGACGTCGAGCTGGGCGGAACAACGACAAGGAGTGCGCACGCGGCTGGCTGGGTCGCTCGCGGCGCGATGCTTGGCCCCCGCGCAGCCCAGCCCGGCCGCTCTGCGACAGGCGCGAGAGGTGCGGTCCCTGACGTGTAATTTTTTGACGCGTTGATCGTCGGAAGCCGCGAGGGCAGGCGGCCAGCTGGCAGTGCACAGTCCGTGGGCGCATATTGGCGCGCCAAGCGCGCTCAGCGCCGTTTCCGCCCCGCTGCTGCGTCGCTGTCCGCCCCGGAAGCGCCCTGATCGCGAAGGCTCGTCGCTGACCGCGCCGGGCGGGCGGCCGGGGCCGCGACCGCCCCGCAACGCCGCGGCGCGTGCGCTGACGGGCCCTCAAGGCGTGGTGGCGCCGGTCCGCGTGCCCCGCAGTTCGTCCTGGCGAAGCTCAAGCACCACCGATACCTAGACACGTCTCCGCGCCAGGTCGAGCTGCTCCTAGCTGGCCACCTCGAACGTTTCGACCTCCACGGGCAACCTTCCAAGCGCCAGGCGAGCCCCCGCGCAGCACGCGACGACTGCGCCGCGCTCCATCACGACCCCGCACCTTGCCGCAGCGCACGGCCTCTCTGTGTGGGCGGGATAAACGCCGAACGGAGCAGGTTCCGACGCACGGTGGCGTCGTCACTGCACGCGACGCTGGGACCGCTCGCGTGGGGCGCCGCAGATGCGACAGAAGTGTGCGTTTTCCGCGCTCACCGTGGCGTCCGTTGCGCGCTGGGCGCAGGCGCTGGCGGCGGCCGCGGAACGGCTCTTTCAGATAGACCTTGCGAGTCCACAACTAGACTTGAATCATGGGATCGTGTCTCTGCTTCTGAACCTGGCCGGGCGGCCGCTGGACGCGCCCGGCGCGGCGGAGGCGGCGGATGCGGCGGTGCTGGCGGCACGCGGGCAGGCGGAGGCCGGGGCGAGCGCGGGCGGCGCGGACGCGGGCAGCGCTGCGCTCTCACAGTCGTCGGACGATGAGGAGACTCTGTCGGCCGGGGTTCGATACGACGACGACAGCGGTGCGTGACCCACGAGGGGGGTCGCTGGGGCGTGGCGCTGCTCGTGCGCGCGCGGGCGCTGCTTGCGCTTCAGCTACAGGGGGAGGGGGTTGCACTCGATTGCGCGTGTGCGCAAGAGGCTCTGTTTGATCGAGAACGGCGCACTCAATGCGAGTGTCTGTTTCGGCGCACCCGCTGCAGAGCTGTCGGAGTGGAGCGACGACGACAGCGACGAGGAGGACAGCGCGCGCACCGACGTGAACGCGGAGACTGCCGCGAAGCGCGCCTTGTGGGTGCCCTATGGTCTTTCGGACGCCATCCAAGACCTGCAAACACTATCTGTGGAGGACGCACACCACCACAGCGGAGCCAGCGGCGCCTCCCGCGGACGCGGCGCCAGGGACGACGCCGTCGCGCTGCAGAACGCGTTCTTCCGCGCCATGGCCGGCAGGTGCGCCCCCCGACGTGCTGCCCCGCAACGCAGCCCAGACACACACTCGCACGCGGAACGGTGCCGTGTCCCGCGTTCCCCGCTGTCATCCGCTGCGTCGCCCATCAGTATGACACGACTCGCTCCGAGCGGGCGGTCTGATTGCTCCGGCCGTCCGTGTCGTCGTCAGAGCTAGCGCCACCTCCGCGACGCGTGTGCCGCCCGCGACGCCCCGCAGGCCCACGGAGGGCATCGTCGAGCTCCGAGACGACGGCGTGCTCGCTCTCGACCTCTTCTCCTTCGGCCCGGCGCGCTCCGTCATCGCCGGCGCGTGCCGCACCGGCACCCACGTGCTGTGGTGCGCCGCCGTCTGTGCAGCGGCCACGTGCACCCCGCCGCCCGCCGCCGTCGCGTGCGTCGCGCGCGACTGGGCGGCTCTCGCGTCGTGCGGGCCCACCGTGGCCGCCCTCGCCGACGCAGCCGCGGCAGAGCTCGAGAAGCTGACTCATGCTATCGACGCCCTGAGTCAGGCGATGCTGACGCAGCAGGACGAGTGGACGCCGCCGCCGACGCTGCTGGCCGTCGAGGCCGCGGCGCAGCCGCACGCCGACGCGGTCGCCGCGCTCGCGGGGACTCTCCTGACGTGTTTTCAGGACCCGCGGGGACACCCCCCGTTCCCTTGCGCGTCGCGGGCGGACCGGGCCGCCGCGGCCGCACGCGCGCTCGACGGGCTTCTGCGCGTATCGACGGACATGGACGCGGCCGGGACGGCGCGCAGGACCGGCGCTGCCGACCAGGCCGCTCCACACGCGCCCGCGCGAGCAGCGGAGCCGTCGCGTGCTCCGTCGCCGGCGACGATGGTCGCGGAGATCGTGCGCCGGGCCGCGGCTCCGCTGGAGCGAGGACTGCGGGCGTGGCTCGGGCGCGGCGACCTCCCGGACGACCCGTGTTCTGACTTTTTCGTCGACGCGGTGCCGTCTGTCAGGCTGGCTGCGTCAGGCGGGCCGCCGGACCCGGCGTTCGTCTGGACGAGCGCGTTCCAGCTGCTCGCGGTTCCGGCGGCGCTGCGGGACGCCGCCGAGCACGTGCTCCGCGAGGGGGTGTGTGCAAAACTCCTCACCCAGGAGTCCCCCGCGCCGCGCGCGCCCCGCCCGCGCGCCGCCGACGCACCATCGGCCCCGCCGCAGCCGCTGCACGCGGCGAGGCGCCGCCGCTCCGCGCTGCCGGCGTTCCGCGGCCCCGGCCACCTGGCCGCCTATCTCCCCGCCGCGCCAAGCAATCGAGAAACACACTCTGCCGAGGGAACCGACTGCACCGTCCACGGCATCGCCCCGCGCGCCGCGGACGGCAACGCCGTCGCCGACCCCGACGCCCTGTTCCTCGAGACACATGCCCGGACGCTCCTCCAGGCGCGGCTCTCCGCAGCGACAATCGCGGGCCCCGTCAGCGCCAGCACGCGGCTCGTGCTCGCACTGCGCGGGCCGTGCAGGCTCCAGGCGGACCTGGACGCAGCGCAGGCGGTGTTCCTACTATCCACGCCGCTCCTGCGCAGCTTCGCCGCGGCGGTCGCCGCGCAGGTGCACCGCGGCAGGGGGCGTGTGCCGCCCTCGCACGAGCTCTCCGTCTTGCTGCGGGACCACGTCGAGGCGGCCTGGGCGCCGCCGGGGCTGCTGGAACGGCTGTCGGTGGTAGTGGAGGAGGGCGGGGGCGACGGCGTGGCGGCACTGGACGCGCTGGAGCTGCGGATGACTGTGGGGGGTCTTGGGGGACTCGTCTTGACTCAGGACGCGGTCGTGGTGTACAGCCGAGCGCTGGTCTTCCTGCTGAAGGTCATGTGGGCGAAGCACGCGCTGTTGGCGTGCCGCTGGCCGCTCAAGGGCGGCGCGGCGGGCCCGGGGCGGCGTGGCGGCGGCACCACGGCGTCCGTCCTGCTCTGGACGATGTCCGCCGTCGTTGGCGCGGTGCACGACTTCGCGACGGGCGGCGTGCTGCTCGAGGCGGCGCCGGCGCTGGCGCGCGCGGTCGCGCGGGCCCGGGCACCGTCGGAGGTGCTGTCTGCGCACGCCGCATTCTTAGACGCGCTCCGGGAGTACACGTTCGCGGGCGACGGCGCGGACGCTGGGTGGCGGATGGTCGGGGGCCACGTGATGGCGATCTTCGACGGCGCGGTGGAGCTGGCGTGGGAGCATGCGGCGGCGGAGGCAGCGGAGGGTGCGGTGGCGGAGGAGAGGTGGGGGGAGTTCGCGGAGCACTGTCAGGACATGGCCGAGGTGAGTCCGCCTGGACTGAGCGTGGACGTGCGCGTGGCGCGTTCGCGTCGACGAGGAGCGCTCGTGGGGTGTCATCATTAGTATGACGTCGCTTTCACTTTCTGATCTCATTCCTGTCCACATCGATATCAATACTCACAAGTGTCGCTAGGCTCGGTGCCATGCAGGAGCTTCGAGATCGGCTGTCGTTCATGCTGCGGGTGCTGCGCCACAAGAGCGAGGTCCAGGGGCCGGACTCGACAGCTGCGAGCTTCCTGGCCGCGCTGGAGCCTCTCGAACGCAGCCCGCGCGGGTAACACGGCACATGCGCGGACTTGTAAGCCCCACGGTGCACCGCCAACGTCGCGCCTCTCTGTCACACGACAACAACGCGGCGCGTGCGTGGCCTCAGAGCTGCGCGTTCCGAGTGTGCTCCGCGGCGAACGTCGACGGCTCCCATGCAGAGCAGCCGCGCTCATTTCTTGCCTTTCGTGGACACCGCGGCGTCGGCGGGGGGCGGGACCCACGCCTCGATGACGTCGGAGAGCACCACCAGCTTGTCGTCCGGACCTATGTCGACCACCTGGTGCTGATACGGCGGCAGCAAGCAGGTGCCGTCCGCGTGCAAGATTCCCAGGAGCGTGTCCCCGCACCTCTTCGCAGCGTCTGCGCATCACCAGCACGAGCGCACTCTCAGCGATCGCGACACGCGCACAGGCACTCGCGTGCGCGCGCGCAGCACCCGCCGCGGGCGCAACGCAGGGAAGCACGCACACGGCCGCCTGTCGCCTCCGGAAGCCGCCGCCGCGCTTCCTACGCGCTGCGCAGCACCACTCGCGACAGCGCCTGCCGGGCGCAATGCGTCAACTCACCGCACATCTCACCGAAGGTGAGGCCGTCGCCTTCAGGCACGTTGTACACTGCAGGGTGCTTCATGAAGAGCTCGTTGCCGTCCGCGCTCAGGATCTCCCGGTAGACGTGGATCACGTCCGGCTGCGCCGCGACCTGCGTGATCATCCCCGTGATCATGTGGTCAAGCTGCAGCAGGTCCATGGTCAGCGGCGGCGCATTCTCCGCGCCGCTGGCCGCCACGAACTCCGCCGCGTCGCGCGTGCCCTCGTCCGCAATGACCGCGACGAGGTGCAGGTCCTTCACCGCCGCTCGCCCATGCAGCGCCACCGCTTTCCGCCTCATGTCTTGCACGGTAACGAGCAGCGGCAGCAACGCCTCGTCCTGGCCGCACCGCTCGCCGCCGTCCTCCGCGGCCGTCACGGCCTCGAGCGCCACGACGAGGCTGTCGGCCTCCGCCAGCTTCGCCTCCGCGAGCGTGTCGGGCGACACCGCGGGCGCGCGGATGTGGGAGACCTCCAGGGGCCCCACGCGCGCGCGGGGCTTGGGCTCCAGGGGGCCGTCGTGCACGATGACGACCTTGGAGCCCTCGGGGAGGAACTCGCTCATGGCCTGCAGGGTCAGCGAGGAGTCCTGCTGCCAGCCCAGCATAATGACGCGCTGCGGACCAACGACGGCGCCAGCGGTGGGCTTGACCGAGTCCTTCGGCTTGCCCTGCTTGACGGCGATCTCCTCCGCGGCCTTCTGGTCCATGTTGGACTTCAGCAACGCGACGCGCGCCGCTGCGGTGGACTCCGGCCGCCGGATGGACCGTGCAATGCGCGACAGGAGGTAGTCGCAGCGCTCGTGGACGCGCTGGAGCGGGCTGAAGAACTGGTCGTTCTCCGCGAACACCACGATCTTGTCCCCCTTCTGGACCACGTAGCTGTCCGGCGCGTTCAGCTGCAGCGGCGGGGAACAATCCACACGTGTCGGGGATGCCGCTCGGCCCACACGCGCCGTCGCGACGCATGCGCAGACGCAGCGCGCGCACCTGAAGGCGGGTGCGCGTCTTGCTGGACCCCGGCGACAGCACCCCGCAGACCACGCCGCGCGGAATGGTCTTGCGCGCGTCCCCAATCGACATCCCGACGATGCTGGGCACCTCCTTGACGTAGAACTCCGCAGTGCCCTCCTCCTGAATGAGCACGTGCTCCATCACCGCCGACAGCCCCGGCGACGACGTCATCTGCGCCAGCAGCTTGGACGCCCGCTCGGCGCCGTGGAACGGCAAGAACTCGACGCTGTCGCGGCCGCCGGTCTCGCTGACCATGTTGAGCCAGCGGCCCGCGAGGGAGTCCTCCTCGACCGCGATGGACCCGGCGCTGCCCGGGGCGGCCTCGGGGGGCTTGTGGAAGGACCCCGGCAGCTGCACGACGACGTTCTGGCGCTGGCCCGAGTTCTTGTAGTAGGAGGGGCGGACGGCCTTGATGTTGATGAGCGTCGCGACGAGGGTCTGTAGGTCGTCGCTCATGCCGTTCGGGCCCTGCAGGGGGGTTGTGGGTTGAGGGGGGGGTTGTGAAGTGGGTGGTGCGCGGGTGCGGTGGCGTGCGAGACGGCGTTCGGCGCGCATGCGATGCGCTCACGTCTGCGTCGTACTCGACTTCGCGGTCGTTCATGACGATGATGTTGCGCGCGTGCCCCGCGGACACGCGGCGAATGTCGTCGATGCGCGCGGGGGTGCCCTCGCGCGTGATGACGCGGACACTGTGCCTCGCATCCTCCATAAAGTCCCTGCACGCACTCCCCGAACCAGCAGCGACCACATCATAACACATCTCCCAAGCAAGCCTCTGTGCAACACACACACCGCAGCGCGACGAGTCCTCTGTCGCGGCTTGCCAACGCGCGGAACAGCACTGCCGCGAGACGGCAGTGCGGTGTTCGGGGGTCTCATGACGGTTGGGGTGCGCACTTGACGTGTTCGTCCATTTCCTCCTTGTTGTTTCCGAGGATGACGATGGGCTCACGGAAGACGGCGCGGCCGAGCTCGCGCTTCGCCGTCTCCACCTGCCGCAGCAGCTGCGTCGTCTGCGGCGTCCAGTTCAGCACCACCGTGTGCCCCTGCTCGATCACCGGTGCGTTCCCCTGCGTCAGGTCCTCCACCTTGTTGGACACCTCTGCACGCGCACGGCCGGCGTGCAGCTGCGCCGTCAGCCACGGCACACGCGCGAGCGCATCGCGCAGTGCACGCTGCGCGGCGCGGGGCGGCCGCATGCGGCGCGCACGCACCGTCGACGATGATACCGAAGAGGACGGCGAACGTGAGCGTCCCGACGAGGAAGAGGAGGTTGCCGACCCACACGCCGCCCGGGGTGTCGTCGGCCGTGACGTCGACGCCGGGCGCGTTCGAGATGACGGCGTAGGCCTTGAAGAGCGCCTCGCCGAGGGCCAGGCCGGTGAGCCAGCGGTACGCGACGCCGCCGATGAGGACGAGCGGGAGCGCGAGGAGGAAGATGACGGCCATCTTCGGCAGGATGGGCAGCAGCATGATGCCCTCGAAGTAGTACACCAGGGTGTCGACGGGGCTGATCATCCAGATCGGCGGCCACAGGATCTTGGTCATGAGGTGCTTCCAGTACGCCGACGCGCCCAGCGCGACCACGGCTCCTGCGCCGCGCGCAGACACACGCCCGCGCGAGTGTGCGGCGGGTACACCGCGCGCACCCGTGGGGTGCTGCGTGCGAAGGCGGGCGGGAACCGCGGGCATGCGTGGGCGTGCGCACCGAGGCCGATGAGGATGGATGCGCGGGCCGGCGTGGAGAGCTCCAGCCACTTGTTGCGCACGCGGCGCTTGGCAATGGTGAGTTTGGCCAGGCCGCGCTTGATCCTGGGGACGGCTTCTTTCTCGACCTTCTCCGTGATGACTTGCTTCGTCTCGGCGATGATGTCGCGCTGCTCGCCCCCGCCCTCCGGCGCCGGCGCCGCGCCTGCGAACACAGGTGGTTGAGGGCAGCACGTTCGGGGGAGTATGGTGCGGTGTAGGGCCGGCGAACGTGGACGATTCCCGAGGCCCTTCCCTCAGCGACAGCCATGTCATCAGAGGAGGCGCTGGCGCTGCGAGTTGTGCTTGAGGCGCGTGGCACCGTGCCCCCTGATGCGGTGGCACTCCTGCAGGGATTCCTCGCACCTGCGCTCGATGCGCCGTCCGAGTGGGGAGGTACCGGCATCCTGATGTGCCTCAGCGGTCGCACGCGCGGCACCGACGTCCGCAGCGGCAAGCCGCACGGCGCGCGAGCGCGCCCTAGGCTTGGGAGCATTCTTGCTGCTTTACCCCCCGTGTCGACTACAGGTCCGCGCGGACGGCGGCAACCGGAGATCGAAACCGCAGACATGCCGGCGCGGCACTCGCCGTCGCGTGAAATGAGCCCGGGGGGACTTCCCGGGGCTGTTTAGGGGCCTAAGTGTTGGTTCTACCGCGCTGCGCAGCCGAGCGGCGCTCGCAGCCCTGCTCTTTGCGGCACGGGGAGCCCTGCGCGCGCACTTTCGGCCGGCGGTACGTTCTCGCGTCGTGCGTCAGGCCGGCCGTGTGGCGCGCATCTCACCCCGGCACTGAGCTGGCCGGATGTTTCCGGTCTCCGTGTCCATCGCGCCGCCCGTTGCTCAGCGGCGCGACGTGGTCCGTGAGGGAGAGGAGCTCGAGGCGCGCCAGGCCGCTCTGAGGTGCGGGGCGCTGCGAAACACGGCGGTTCTCCTTGTCGAGGCTCTTCCGGGGCCGACTGACCGCGATTCCGGTGCTGCTGCAGGGCGAAGGAGGAGCAGGTCGCGAGCTGGTGCGAGAACGACCGGCCGGTCGGCATCCAGGAGGCGCAGGTCGCCGCGCCGGAGACGCACGAGGAGGTGGGCGCACAGCACACACGCTGGCCCTGCTGCGACCGCCTGTGCACGCGCAGGCCGCGCTGAAGCACGTTCGAGTGCACCGAGACGTGCACACATGTACAGAGGCCTGGCAGCGGCCGCACGCGGGCCGCGCCTGGCCCAGACCTCGCCGGCGCAGCGCCCAATGCACTACGCACTCAGGGAAGCCCGCGCGAGGCCGTGCTCGCAGGACCTGCCCTCCGACGAGTTCGACGACAGCGAGCCGGAGTCCAACGTCTCCGAGGAGATCTGACGGGCCGCGGGCCGGCCCCGGCCAGGCCGCACCATGGCCTCCCAAGCGGAGTGGCTCAAGTGGGTGCCGCAGACGCGCTTCATGGTGCGTACGGACGTTTCGGACTGCGCGGCGAGGCGTCAGAACTATCGTGGTTTCGCCTGGTGGAGGCCTGGAGCCGTGACAAGCTGCGCGCGACCCTGGCTAGTCTGTGCAGGTCGATGGCTTCAATTTCCAGAACCCGGCGTGCCAGCACTACTTCCTCACGCACTGCCACTCGGACCACACCACGGGCCTCACGCGCTCCTTCACCTCGGGACACATCTTCTGCAGGCGCGGCCCCCAAAAAGTGCACACAACGCCATTCGCCCTGCGGCGTCACGCCACGCGCGCCGCCGCACGCACACAAGCCCGTGCTGCCCGCCGCTCGCTCCTCCCGAGCGCTCCCGCGCACGAGGACCGCGCCCGCGCGCAACACTCCCCCCCCCCCACGCAACGCAACGCAACACCGCCACCCTGCAGTCCCGTCTCGGCGCGGCTGCTGGTCGAGGAGCAAGGCATCGCAGCTGCACGCATCCGCCCGATGGCGGTCGGCCGCAGCTACGACGTCGACGGCGTGCGCGTCACGCCCATCGACGCCAACCACTGCCCCGGGGCGGTGCTCTTTCTGTTCCAAGTGCCCCGCCGCCCACGCGCGACGCCCGCGCACGGACAGCGCGCGTGCCCGCCCGCAGACGCCATGCAGGCCGTGCTGCGCGCGGGGGGTGGCGGCAGCGTGCCGCCGCCGCTGTGGCAGTCGACGCGCGGCGACGACGACGGCGACGCGTTCTTCAACGTGCTCCACACGGGAGACTTCCGGTGGACGCGGCGCATGGCGGCTCCGCCGCTGCTCGGGCTGCGCGTGGACGTGCTGATGCTCGACACGACGTACGCGGGCCCGAAACACGTGTTCCCCGGCCAGGAGGAGACGGTGGATTCGATCGTGCGGCTGATGCGCGAGGAGGAGGCGGCGAACCCGGGGGAGACGCTGTTCGTGGTGCGTGACGGACGTCGCACGTGCGTGCGTGTGCGTGACGTCTGGGTTGATTGGCAGGGCGGACGCTCGCGCGGGCGTTGGCTGCGCGCGTCGCTGTTGAGGCGAGGCGAGGCGAGGTGAGGAGAGGTGTCACGCATTTCGCGTTGTCGTGCAGGTGGGGTCGTACCACATCGGGAAGGAGCGGGCGTACCTCGGGGCGGCGCGGGCGCTGGGGTGGCGGGTGTATTGCTCGGCGAACAAGCGGCGCACGCTCTCGCGGCTGGACCTGGGGCCGGATCTGGACCGCATCCTGACGGAGGACCCGCGCGAGGCGCGCATCCACGTCGACTGGATGGGCCAGGTGCGCCGCTCGCGGCGTGTCGCTGTTGCCTCGCGAGTCGTTTCCGCGGGCGCACTGACGCCGCGGCCGCTGCTCGCAGATCCGGGCGCCGCTGCTCAAGTCGCGGATGGAGGCGGGGGGCTACAAGGCCGTCGTCGGCGTTCGGCCCACAGGGTGGTCCTTCCGCCCAAACGCGGTCGGGCCGTCGCGGTCGCGGTCGTACAACGGCCGCGTGGTCGTGTACGGCGTGCCCTACAGCGAGCACTCGTCGTGGCCGGAGCTGCGGGACTGCATCGCGACGCTGAAGCCGTTGAAAATCATACCCACAGTTGGCGCGAGGTATGTGGCGTGCAGCTATGCAGGATGCGTGTGGTTGGTCGACGTTCGCGTTGCAGGAGTGTCGCACGTGCGAGGCGTTGGCGCGCGGTGTCGATGCGCGTGCGTTGCCGCGGTGCTGGCGCAGGACCCAGGCGGACGCGCGCAGGGTGGTGGAGCGGTTCGCGGGCCTGCCCGGGGTGCCCGAGAACAAGGCGAGCCTCGCGGCGTTCGGTTTCACCAAGGTCGGGGCGGGAGGGAAGACCGGGGAGCGACCGGTTGCGCGGCGCGCGGCGAGTCCGGTACGCAACGTTGCGGGGTGCGCGGAGGACGGCAAAGGGGGGGGTGTGGACCTCACGTCGATCGATGTGGGCGAGCAGGTAGCGATACTAGCGGAGATACAGCGGGCGGCGAGGGACGACGCCGGGGGCGGCGCCCTGAGGAAGCGTGCGCGCGTTGAGGACGGAGCAGGGGCAGGCGCGAGCGTGGGGCGGGGGCGGGCGGGGATCGCTGCGTACTTCAAGCGCGTGTGATGACGCCCTGGCAGACGCGGGGGATCAACGGACGAGCTGTCAACCTAGTTCCACCTCGCGTACCTCGCCCCCGAGAACGATCGCGAGAAGAGGACCGGCGCCCCTGGCTCAACGTCAACCAGGGCTTCGTTCACCAACGCGGAGCTGTTGCATGCGCCAACAGGGCTAGCGCCGGCACACACGCAGCGCCACAACGCCACACCGCGTGGTGGTTGTGGTCCGCCCGCTGCAGCGCAGCACCATGCGCGCACGCGACCGCCACCAGCACCACCCCCTCGCGAGCTCGTCTGTGCGCGTGCTCGATGCGGCCCACGACGTCTGGGGGCAGGTGGCTGCTGTCAGGGGGAGGTGTCCTATGCTGAGCGCGTTAGAGCCAATGGGGGCGCCTCGCCGCGCCGGCTGCGTACAGACGCGAAGTGATCATCGTCACGGCCACGACGTGAACTCGCAGCTCACCGACGTCGCCGCACTCACGCGTCGGCCGACACTCGAGAGCAGCGAGGAACAGCAGGGTCGTCTCTCCGCCGTGCGTTTGCGGGCGGGCAACAGGTGTGTACGCGGACACGTGCGTGATATGTTTGTCAGTGGCAGTGCGGCGCTGCGTACGCGCGTCCGGAACGCGCCTGCATGCGGCACCGCCGGCGATGCAGCGCAGCCTGGGTGCTTGGCGCGCTGCCACGTGCCGGTGTCGCGCTCGAGGCGGACGTCAAGCATCGCGATACGACGTTGAGTATCAGCAGAGCGCGGATCGATGTCAGCCGCGCGTGTCTGTCGTCGCTCAACGTCGTTGCTCGTCATGTGGATGTGACTGTCTCCTCACCTTCCTTGTCTCCGTGGGCGCGCAGGAGGCGGCGCACGGGCGCGGGAACGCGACACAGCGACCCGAGGCTCTCTGAACACCATGCCACGGGGACGGCGCAGCGACAGGGGCGCGCCCCGCGAGCGCTCAACCAGCGCAGGGCCCAAGCAGCATCAGCTGGAGGACATTCAATGCGGGCGGGACGGTCCCCTGGCCAGCGTCATCCGTGCGCTGCCGCGCAGATCGCGCATCGCGCTGGCGGCGACGTCGTCGGCGATGATGGCGGCGGTGCTGGAGAGCTGCGACGGCGCGAGGTGGTGGTCGGGGGACGCGCGCAGCCGTCGTGCGGAGCGGCGGGTGGGGCGGACGGTGGCGCGGCGGCTGGTGGGGCGCGTGTCGGAGAAGACGAGGTCGCTGGTCGGGTGGGCGACGGGGCGCGGGGAGTGGGTGGTGTATCACCGCGCAGGCACTTGCGACGTGGGCGTGCCGTCCGCGGTGGTGCGCGTGGAGCCGGGAGATCGGCGTCGGCTGGAGTCTCTGGCCCGGACAGATGCCGGCCGGCGTGAGCTGGCGTCGGCGCCGGCGGTGACGGCGGAGATGACGGGCCTGCGGTACCTGGACGTGGGAGTGTACGAGCTGGACGTGGAGGGTGTGTGGGGGCGGGAGTGGCTGCCTGCGGGCGTGGCGGCGGGCATCACGGAGCTGCGGGTGCACGGGACGATGCTGAAGCGCGTGCCGGAGGGCATGGTCGCGCTCGAGGTCCTGAACGTCAGCCGGTGCTTGAAGCTGGATCGCTGGACCTTCTTGCCGGCGTCGAGCGCGGGGCGGGTGCGGGTGCTGAGGGCCGACGGCACCGGCCTGCGGAGGGTGCCCGAGGGGATGAGCGCGCTGGAGGAGCTCAGTGTGCGTCCAGCCGTGGGCCTGGACGAGGCTTTCCTGCCGGCGTCGTCTGCGGCGAGGCTGCGGGTGCTGCGCGTCTCGGACCTCTTTCTGCGCAGGCTGCCCGCGGGGATGGAGGCGCTGCGGGAGCTCCACGTGGACTGGTGCAAGAGTCTGCAGCCCGAGCTTGCGCTGGCGGGCGCTGCGGAGCTGCGGGTGCTGAGTGCTTTTGACACGGGGATGCGGGTGGTGCCGGAGGGGCTGACGGCGCTGGAGGAGCTCAACGTACAGGACTGCAAGTCGCTGGACGTGAGCTCGCTGCGCAACGCTGCCACGGTGCGCGTGCTGAAGGTGAACAGCGCTGGGCTGCGGAGGGTGCCGGAGGAGCTGACGGCGCTGGAGGAGCTGGATCTGAGGGAATTCCCGGGAGAAATCACGGAGGGCTTCTTGCCGGCGCGGATCTGTGCGAGGCTGCGTGGGCTGAGTGTCCGTGGGTGCCCTGGAATCAGGAGGGTGCCCGCGGGGCTGACGGCGCTGGAGAGTGTCGACGTGAGTGAGTGCGAGCAGCTGGACGGCGAGGCGTATCTGCCCGCGTCGTATGCTGCGGGGCTGCGAGTGCTGAAGGTCTCGTACAGCAACGTGCGGAAGCTGCCGAGGGGCATGGACGCGCTGGAGGTGCTGGACGTGGGCGGTTGCAAAGAGCTGGACTGGGAGGACGCGGTGGAGGTGCTGGGCGGTGCTGCGAGGCTGCGGGTGCTGCATGCGCGCTACAGCGACATGCCGAGGCTGCCGGGGGGACTGCACGCGCTGGAGGAGCTGGACGTGAGCCATTGCACTCTGCTGGACTGGGAGGACGCGGCGGAGGTGCTGCGCGATGCTGCGAGGCTGCGGGTGCTGCATGCGCACGACAGCGACATGCGGAGCCTCCCGGAGGGACTGGACGCGCTGGAGGAGCTGTTTGTTAGCGGGTGCAAGCATCTGACGGGGACGCTGGAGCAGAGCGTCGCGGACCGTCTGCGTCGGTGGAACGTTCGGGGGAGCGGGCTGGTGCTGCCGGCGGGGATGGAGGAGACGCATTATGAGGATGCTGCATTCTTAGTACTGCCCTGATTTCCCGGACGGGTCGGCGCCTGCCAAGGTAGGCGGCCCGTAGGCCAATCGGGGTAGGCACCTACCGGCGGCCCACCGCCGCCTACCGTCCGCCACGAACGAAGGAATGACGGGCTCTCGCACTAATATTCACCATAGAACAAATATAGCAATAGTGAGCTTCTGCGAGCGGACATGGCGATGTCTCTGACGCTGCGTGAGCTGATACGTCGAGCAGCACCGTGCTCGGCGCACATGTAGTCGCGCGTGCTGATGCGCGGGCGAGTGAGCGAGCGAGCGCCTGCTGCGTCCTTCACACCACTGTCGCAAACTGCTCCACACTGCTTGGTCACTTTGCGACGTGGGCGTGCCGTCCGCGGTGGTGCGCGTGCAGCCGGGACCGGAGCGCGTGGTGCAGTCCTTGGCAACAGCGGCCGTACAGCCCGCAACGTGAGGCATCCCTTGCTGTCAGGGGGAGGTGTCCTCGATTCCGTGAGCGCGTACGCCGATATGGGCGCCTCGCCGTGCCGGTTGCGTGCACAACCACGCGAGGTCCAGTCACGGCGACCGCGCGGGTCCGCAGCCCACCGCACTCGCGCGTCTGGCAGCACACGTTCAAGCAGCGAGGAGCAGCAGGGTCGGCTCTCCGTGCGTTTGAGGGCAACGGGTGTCTTCGTGCGCAGGTGCGTGACGTGTGTGTCGCTGGTAGTGCGGCGCTGCGTATGTGCGTCCGGGACGCGCCTGCATGCGGCACCGCTGGCGATGCAGCGCAGCCTGGGTGCTTGGCGCGCTGCGGGGTGCGGGTGCCGCGTTGGAGGCGGATGCGAGCGTGGCGCTACGACGTTGAGTATCAGCAGAGCACGGCTCGGTGTCGGCATCGCGTGGCTGTCGTCGCGCAACGCGGTTGCGGGCCCACCTCCCAACCGCCTCCATTGTCTCCGTGGGCACGCAGGAGGCGGCGCACGGGCGTTAGAAAACGCGGCACGGCAGCTTGACGCTGTCATAGCGCGATGGCGCCGCGCCGGCGCAGCGATGCGGGCGCGTCCAAGCGCTCGAAACGCGCACGGCTCCAGCTGGAGGACATTCAGTGCGGGCGGGACGGTCCCCTGGCCAGCGTGATCCGTGAGCTGCCGCGCCAGTCGCGCATCGCGCTGGCGGCGACGTCGTCGGCGATGATGGCGGCGGTGCTGGAGAGCTGCGACGGCGCGAGGTGGCGGTCAGGGGATGCACGCGAGTGTGCAGAGCAGCGGGTGGGGCAGACGGTGGCGCGGCGGGTGGAGGGGCGGGTATCGGAGGGGACGAGGTCGGAGGTCGGGTGGGCGACGGGGCGCGGGGTGTGGCTGTATCACCGCGCAGGCACTGGCAACGTGGGCGTGCCATCTGCAGTGGTGCGCGTGGAGGCGAGAGATAGGGGTCTGCCGGCGTCTCTGGCCCTGTCGGATGCCGGCCGGCGCAAGGTACTGGCCGAGACGGCCGAGCGCCGGCGTGAGCTGGCGTCGGCGGCGGCGGTGACGGCGGAGATGACGGGCCTGCAGTACCTGGACGTTGGAGTGTACGAGCTGGACATGGAGGGTGTGTGGGGGCGGGAGTGGCTGCCTGCGGGCGTGGCGGCGGGCATCAGGGAGCTGCGGGTGGGCGGGACGAGGCTGAAGCGCGTGCCGGAGGGCATGGTCTCGCTCGAGGTGCTGGACGTCAGCCGGTGCTTTGAGCTGGAGGGCGGGACGTTCCTGCCGGCGTCGAGCGCGGGGCGGGTGCGGGTGCTGAAAGCCGACGACAGTAGCCTGCGCAGGGTGCCCGAGGGGATGCACGCGCTGGAGGAGCTCAGTGTGCACGGGTGCGGGCGCCTGGACGAGGCGAGCCTGCCGGCGTCGTCCGCGGCGGGGCTGCGGGTGCTGCACGCAGAGGGCAGCACTCTGCGCAGGCTGCCCGCGGGCATGCGGGCGCTGCGGGAGCTGCACGTGGACAGGTGCAGGGATCTGCAGCCTGAGCTTGCGCTGGCGGGCGCTGCGGAGCTGCGGGTGCTGAATGCTCATGGCACGGGGATGCGGGTGGTGCCGGAGGGGCTGACGGCGCTGGAGGAGCTCGGCGTGCGGTACTGCGAGTCGCTGGACGTCGGCTCGCTGCGCAACGCTGCCACGGTGCGTGTGCTGGGGGTGAACAGCGCTGGGCTGCGGAGGGTGCCGGAGGAGCTGACGGCGCTGGAGGAGCTGGACCTGAGCGCCTTCCCGGGAGA